CAGGACCAAGGTTGGCACAAGGAGGTGGCATCTTGGGTAGTCTTCAGAAGGCCTGGCATAGGCATGCTACAACAGCTCCTCTCCCCTTTGTTTGTTTGTTTGTACTCCTTTTGTTTCTAGCATATTTGCTCTGGGCCTGAGCCCTTACCATCCCTTGTACCTCCATTGACCTTACTCTCATGTAACTAAATCTTTGCATTACCAGAGGAGCTACTGCTCCTCTTGTCTTCCATAGTCTTAGACTCAGATAGGACGTTAAACCAATCAATCAATCAACAAACCAATCAGTTGCATATCTGATCCTTGATATTTGCTCCTGGCTTAGCGTGTCGCTCTACGTTCTTGACTTTTGCATATCATACATAATCCCCACGTCACCCCACCTGTTTCTTCGCTCTTCCCTATCTCTTCATGTATTTACAACTCATCCCTAACCGGCTCTCCACCAAGATCCGGCATAGCCATAACCTTGACAACCAAACTAGTCCAGCCAGTAAAGTGCTGCGTCCTCTGCCCCTTACCCGTCTCAGGGTTGTACTGTTCCCACGCGAAGCCAGTCTCCTTCCAGCTCTCATAGACAGTGTTGACGAGGTTCTTGCGGAGATCAGTGTACAGCTGCTCGGCGCGCTTCTGGTGTGGGCCCTTGGCTTGCGCGACGTTCTGCATATGTTAGTATGGAAGATTCTGTGATATAGATATGGGGCTTACCAGGAGCTGCTGCACAGCCAAGTAGTTCATGTTCATCCAGATGGGGCCGCGCCAGTAGTCCTCGCCAGTGTGGTACAGCTCATCACTCTTGCTCAAACTCCTGAGACCATACTCGGACCACAGGTGGTCTTCATCGCCAATGAGATCGAGAACGGCGCCCAGGTGCTTGCTGTCCTTGTCGACGAGGCCGGTCAAGAAGGGGAAGAGCGAGATGTAGCCCTTGTGGCAAACGTGAGCGTTCTCCTCGTAGTCGTCAATGGTAGCGTCGCAGTAGGCCTTTTCCTTGCTAGACCAGTGCAGGTCATCGATGTTGCGGACGATGGCCTCGTCGTACTTGGCGAACTCAGCGGCATCATCCTCTTCATCAAGGTAGACAGCGATGCGCTTGATAGCACGCGTCATCATGCCCATCCAGCTGATGAGATCGACGTGCAGCTCACCCGGGTGCGGTGGCTGGGCGCGAGGGTAGTCGTCAAGGCCAGAGGTGAGGATGTGCTGAGGTGTGCGTCCCCTCCAGCGATATCCCTCCTTAGTGGAGAAAGCCTCACGGTCGTAACTCTTGATATCGCCTGCCTGTGTCTTGCGGAACCAGAAGTAGTGGCGCTTGAGCAGCGGGTAGAGCTCGCGGAGGTACTGCAATGCGGCCTCGCGGTTAGCGAGGTGCATGTAGTACGACCTTTCGTGAAGCAGCTTCTTGTTGTCCGAGTCGGTCCTTTGCGCGTCGAGCTTGTCGAGGAAGGAGTTGATGACCATGAACAGGGTCGGTGGGTTGGCGTAATGTGGGTACTGCACCTGGAATTCGGGAGGAACCTTGCTGCGAGCCTCAGGTCCGAGGATTTGTTCGCGGCCGATCCAGCCATCCTCGTCCATGAGCTTGAACCAGCTCTTGATGATGTCGAGAGTGGTGTCGACATCCCAGTCAAGGACGGGAAGCAGATGGAAGCCCTCGTCCCAAAGGAAGCCGCGAGGGAAGAAGGGTCGAGAGGGAATACTGGTGAAGAGCTCGCTGGGTCCTACGGTCTCGGCCTGGTTCCTGCTACGCGCCTCAGCAGCCTCCTCCCAGAAACCTTCGTTGTCCTCCTCGTAGGCCTCGTCGTGTGAGCGGTCGACGCGAGAGTCGCCGTAGAAGTAGCCAATACCACCGATCAAGTTCGAGAACAACGACTTGGAGAACTCGCTGTAGCGCTCCTTCAGGAAGGGTGCTTGCGGCTCGAAGACGTCGGTGAAGCGTGTCGCGAAGCCTGACGTGACAGACTTGATCTGCTCAGTGATGTCGTCGGTGGTAATCTTGGCAGGCGCAGAGCCAGACGAGAAGATGATGTCGAACGTGAAAGCACCGTCGAAGACCTTCTGGACCATGTGCATGTTGCCAGCTCCGGGCTGATGCTGGATTGTGTAGATCTGCGCAGGCGGAGGAGGGTTCTCCTGCCCGTACTTGGGCACCAGCTCGTCAATCTGGCTCTTCATGTGGGCGAAGAGGACGGCCTTGATCTGCCATAGCGCCTCATCAGGCACCTGTCCGCTGTGCACCAGCGTCCTGTCGAGCGGCTTCTCGTCGTAGCTGGGGTGGTCGAAGTGCGGGTGGTCGCCCTTGCCCTCAGTCACCCTCAGCTCAAAGTCGCCCAGCTCAGCAGTCTGGCCCTTGAAGACGACATCGCCGGGGATGCCCGTCTCGTGTCTGTTGGGATCCTGCACCTCCAAGCTGCCAAGGCCCTCGAGCGTGTTGTACCAGATGAGGGTCGTGGTTAAGTCGGGCGAGGCATCTTCGCGCGGTGTGCCCTTGATCCTGGCGCCCCAGCTGCCGCCGTGCTCGCCGCCGGGGAACTTGATGAACTCGGTGGTGATGTCGATGCGGTTGGCCGGGTCGTGGATAGTCTGGCGGCCGCCGCTGCGGACATCGTATTCGTCCCAGCCGTAGCCGTCGAGCTCGTGCTGCTCGCACGTGTGTCGGAAAGCTGCATGGCGTCAGCGCCTGCTCGTTCCGCAGGGAGGGATACATGTCTTAGGCCGCACAATAGCGGCTCATAAGTCAATGCCTGCACTCACTGTTCTGCACGCTCTGGTAGTCCTCGACCCTTGTCCACAGCAGCCCGCCCATCAGGCTCTTGGGTATGCGCGGCCTGACGCCAAAGTACAGATTCGGCCTGTACGGGCCCCAGAGCAGGCTGTCATTGCTCGCCTTTTCGATCTCTGCGACCTGCGCATTGGCGGACGGCAACTGCAATTGCAGAGCCAGCAGACACGCCAGGCCGGTCCAGAGGCTGCCATGTCGAGAGTTGCGTGCCATGTTCTGTACCACCTGCTATTCAGAGGTAAGGAATGAGGCCTCGCAGCTTTCAGTTGATGCTGGCGGGGAACGCATACGTAGCATTTGGGACGCGCGGAGCTGGGGCTGGTCTGATTGGTGGGCTGGCTGCACGCGGAAAGTGTGGCCCTGCGAGGTACAAGGGCGCCAACAACGCCCTCGCAAACAGACACGCTCGACAGTGTTGCATGGAAACGTGGGCAAAAACAAAGCTGGACTAGCATCGGGATATCATTTTGGTGGTTGTAGGCTTTGGACGTGATTCCAGAAGCAGCAAGACCTCGCCCAGGCACCGCCACAAGGTGCGTCCAGCCCGTCGATGCGGCCAGCAAAAGTGTGCGCTCTTGTGAAAGATTGTAGATTGATGGGCGCCATACCAGGATCCCACACCAGACTCCCACTTCCGCACTTGTGTCTGCCGTAGCTGGTATCTGGTGGATAAAGCGTGCCGTGCGTTTGCAGCCCTAGGTGCCCACAGCGCTGTCTCGTCGCAGCCATCCAACGGTTGGGTTCGTTGGCGGAGTCCCCTCTGGTCATGCTCCGAAGCCGCTGCAGAGGTTGTCGCAGTCGTTGCGTCCCCCCTCAGGAGTCCTTCCCCCTCCCTCGAACAAATCTACCCCCTGCTCGGTGACAACGGCCTATTGAATCCACCCTGCCTATTCATATACTGTCTAGCCTCCATCTGCTTATCCTTCCTGACCCCAAAATTCTTATCGTTCCCCGGCACCTTTGTATTCTTCGTGCTCTTGAACCCCGCGAACCCCATCACCTGCGCCATCTCCCATGTCTCGTCGTCCATGCCCTCAGGCCGGACACGCTCCTCTTTCATGACTACATCCTTGGACTCCTCCTCGTCGAACACGTCGGGCTGGGTGGCTTTGGGGGGTGCTCGCGCGGCGTTGGAGGGCGGGCCGCGTGGTCCAGGGCTGGAACGCGGTCCTGTGGGAGGGCCGCGATCGTTATTGCGCCCACGATCGTTGCGCTCTCCTCGCCCTCTGTCGCCGCGCACCCGTTCACCATCGTGCTCGTCTCGCCGAAATGGTGAGCGCGAGCGATAGCGTCCTCCATCTCTACGGCCGCCGCGGTCTTGTCGTGAACTTCGTGATCGGTTGCGGCGCTCGCTGCCTGTGTTTCGCTCGTTGTCGCGGTCGCGGCTGCCTCGTGGTTCGGGCCGGCTGTCGCGGTCGCGGTGGTGGCCGCGTGGTCTTTCCGTGTCTGACATTGTGTGGTGGTTTGTGTGTGTGGAGTATGTTGTGTTGGCGCAAGCAATCGTGCGGAGAGTGATGCAAGAGCGGACGCTACGTGAAGCTACCACATGCGGAAGGTTTGGTGAAGCGTCGATCGCGGAGCCAAGAGTGCAGTTCCGCTGTGCTACGGCGCTAGCTGTTCTATCATAAGCGTTTTGTCCAGCTCAAGTCCATGGTGTCCCTTCAGTTTCGGCATCATTGTAAGCTGCAGTATCAACCATATGCGATAAAAGTAACTTGGAATATGTGAATTAGATTGCTCTATCGAAGGCCTCCACATCCAGGGTATATCATGAAGCACTTCCGTCTAATCGTGGCTAACGCCGCCCTGATCATCACCAGTTCCAAGTCTCAGTGGTCTGTACCCCTCAGATCTCATCCTCTTCCTCATCAAAGTCATCCTCCTCGCCCATGTCGTACAGAATGCGGCCACCCTCGCCAGCACCCTCACCCTTCTGTGCATCGAAGTAGGGGAGCACAACGCCTTCGCGAGCCTGCTTCTGCTTGTCTGTAAGACCCAAGTTGAACGTCGACTCAATCTCATTGGCGGCAGCGTTGACGAGACCAGTGACCTCGTTGCTGCTGTATGCCGGAACTTGGTCAAGCAGCGTGATAAACTCCTGGCGCAGTGTACCGAATGCCATGCCGGCCAATGATGCGTTGTAGTCTGATCGGCGCGCGGCACGAAGGAAGTAGGTCTCGCTCTCCGGGCGTCCGGACTTGCGGCGGAACTCTGCTTCAATCACGATACCACGATGGTCGTTGGCGTCCAGACACTGTACGATGCCTTCAGCGCCCTGGAGCAGGCCATGAGTTGGCTCGGGCAGACTGCGCTCTCTGGCAGCTTTTGCGGCGAGGACGTGTGCAAAAGATTTGCATGTGATGACGGTGGTAGCCATGTACTTGAAGAGGTCGAGAGGCTGCGGTGCGTATGCCTTGTGTGCGTCCTGATCGGGGATCGTGTCTTGGTGGTAGACACCGACGAGGGTTGATGCGAACTCGCCCGCAACGAGATTGAACAGTGCACCCATGTCAACGTTCTTGACACTGAGAAGCTCGTACAGCGAATCAATAACAACGAGACTCTCTTTCGCCTCGCTCAGTGCTTTCCGGATGTGCTGTAGAATCTGCTCGCCGGTCTCGTCACCGTATGCCGGGACGCTGCGAACAGCAGGATGGAATCGAGTTGCTTCGAAAGACACCACAACGACATTGACGTTACGTGACAACCCGCGCCTTACCAGCTCACCGATGAGCGGCATAGCACGCTGGTTGAGGTCATCGAGGATGAGTGTAAAGGGTGATGCGTTGGTGCGGATGTTGAGGACTCTGGAGATGAGCTGCAGAGAATGGCGCTGATACTGCGCAACGTTTGTTGGTCGCGCCATGCCAGCTTTGGGTGGACGAGCTTCCGGCTTGCGCTTGCGGATTCCGCTGATGTGGTAGTTATCCTTCTTGATCCAGCGACTGCAGTCAACCGCGCGAACTGAGTTCCTCTTCTTGCTCGTGTTGAGAGGTTCGGAGGCTTCAGACAGTCTTTCCTTGCGCAGTTGAAGTAACCAGTTGGGAAGAGTGCCGTCCGCTGGGATGAGATGGTGCAGGAGATCCGGGGCCTTGAGAGCTGTGTCCCAATCAACGTCAGTGAGGTTCATATTGCGCTCGTATCTCATCGTATGTGAATATCAGTCGAAGGGAGTATCAGACGTTAATTGTGTCGAGAGGGACGCTTGGTCAACAAGAGAAGAGACGCTGTAGGAATGCACAGCGGAAGTGGCGGCAAACTGTGAAATAAACGGTGGTCGACAGCTTGCAAAATCAAGGGGCTGGGCTGTTCGGTGGCTAGAAAGTAAAAAGCCGTGCTGAGAGCCTTGAAATGATCATTGACATACCTTTGCTGCTCGAAGTGAAGGGAAAGTTTGGTGGGCGATAGATCGTAGAAATTTTGATATTGCCCCTCAGTGTGCAAGCTGATTACGCAAAGTAGGTATTATCCACAAATATCTCTCCAACAAGGCCCTAATCAACAATTTTCAAACTCTTTCAAACCAGAGTACGCAGATTGTCGATGTGGTGTTCGTTCGAGGTGAATGTTCCTTGTCTTTTTGGGTTGGTGCGTCACTAGCGCTAGCCCCCCGGAGTTAGGCAGTTGCTTCCCGCAAATGTGAACCAGCAAAGCAGACCTCACTAAACCTTCCAAGTGCAAGAGCTGGCTAAGACGTCGCGATGAGAATTACATCACACCTTGGACTGTCATGATGAGCAACGCGCCTGCCTCAGCAGCGAAGCCGCCGCGGCCGCGGTCCCCTCACTTCCCTCCACACAACGCTCCTCGCGTCTGGTTTATCACAAGAGGAGTATCGCCCATCGCGATCGCTCTGGCAAAACAGGTACTCGAACATGGCGATTACGTCGTAGCAGGCGTTATACCTGTTGAGTTTGAAAAGAGCGAGGGTCAGACCGATGACTTCAAAGCGTTCCTCGAGGAGGTGAAGAACACCGAGCGATGGCGAGAGCGCTTAAGGGTCGTTGGTCTGGATGCAAAGATTGTTGGCCAATGTCAAGCAGCTGTTGCTGAGGCTGTCGAGGCATTTGGACGCATTGATGTCTTGCTCTGCACAGCTAGCGAAGGTAAGAACAACAAGCCCTACGATTGTACTGAGCTGATGCCTGCCGCCTTATAGCTGTCATTGGGACTGTAGAAGAGCTGGCGCAAAGCAGCCGAACCATCAGCCTTGTGGATGAGATCTTTGAGATCAATTTCTTTGCCAACGTGAACATCATCAAGGCCATACTGCCCGTGATGCGGGAAAGGAAAAATGGGCACATGATCGTGATCACGGGAATCAGTAAGTTGCTCTCACATCTGAATGCAGCACTTTCGCTGACTATTTCTTAGCTGGCCACCTCGGAACCCCCGGCCTCGGCATGTACTGCTCATCGCAATGGGCTATCGAGGGCTACTGTGATGTGGGTGCTGACCGTACCCTAATCTATCTTTACTAAACTTGAAACAGAGCCTTGCCTATGAGATCGCGCCATTCAACGTCAAAATGTCCATTGTTCAAGCTAACATGGAGGTCAACGTGCTCACGAACAGGATCACTTCAGTCCCGCCCATGCAGGAATACCTTCAAGAAGAAAACCCCGCACCACTAGCACGAGAGATCTTCTCTGGCCTCCTTGACAGACTCGATGGTATCGAGAATCCACGTGCGGTAGAAGACCCAACGTCGCCAACGTATAGTACTTCTACAATGAGCCCGGACGCAACGATGGCCGAGTCGACTATAGGTGACCTGTTGAGTGCCGATACAGTCACTTCACTCTATGCGTCGTTGCCCTCTGCCCTCAAAAGTTCATTGATCGCTGAGACCGTTCATGCTCTTACCGCTATCGGCGGGCACGATAATCCGCCGGCGCGCCACATTGTCGGGTCCGAGGGCGTGACAGCGGTGAAGGAGAAGTTGATGACGACAAGTGAAGAGCTGGAGGATTTCATCGAAGTCAGCAACGCTGTCGATATCACAAAGGACTACCAGTCCGTGGAGCCTTCGGCGTTTGACTAGGTGCAATCGGGCACACGGCTTCCTTGTACGGGCAATTGTATGCGACTCAAAACAAGCGATTGTCATGCTGGAGACACAGCGACTTCGAGCCCCTACAACTACATACAAGGGCTGCTTCACGTCTCTCTAAGATTGCTTTGTGATGGTTAGGGCGCGACACAGCGCAGTGTGCCTGCGATTGGCACCCGCTCAACTCCGTTTTGCGCTCAGAGGCAAGACACACCGACCGCACCTTCATCAAGGAAGCCGCACACGCCAGATTGGGTACCCGGATGAACCCGAGCATGGCAACTCTTTTTGAGCTTGCCCACAGCAGGTTCCTCCGATCGCGCTTTGCGACTCTTCACTTGCTGCAAATTTTCTCGACGCGCTCAGCAAAGCCCTACCTTCACTGCAGCCGCTTCTTGGAGGCTCCTAACGCACCCCGACTGCTACATAATCTCGCAAAATCTCCCTCTATTCTTTTCACTCATCCTCTTTCAACTTTTAGCAACTCTACCGACTCCTACTCCGTCTGTGCGAACCAGCCATGTACGCCTCTCGCATCTCCAAGGCTGTCGTCTGCCTCTTGGCCTCCGCCATTGCCGCTTCTCCTCACGATCAGATGGTGAACAATGAGTTCATCCGCGATGTTGGTGTCCTCTACCCCAACAGCAACTTCACGGGCGACCCTTTCTTCCTGGTTCAGCACAAGAAGGCGCCCAGGTGTGAGACCAACAGTCGGTTAGTACCTTTAGCCTCTTATACACTATGATTTTGCTCACGGACTACAGTGGTGCCGCTCTTGGCTCAGCTCAGATTTGTGTTCCATCCACATGCGTCTTTTACAAGGTAAGCGTTCTCATTCAACATTTCAGGATTAACAAAACTAACACATCTCACAGAGCAAGGACTGCACTTTGTCCGAACCCGGCAACGACTACTACTTCCACGGTCCAGTCGATATCGACAACCTCCAGGCCCTTCCCGACATCGCCTGCGATTCATACTTGTGCGGCCCGGTCGAGGAGATGGCCGAAATGATCGGCAACACCGCCAGTGCTTTTGCCAACTCTGAGGGTGGGCACTGGGGCGTCGTTGGTCGTTTCTAGTGAGTACCGCCACTGTCGCTATTTTGAGACACCTCACTGACCTTTACCCAGATGCTGGCACCAGCTGCTCCGGAACACGCGCTCGTGGTTCGAGCTTGGTTCTCACATTAGGTGACTTTCACAGACGGCAAAAATACAAAAGCGATGTGATATATTGTGGGAGATAAGAGAAGGATTCCCATGACATGTATAGACTGGATGACGAAGAGTTTGGTGTTTCAAAATGTGGCGGCGTGAGGCCGCTGGCAGAATACGATGGAATACTGCGCTGAGTTGCTATCTAGCTAGGAGAGGACGACTATATACCTGACCTGTAACACACTAGACTAGGGTAGTTTGCTACGAATATAGTCGGACCTTGTACGGACCAATTGATACCGCAACACAAAAAAGTCTTGTTAGCTGTAGACCATTAATCCTAACATAACGCTGCCTTCCGACAGGGAGATTTTTACAACACTTCGTCCACCCGCCAGCACATCTTCTTAAACATCGAATCTTTCCACACCCGCAACACATCGTGTGCCATGGCATGATCCCTGCGGAAAGCGACCATCCAGTGGAATGACTCTGTCATGCGGCCTATGGTCTCTGCCGAAAACAGGACGCGTTGCTCATTGCCAGCTTCCTAGACCGTACGCACGGTACAATTTATCATCTGTTGTGGAGCAGTATCGGTGGTCACCTCGTCTAGCATCCTAGCGCTGGGTTTGGCAGCTTCCAACAAGTTTATAACAAGTTCTTCAATGTGCTCGCGTTCACAGTTCTCTAGCCATAGGACGTCGGCGTTCTCACCAGTCTCATCTTCCCGCTGGTGGTCCTCGGTCACTGTTCCCTAGTCGACGGTCCCACCTTCCAGCTTTTCTCAGCCACCCAGGCCTTCATCTGCCTCGTCGTCTGAATATGTGACGTGGTTGGGATCGTTGGACTGCCACAGCTTACGACGGCAGACAGGGCATTTGTCAGTGTTCTTGTTGTCAGAACATACCCAGTCTAACAAGCACTTCATACCGAAGATATGCTGGCAGGACAGCTGTCCCACTAAGCAAGCTGCGACATGCTTGACGTCGAAGCGTTCAAGGCAGATATCGCAGGTGTCAATCTCGTCGATGTAGTAATGACAGAAACCTGATAGTGATGGTATACAATTGGTCGTAGTGATCTTAGTTGCAAGCGTTTCGGGAAGGTTGAGCGCTGCGGTTTTGTGAACGTAGGTGAGACAAGATTCTTGGAGTCTTTATACGATATATGCCCTTGTGTTGGTATTCGTTTCACTCTCTCGACCTTGCCTGTATGGTGAGTCAACAATGATCATGAGCGCCTTCCGCCTTCGAACATTCATCGACGAGAAAAAAGTTCCAGCTTCATGGTTCTTCTCTAGTCAGCTGATTTGCGGGAATATATTGACTGGAAGGGAGACATGGAAGCGTTACCTCTACTAGACCAATGTGCTAGCAAGATACGCATGAAGACCTTGAGCAACTGTACTTCATTTGGAGCATCGTAATCGACCTCTTTCACAACCAGGTGTTGCAACAGCGCTACCATTTGGCTTGCACTTTCGAATTCGACGTCCTCAATTCACCTTGGGATATTAGCAGAGACTTCGCTAACCTGATCTGGATTCACCTCTTGTGCGGTGTTGTCAGTGTATACATTTCTTCGCATTTCGATGGTTAGCCTGAAATGATTGCTTCGGACAGTTCTCATCGCAGACGTGCTTGCGGGTGTTGGGGCCGAGGAAGTGGAGGAGCTTCTAGGTCGAATGGCTCGAGGTAGATGTCGCATGTATCGATGGGCTGATCTGGTTGGCGATGAAATCATCTCGAGAGGGTAGTGGTGTCGTGGTCATGATGGGCTGGAATACAGGTAAGGTAACTTGCTTGACTTGGGTTGTTGTGTGAAGGTCGAGTGGCGCGGGATCCGCAAAAGTTGCAGGGTCTCATGTTTTGCGTTCACCTTCAACACTCATCTCAACAAATCCTTGCGTTTACTCACTTAGACGGGGTACCAATTACGGAAAATTAGAACAAGGGTTTTTAAGATTCAACGACATGAGGACCAGGACCAGAATCAAAAACACTAGCTACTCAAGTCCGCAACCATTACACCTTCCAATCGAGAATCATCGTGAGTCCTGACATGTACCTTCATGAAGAGAGGAAAGAAAGACAGCGTTGTCTCACTCCACTCTCATACCAGCGGCTTCACCAACATGAATCAACGGCGCTACTGGGTGCTGTTCGCGCCTGAAACCAACCTTGACTCGACCAATGCGCGACATCTTGTCTTCGAACTTGGTTTCCATGCGCAGCACCGTCTCTCTGTACATAGTCGCGGTGGTCCAATCGTACGAGCAGCCCACGATGCGCTTCATGCCGCCCTCTGACCCCGCCATAAGGAAACAAGTTGGTGGACGGGTGGCCTGGAAGAGGGTTACTGTCATGTTGCCTGTTCGTTGTTAGCATATCTTTCATTCAAGAGGAGAGAGGGGGTGGGGCGGTAAAATTACTTACCAGTGTCAACCAATGTGAACAGTCTCTGCTCTCCGGGTCCAGCGTGCTTGCACCTCTCGACCAGCGCCTTGATCTCCCGATCCGTGGTGGGATCATCAGGCACACACTCGTTGTGCTCGTTCCTGTGATGTCTCGAAAGTGGGCTTGCATACGGCGTCCACCTCAGCCGGCCTAGCCTGCCACCAAAGATCTGTGCTTCGATGGTCTCGATAGGCATGTACCCCTCAAAGCCAAACAGCCAGCACTGCTGATCCCAGAACTTGCCGAGGTAGAGCATGCGCAGCAGCCAAGGTGAGAGGAACATGAGGAAGAGAGAGTAGATGATGAGGAAGACACCGGCACCTTGAGTGGGTGACAGTCCTTGGCCGGGGCCGGCAGGGTTTGGTATAGCAACGAGCACGATACCGATAAGGAAGGTAACACCACCAAGTCGCAGCAACTTCTCCGCGATGTATCGCTTCCAGGATGGACGACGCGTATTAGCTACGGGGGTGAAAGACTTCCAGCGCACATTGGCGGCGCGACAGCCGTCAAGGATAACGCTGTCGTCCTGGCCAATGCCAGAAATCTCAACCCCTTCAGGTAGAATTTCCCAAAGCTTGGAACCAAAAGCGTCATCCAATGAGTGCCAAGGTTGATTCGGGGTCCTAGGGAGTACGCAGATAAGGCGCTCTAAGAGCTGGTCGCTGCCGTTTGCCATGGAAAGGCTGCGTGGATTAGCCAAAGCCACAGCCGAAAAGGTAAGGTCATGATCTTACCGTGCGAAAGCTTGAAAGGCAGTGTCTGTAGGATCAATCTTTGGTCGAGTGCGCAGCAGGCCCATGAGAGCGTAGCTGTGGTCTCCACGAAGATACTCGTTAGTATCTCGTTTCTGGAGACATTCCAGCGCAAGCGTGACCAGCTCGAGCTGAGTCAAAATGAGACTACCCTCGTAGTGGTCTATGAGCTATAAGAATCAGCAACTGACCCGAGCAAAGCGGAGAAAAGACTAACCTGGCGTGCGGTGTGAGCATCTTCTTTCCACACCTTGGCTGCGAACTGGTTCTTCGGAACGCGCAATGGCTGCATGAGATCACCGCCGCGCTGATAGACTTTGATCTCCTTGCCCGCGGGTGCGAGCAAAACCTCTGGGAAAGTCCAAATGCGTTTGCCCCATTGCTGTAGCATAAGGTCCGTGGTGCTGATGTCCTGTCTGTCATTTGGGGGTTGTCCGACAGCAATGACCAGGGACTGAGCACCCCGAATCACATCGCAGATTCGATAGACCTGAGTGATATCAGTAGAGCTCTAACGAGATGTAGTCAAACTTACGTCTTCTTGAAGTTGATCCGAATCTGGCATACAAGAGCAACCAACCCAGTACGCCATCACGCCAGCATTACGAGCAGCCGCATCAGCCATCTGATGGAGTGCCATGAGGTCCTCGCTGCTCTGAAACTGCTCTGCCGTATATGCAATGAATACATAAGCCAAGTTGCGCTCGGACTTGTACTGCGTGATCCACTCTTCTACGTTCATAATCAAAGCCGGCTCGCCTGGCTCTCGTAGAAAGCAGAGGTATCGAGGACGCAAGACGCGCTCAGCGACTGGGTTCGCATCCCTGCAGCCTCTCGGACTGTCCAGTTCCATGGCGTTGCGTGTTACTTTGGGGTAGCCATAGTACCTGTAAGGCACCGGGTCGTAACAGCCACCGTTTCGAGGAGGAATTGAAGCAGAGCTCGGGCTAGATATCTAGGTTCTGGTCAGACCAGAAGATCAGTGAATGTATGCACTACAACATACCACAAAAGTGATTGCGATAGACGTGATGAACCATTTGAGGCAGAGCATGGGCATGTCTGGTAGCTTGTGAGCATGTCAGTATCGTAGCCGACGAGACATCTTACCTTCACTAGTGGGTTTACCATCATTATTGTTAGGATCCACATGGTTGAACGGCCAGTTTGCCAACCTCAGATACACCGGCGCGATCGTTCGGATGAACGTACGACGATACGTGGACGTGATGTCGTTGTCATAGATTTCATCGATAGCTTGAACGACCAGCTTAGATATCTTGCCGTCCCATGATGAGATGTAGCCTAAGGTATTCAGCTGTAGAACTCCGGTGCACATATACTATACTCACGATCATCGTAGTCGCCCACCCACTCGCGCTCGAAGACATCCCGGTGACGATGTTTTGCGAGCTTCTGGTAACCAAAACCAGGCTTGCCTATTGTCGTCAGTCTGGGGATTTACGACCGATATCTGGCGGACTTACGATATGCGTTCGGAAACCCCCATTTCCATGATGTATACGGGTCAAACAAATGCCTGTTGCCTTTCACCTCCATCGGAGCGTACTTCAATTTTTTGTCAGCGTTGAACCTTATCGCTTGGGTGACCACAGGTACCGTACTGGAGTATAAGGCTTCTCATGAGTTGAGACTTCCTCGACCGACATTCCCACCTCGTTACGGACCATGTTCTCAAGGAAATACCGTTACTTAACGGAGGCAAGAGCACAGTTGGGCTAGTGGGTTTGGTTTGGGGGTATATTGAGCCGATTGGAATGGATAAGTGTTCGTTGTCTCCTATGCAAGTCGAGTTAGGGAGTGACAGATAAACAAGAGACTGATGCATACCTGAACAGAGAGGATTGGCTGAGGTTTATAGATAGGGTTTGGTGCCGCAAAGGGTTGCGGCTGAGCAAGGACCGGGTTCGGTGCGAATGGAGAGCCTGGAATGAAACCACCACCGTGTACTGGTGGGCCCTGAGCGACCACTGGGCCTGTTGGGTACGTAGAGCTTAAAACAAAGCCCCCACCGTGTGCTTGTTGGTACTAAAGATGTTTTAGTATTCACAATCCGGTCGATGGGACAAGCAACGAACTGGTAGATGTGAGTTGCCCTGTACAAATGCACTGCCGTTAGGAATATAGCCACCGCCGTGTGGAGAAGGTGCAGCGTGTGCCTAAGTAATATCAGAGACTGAAATGCCTGAAGATAGCATACGCAGACGTACCATTCAAACCGAAGACATGGACCTCTTAGATAGAGAAGATATGCGAGCTGAAGCTGACTTAACTGTGTCCGTGAGATAGAGGGTGCTGCAACCTTAATATGCTTTGCGGTCAAGCATTAGCAAGTGTCACAAGAGTAGCTACTCTGAACGCCAACAATGCAGGTTCGTTTCGATCCTGGCGCCTGTGTATATCGCTTGTGGCTGATCTTGGGATACCTTCTCGAGGATCTAATTTAGCGGACCTCGACCGCTCCAAATTACCAATTGGGCTATTGTGGTTTCGGCACCTGCCATCTGATCATGTCCTTGTCGAAGGCTACATCCATGTCACCAGAAGCCTCTTCCAGCCTCAGCCACGAGCTTTTATTTGTGTATTCCTCCGCCGTGAGCCACGCATGGTACCAAAGTCAACCACAACGAGCTTCAGTAATTACTGTTAGACTCCTTTATCATGTGGAAGCTTATTGCAACGGCCAAATGTGAGTAGTGTTGCGCCCCCTCCCCCCTCCCGGTGTACAAAACAGCCATGTCACACGGCCAGGGACAGCCATGATTGGATGTAGCTAATATTGGGAAGCGCTGAAAATTGCAGAACCGAGGGCTGGGGTAAAACTCGCTTATCCTTGTACGTGGTTCGGCCCCCAAGTGTCGCTGGTCAGTTCGCAGTTCACCCTCCACATGGGTCTCTTGGTTCCTTCCTCGGCTACAACCGAACGACAGCAGCTACCAGTCAATCGCGTCTGGTGTCCGTGTCAGCCTCTGCCCGAGATTCGTCATGTTCAAAGCAGCTGCGTCGTTCGGGTACAGCATCCGAGATTTTGCACGCTCTTCGGTAAGTGCAGCTGGTGTGTGCAATAGCTGGTCTCAGCCTCGTGAACGGTATTGACGTGTTGACTGTGATTAACGTTACAGATCTTTGGCTTGCATTCCTGGAGATGCGTACGAGGGTCCCTGTCGACGCACACCAGTTTGTTCTCTCATTGGCCGAAGGCATTTCGCTTTCTCGCGTTCGCGACCCAGAATTTGGGGGCTGAAGGGTGTTGCACATGGGCCTAACGTGAAGTTGCACATGGGCCTAACGTGAAGTTGCACATGGGCCTAACGTGAAGTGCGCGCAGATTAGTATCTTGGCTTTTTCAGCCTCGCGCCACAACCTCCTTTTGAAAACCTGAAGCGCCAACGTCTCCACCGAGTTGTACGCGAGGTCAGAATAGACTACCCTTGGTTCAGCTCGCATGTTTGCAGTCTGCTTTGGGGTCAGAGCTGAAAATGATGAACTGACCCTCGCTGCGAGGTGTGTCAGGAGGCGATTTTCAATATTGTCGCTTCAGCCATCATGCAGGAGCGCATTAGCTTGAGAGTACGCGAGTATAGGCGAATATTTGAACTTAAACCATGAAATGCATATGGTCAGTATATATGTGGATGACTATAGGTATCAGTACTCTCTGATAGACCTACTATTGTAGCATTGCCCCCACCACTGCCAAAGGCGATCTGATCCATAGCAGAAATGGCTGCATTCCGAAGTTTGACGGCAGATCACAAACCGCTCAATGATTTTAAGCTTGCAGTTCCCAAAGCTCACCGTCCAAAGTCGGTTGATGCGAAGAACGACGTCGCCGGTTCTGGATTGCCTATACACATTTTTGAATGGTCGCAGAGTAGTCAAGATGGAACAGAGAATAGCAACATCAGGTCTCTTTCCGATTTGGAGGCGTTGGACCCGGCAACCGTCCGAGTGATGTAAGTACTACATCGACAGCACATCGCGCAACGCTGATCCTCGTAGATTTGCTCCACGAGACATTCCTGCTCCAGAGACTGTAGAGGGGCTGGCAAGATTGTTTGAGAGGTTCAAGATCCCCAGCGCCTTTGTCGCCGAGAGTATGCAAAACATTTCCCAGTCTTTTGCAGCACAGAAGGACATTGACGGTACATTATACGTCTGGTTCCACTTCCTCTGCAAAACAGTCTCCATTCAAGGAAGTCGGATAGTCCATCAGCAAAAAGTCGCACAAGGCGACAATGACGACGAACAAGCGCGTATCAACGCACAGAACCAGAGCCAGGCGGACTTCGACTGGCTAAAACCTGGATTTGTTCTCAAAGTGAGAAAGCCGCAAGGTACGCTGAGGCTGCCGAGTCGCACAAGGACTTCGAGTAGTGATGCGACCATGTCTGCCGCTACCGCAGAGTCATCAGTTGAGTTGTTCTGCTTCGGCGCACCAGAATCATTGGGTGACCGGTTCCGTAAGCTAAAAAATGTTGCAATCTGCGACGACCTTGTGCAAGATCCGTACGTTCTGCTGGAAGTGGTATTGGAAGAGATGTACAAAGTACTTGATCAGACCGGTTGGGCGATATCTCATGTCTTCGGTGAAATAGAGATAGTAAGTCCATCATGAAGGTGTTTGTTCATTGGGGAAGGCTTGACATTGCATCAGAAGACCCTAGAGTTGGCGACGACACCTGGAAAAGCCAATCAGTTGCCTCGAGACCATTTCACCGGTCTGCACAATCTCGCCAAGCACATCACTTACCTGCGTGAGAACTGCGATTCTGCACTTGCAACGCTTTCAGGCCTGCGCCATCACCACACAGCTGTGATTGGCGACCATCCCGAACCAGCTCAAGAGTTCACGCGACAGGCCCTCGAATATCGCAAAACTCTCTTTCAATCCACGCAACGCCGGCTGGCAAGCTTGGACAAGCGCATGGCGAACATCATCCAGCTCTCCTTCCATCTCGTGACCGTGGGTGACAGCCGAATCATGCAATCCGAGAATCAGAGCATGAAGACCATCGCAGTCATGACTCTGATCTTCATGCCTTTGAGCACCGTCGCTGGCATCTTCGGGACGCAGTTCATGAAGCTAGATGAAGACGCGCCGTGGCACATACGCGTATCGCAGGACTTCTGGCTACTGTGGGTAATCGCGGTGCCGTTGACTGTCATCGTGGTTGTGATTTGGCGCGTATGGTACTACGACGCGAGAGGACGTCTGGTCGATGAATTGCCGCCGCGAGGGAAGGGCGAGCGTGGGTGGTTGGGATGGAAGACGATGGTGGGAACGAGGAGAAAGTATAACGTCGTGCGCACTGACTACGAGAAGGCCTACGATGCAGGAGCAACAGTAGCCTCAACTTGAACACCACAATCGATCTTCTTCAATCACTGATGCTGAGATCGATCCCTACTCCATAAACTTCGTCCATTTTCAATGCTACATTGGCGTCTACCTGTTTGTTGCCAAATACGAGCTTACAGACCAGCTCTCCATATGTGCCTCCTCACACGTCTCACACCCGATCGCTTCGCAGAGTGTTCTTCATCATTTGCTTTAGAGACATCTTGTTGTCTCACATAAATCTTCTGATCACCAGGACAAGGACGCTCATATGTGTTTTGTCACCAGCAATGAGCATGGAGGCGAGCACTCAGGATGCGCCTTCTCACAAAATCCTAGCCGCCAGCTAGCATATCACAGCAGCTGCGAGAGACTACCTGCCGATACATGATCACAACGACACATCCAATTCAACTAACTCATCTCATATCGATTTTCATACAGCACAACGCATCGATACTCTCATTCATTCGCACACGACTCCAACTAACAACACCCAACTTATCTAGCTCATCGTACAGCTCAACCGGAAAAATGCCACAAATACGGTCTTTCTCCATGCCAACAAGTCCATCCAATCACTCTCTCATCCTTGAAGAGACGATCACAGCCAGTACCTCAGGACAGACCCAACGCACAAACATGCAAGCTCCCACCCTCCAAGCAATCACCACCGCTCTAGCGCTCGTGAACTCTCTACCGACACCAACGGAATCACACGCAAGCCAATTCGATGAAGAACTAAGCGAGGCCTTCAATCTCGACTTCACTCTACCACCCCTCGCCCCCCTCGGGTTACCCAACTTCTCTCAGCGTGCGCCAGACTCACCGCCCTCCTCCGTCTCGCTTGACGACCCTCCCCAAGATTCACCACCCGAGTACGTCCCCATGCGCGACGCACCTCCTCAAACATCATCACACGCCGCACTCTCGGCCGAGGAGGACAGGCTGTTCCTGACGCGCTTTTGGCGAAACGTGCAAAGGAGGCAATGGGCCCGGGGAACCCGCGATGCAGCCCTCGAGCCCACACCATCTGGATCCGAGTCCTCATCGTCGTCTTCATCTGAGCTTTGGTCCGAGCCTTAGGAGCGCACGTTTATGTATAGAGGTGAAGACCCGAATCTCGACCATACCGACGTGCGGGATGAATTCAGTCTCGCCTGGGAAACTTCACGCACTTCCAGCCGCACCACGCTGCCATACAGCGTAGCCATCACGCTCCGCATCCTGTCGCACATGGCACTGTTGGGGTACCGGGAGGCGCGATTCCTCGTAGGACTGGACACGCAGGAGCTGGACGAGGAGGTAGCACGGCGCGTACTGCTGCAACCCCAGATGTGGCCAGATATGTACTATTTGATGGAATCGGCTGGGATTGTAGAGCAGGTGCGGAGGGTGAGGGAGGCGGATGTTGAGAGGGTGGAGGATGAGCGGGTCGAGCCGACGGTGGAATTGCTGGATGTTGATTCCAGGGGGCGGGGGGAGGAGCATGAGAGGGCGATGCTGGGGAGTCGATGGTAGGAGGGGGCGGGACGGACGTGGGCAGAGAGTAGGTAGAGAACATGCCAGGCTGGTGTCAAATGCATATGCAAGCTATCCATCTACATATGCCAACCATCCTTTTCCAGGGACTGGGGCCAACCAAGGCCAAGTCAACCCCTCCTCTCGTCTAGGACACAAAGCGCCTCGCTACATGCAAATGCCGATAGGGTATAATGACAAAGTAAAACGCTCGTTCCTCAGCGCGCCAACACGGGTCCACCTACGCTAACCCGTCTTTGAAGAGGGTGCGTGCGATGAATAGAGAAAACGGGAACATCGATCGTGCCGGGTCGAGAGGGTGCTACCTTCGGCCCTATCTACATGTCAGTACAGCTGTCAGAGGTAGTGTGTGAGTGTCATTGGTCTTACCAGGCTACTCGATCCTCCAACAGCTAGCCGTTGTTTACCCAGCCAGCTCTTGGGTGCCTCGCTCCTCCTTTGCAGGACGACGGTGTTGCTCTGGAGGCGCATGGTCATGTCGTACCACGCGGAGGTAATGAGTTTGTTCTCGCGGCGTAGATTCTCGACCTCTTGCTGGAGTTCAACCTGCAGCATGTTAATTGAGGTCTGTGAATTAGTCATGGCAGTACTTACCGAGCCCTTCTCCGCCGTCTCCTTCTTCGCGGATGGCAGCTGTTCCCGCAAAGTAGTGTTTGCGGCCATCTGCTCTTGGAGATCCTGTAGCGATCATTAGCAGGTGGCTCTCCTGCGATTGGGCGCTAAGAGAGGAGAGAGAAACAATGCCAGAATCGATGATACTTCTTCGCCGCCAGGCGAGGGACAAACTTGCCACATTGTCCAAGCCGTTCGCTGAGTAAAATTCAGTGCTGGCTCTAACAGCTGCTGGTCTCTTCTTCGGCGAGATCATTTGTGTGACGCGCCCCCATGTAGTTTGTCCCGTGCCAGTCGTCGAAGTCGATACCTCTGATAAGGCCCTGTTCTTTTCCGGATGACCCTTGTCTGGTGATACTGGTGAAATAAGCGTAGCGGCAGAGAACGACGGATCGAGGCGTTGCCGTGTCTTCATCGTCGATACCGCTACATCAAATGCGGAGGAAGGTGATTTGGTGTGGGAGCGTTGGCTGATGCTTACTTTCTTCGCTTTGTCGAGCGCTGCTTCTGACGAGAGTATCGTTTCTGCGATCTCCGACGATGTTGTGTCTAAGACGTTGGGCTGTGTTTCTGCCGGCGCAGTAATAACCGACTGTATCTGGTTGCGAATCTGCTGTAAGGTCTCTGCCCTTCTGAGCTCGAGCAGCTCAGGGGACAGGTGCTCGCGGTCGAGTAGCGCTGCTCGCAACAGGCTGGCCTTCTCCTCATTTGCGAGCTCCAGGTCGCGAAGTTTCTGGTTCGTACGCTGTTGCAATGCCAGCATACGCTCGTGCTCTGCAGAGATAACTTTCGCTTTGGCCTCATCGTCGAGGTCTGACTTCTTATTGAGTTCGTTTCGGAGCTCAGCCATCTGCAGGTCCTTCTCTCGTAACCTTCGGTGGAGCTCTTCCAGCTCCTGTTCAGCCATTTGGAGTTTCTCGTTCTGCTCGAAGAATGGCTTTTGGCTTTCCTCGTCCTTCTCTGCCATCATGTCGGACCGCAAACCCAAATTCTCCGTCATTTGCTTGAGGGTCTCGGCCTCAAGGCTCTTCAGTCGCGCTGTGAGGATGTCGACCTTCTGTTGCAATGCTATTGTATCAGCGGTCACTCGCCCATCAGTCACTTGTGATGTATCGGGCTCCAGGACTGTCTCGTCTTGCTCGAGCTCTTCTTCCAGGCTGCCACCACGATCGGTATGGTTTGAGGATTCCAGCTCCCGTATCTTATCTTCCAGATCGTTCTTGGCATCTTCAGCTTTGTACTGGAGCTCTCGTGTTTGCTCAAGCTGCTTCATGAGCAGAAGATTTTCGTGCTCGATTCTTGTACGCTTGCCCTTCTCTTCGAAGATGGCCTGTTCGCAATTGACAAGCGTTGAGCTGTTCTCCTTGTTCACTTTTTCTAAAGCCTCACATCGCTCTTCGATGGCCTCCAATTGCTGTAATCGTTCCCGTGCTTGCTGGTAATCCTCGCGTAGTTGTTCGAGGTTCTTGGTCTCTTTTGTGAGCGTCTCGATCTTCTTTTTGAGGTTCTCGTTGGCCTTCGCTCGCTGACTGAGTTCATCTCTCTCCGCTTTGAGAAGCTGCAACTGGTCCCGCAAGTCTTGCTTTGATCCTTCTTCGCCCTGGAATCGCTCCAATCGTCTATTTTGACTCTCCAAGATGTCTCTGGCATGAGCAAGGTCGGTCTCGAGCTGATCGATGTACTGTCGATCGCGCGCTAGGTCGTTTCGTAGCTGCTCGACATCGTCTGAGTGACCTGGCTGTGTTGCACGGTTGTCCAGATGCACCGTAGCTTCGGCAAGGTCTTCCTCGAGCTGCGATATTCTGTTGCGTAAAGTCTCAAGCTCCTTCTGCAGCTTCCCAACATGTGTTCTCAGAGCGTGCCTATCCTTGTTCGCTTCGACGAGCTGCGCTTCCTGTTCTAGCTCCGAGTCTCTCCCAAGTGTAGTGGTCGTGCCGGACACCGCTCGTGTAGGCGTTCTGTACCCTGACAGATTGGGCTCCACTGTCAACTCTGAATCCACGCCCAGGTCTGACATCCTCATATCCAAAGCCTGCATCTCCTGGATGGCCGCCGCGATTGTTTCAGCTGTCTTCGTTCCCAACTGAGCCATGACTTGCAACATGCGCTGGTTGCTTTTTGGCGAGAAGCAGGCCGCAAGTAGAACCGCCATCGTCAACTTCGCTGTAAGCATTGTCGACCCCTCCCTTGCACCTGTCTTCAGATCTGGTATCATGCGCTTCGTGAGGACAGGCAGCTGCTCGCATTCCTCTCGTATGTACGTCGATACGGCGCGCTCGATGTGCTTCAGATTCTGCCATTTTGGTATCCAGTTATTGCTCTGGCGTCGGTCGTTGCTCTCTTCGAAGATGGGTAGGGATTCGCTGAAGTACTCGTTATCGATGTCGTTGAGGATTTGCCAGAGTATCTGGCCGTCCTCGAGCTGGTTCCATGTGTTCACTCGGCCGGGTAGATCGAAGGTGTTCACCTGTAGGCACATGTCAGCCTGGGCTCCAGGCTACGAGAGCCGGTGCACTGTGTACCCAGTCGAGCAGAGCTCGAAGCAGCTCTGGCTTGAAGTCATCCATGGTGAGTTGAGACGGCTCACCACCCACAAGTACGCGCTCGGATGCTGCTTCGTGATTCCAAGTAGGACGAGCAAAAGCTATGCATCATGTGTGTGCGGGCCAATCATGCAAAAGGGGTGGCTGCCGTTATGTTGACGCGTTGGTGATCGATGGGCGGTGGGCGGTTACGCTAAACAGATCGTCTCCCGCCGCGGAGGTGCACCTTGATGTCGCGCTGTCTGGGGCAGAGCGAAGGGAAGGGTCTGGTAGACAGGCCGCAAAATGTCAAATTGAGCGCATAAGGATGCAATTGTGTTGAGACAATGACCAGTCTCAGTGTGTTGTGAAATTCGAGACCGGGGGTTTCCCAATGTGGTGGGGTGCACCCGCCTTGCGCCTACCGCTGCAGGGTCCACAAGCCCTGCGATGGCAGATCGAACAACCACATGCTGCACGTTGGCTTCTTCACCCGTTGTTGGCTCACAGATTCAGCGTGCGCGAGGGTACGATCTGGCTTGCTGGTTGATTACAGGAGCCAAGGCTGGAAGATATGCTGCTGTTAGGCAACAGCAATAGAAGTCTCGTGCATTGTGAATGAACGTAAGAGCAAGAGCAAGCAACCCAAATATAAACGTGACCAAACTGCCCGCAGATATCCTAAGCCGTATCCTAAGCCGTACTCCTTGTCGAACTCCATGTCGAACTCCATGTCGAACTCCAGATACCAAAAGTGACTGCCGCGTCCCATATAGTCGCAATCCTCCATCAAGAGGTGTGTACAGTTCAAACTGAAGAAGATTGTCGTCTGCGCCAACAGCAGTACATGTCTACTCTTCACCCTGTGTTGTCACGACGCCGTCCTCTTCAATTTCGACCTTGTACTGCTCGCCCATTGTCGTCACAAATTCGAGGGCAGAAGCGGGGGCCTGGGCAGCGAAGCCCTTAATGATGTCTATAGCCATACGTCAGTCCGTTGCCCCATTTAATGAGGCGCGCACTGTCTTCCACAGAGCGTTGTATAAGAGACACGCACTGTACTCATGGGTGATAACACCCTTGGCCTTTCGGATGCCCTCCTTAGCCTCCTCCACAATGTGGTCTGGAGTGTCGTTGGGGAAGCTGATAATGACCGATCTCTGCGGAGCGACAGCCATGGTGGTAGCGGCGAAGAGTGCGGTCAAGACGGAAAGGGTAGAGAAGCGCATTTCGAGGGAGTCGATCGAGCTTTGCGAAAGGTGAGCGAGCGGGGTCTTTATCAGGTGCGTTGTTCGGCGGTGATAATGTGTCGCGGAGTTGTGTATGTGATTAGGAAGGTAGATGCGTGGTACGAATGTTGGGGTGACAGGAGCGGAAGGAGCATGCCTCGGTGCACGTCATCCGGAGAAGGCGCGACACGGCTGTCAACGCCAATCACATCACCGTTGTCCCTTTCATTCATTCATGCTTGGCATTCCGCTCACCATTCCCTGCACTCCACACCTCAGCGCGAAGTTGGTGACAGGAGCCGTCTCTTGAGCCTCATAATCACCGGTGACGCAGAGCCTTGCACCCTGCATGTCTCTACCACCTGCAGCTCAGGTTCAGCATCAATCGATAGCAATCGCAAGACACTGAGACAAAAACAACAGGCCGCCTTCAAAAAGGCCCTCAAACACCAACACTCCACACTGATATGTATGCCGCCATCCACGTTGAGAGAGCCGACAACGAATGTTGAACCCATCAATGCCCACCAGGCGAACACACACAAAGTCACGCCTTGGTTGCAGCCAGTGCAGAAAAAGACGAGTAAAATGCGACGAGCAGATTCCGCAATGCTCCTCTTGCGTCCAGCGTGGTGAGAGCTGCGTCTACTTGAGGTTCCCAACCAAATCTACACCCATTACGTCTTCGAAGACAGCCACACCGCCTGTTAACTCCATCTCGCCATCAGATGCAGGGACCGGTCACGATTCTCCGGCCCCCATCACCACATATCAAAACAGCGTAGACGAGGCACCAAGGAGCCCAGACAGGGTCCGCGAATTGGAACTTCTTCATCACTGGTGCTTGAAAACTTCCAACAGCTTCACTCCAGAACTGGTGAATCTTTTCCAGGATTACCTTGTCAAGGAGGCTCTGAAAAACTCACACCTCATGGAGGCTCTGCTTGCACTGGCAGCTTTTCACATCGCGTGTGAAACAGACGATCCAGCTACATCTCGCAGATTCGCAAGCACAGGTATGAGCTATCAGACCAGAGCTGTTACAGGCTTGCGCATCGTCCTTGGTTCACTCTCGCCTGAAAACTGCGACCCTGTCTTCGCATCATCTGTTCTCATCATGGTATGCGTCATGGTGTCGCCATTCCTGCCTGTTGGGCACAGAAGAACTTTCGACTTCACGGCTGAAGCCATCCTTCCACTCGCCGACATCTTACGCGGACTCGACCTCGTCATCGAAACCTCACAACGTAAAGTGCAGCAAGGACCACTCAGTGGCATGTTCAACGTCGCATGGCCGAGTCTACCACATTCGACAGTATCGCCTACTATAGAAGACCTACGCAAACTGACTGCGAGCAAATCCGACCCAACTACTGCACCCATGTTCGGGCATGCAATTCAAGCGCTCGAGCAAAAGATCTTGGATAATGCTGCGGTTTTCCCATGGATCGCACTGACCGGTCTGGAGTTTATCGATCATCTGAAGTTACAAAACAGTGTTGCAATGGCAATTTTCATGGTCTGGGGTGCACTCATAAATATGGCAGACAACCAGTGGTGGGCGTCATTCTCAGGAAAGAACTTGGTGAACGAAACTTCGACAATACTGAGTCCGAAGGGCGACGAGTACGCACGAATCGTCACATGGTGCCGGCGAGAGGTTGGACTGAGCGAACAGCCTTGATCATGCCACCTTGATGGATCCCTAAATCCGATAGGTTCGGACAATAATATGCTCAAGACAGTCCTAACGATACGTTTGCGCCACGCCGAAGGTGCTCATCGACACTAAATCATCTTTACCAACAACATCAGATACATCTAAGGGATGACGACAGCAGAGCGAGAACGAAGACTGCATCATGCCAAGGGCGGCGCTGCCGTGACCTCCAAAGCTCCGCCAGGTCTTGCCCACCGCGCACTGCGTGGTCCCGGATTAGTCGCCGACCAAACCAATCAGAGCAAGCGCCGAACGAGCGGAGTCCTTACCTGGCCAATCGCATTCTCAGCGCTACGAGGCCATCAATGGTTAACAATGTCAGGCATTCAAGTTACGTTATATATGCTGTACGGTCCTCAGCATCCAGAAACAAAGTCTGGCGCAGCGCAAACGAATCTCTGAACGAGTACGAGCCCACAGTGCGACGTCAGTCCCTTGCAAGGCTTATATGCGATTGCCTTCGCGCCCCTAATCGTCTTTCAACACCATCTTACTGCGTTCAAGCGAGCGACCTGCTTCATTAAGAATGCCAGACAGGAAGAATCGGATCTAGAGTCGCCCAAGTTGCGAGTAAGAGAATCAAAGATGATCGTGACGATAATGTGGTACTGGGACAACATTCGATTAGTCGAATCTTAAACTGGGGTCTATCAGCACGCTCTGCAGCAGTCCATATGCTGCCCTGCATTCGATGCTCTCTTCCCATAGCGTAGCATTTCCAGCCAAACTGGATACTTAGATACAGAGCAAACAGATTCTTTGCGTTCTGTCATCTGTTACGCCCACCGGGCCGTTGCATTTGGTTACCCGGTGGGATAGTCTACACTTCATTACGTCATCTCGGAGACTACACCGCGACTACATTCTACTCGCTTAGAGAATCCGATGCTTTGTAATCGAGCCTCTCATTCTCTACTCACTCTTTTCTTCCCTGCTCTTACTCCTGACAAACGTACCTTTCCTCTAATAACACCGAGGATGACCATCCCGGGCATCAAGAACCCCGCTATTCCCTATGGCAGCACCATCGTAGTCACTGGATGCAGTGGCTTCATCGGCTCGCACGTAGCCGAACAAGTCCTCGCCGCTGGCTATAAAGTCCGCGGCACATCGCGCGACGCGAAAAAGAACAAGTGGTTGAAAGACCACTTCAACAACAAGCATGGCGAGGGAAAGTTCGAGTTAGTCTCCGTACCGGATCTGACTGCGAAAGATGCCTTCGAAGACGCCGTCAAAGGTACGTTCTTAAAGCAAATAAATTTAGTACAAGGAAAACATGATGTTGATATTGATGATTTGCAGGTGCAAGCGGCTTCATCCACGTAGCCCACGACATGACCGGCTCTGGAGATCCGAAGATTGCAATTCCGCACTCTGTCAACATGGCCCTCAGCGCACTCAAAACCTCCTCCTCCGCAGGCCTAAAGCGGTTTGTATACACGTCGTCTTCCTTCGCGGTGACCCAGCCCAAGCCCAGCGTCAAGTTCACGGTCGACGAGTCTACCTTCAACGAAGATGCCATCCGTGCCGTGAAAGAAAAAGGCGAAGCAGCGGGTGGCGCGACGGTGTATTCAGCAAGCAAAGTGGAAGTCGAGCGGGCACTGAAGAAGTGGAAGGAGAAGAGCAAGGCTGAGATCGTGATTAACTGTGTCAACCCCAACGGCAATCTCGGTCCCGTCCTCTCGCCTTCACACCAAGGGTACCCCACAACCGCGGGCTGGATCAAGAACTTGTGGGACGGCAACTACGCCGCGCTCAAGCGGCCGCCGGAGCACTTCATCGACGTACGGGATGATGCGAAACTGCATGTCATTGCGCTCGCGCACCCGGATTTAAGCGGGAGGAGGTTGTTGGGTATGGTTGCGCCGGCGCCGATTAGTCGCATTGTTGAAATTTTGAGGGAGACATATCCGGAGAGGCGGTTTGAGGATTTCAAGGATGAGGGGACGGATGAGATTGTTAATGCGGAGAAGGATGCGGTGGAGGGGTTGTTGAGGGAGGCTTATGGACATGGGTACACAAGTCTCGAAGAGAGTGTCAAGGCAAACGCAAAGGAATTGAAGTAAGTCGCGTGTAGCATATTGAGAGGTTACAAACACTCTCTGGGAACATGGAGATGAGACCATTATCATGAGCATTAACTTCTTCGTCACGTAATAGGACATCACAGGTACATCAAAGCCTAGACGGTGATCGAGAATTTCGATGCTTTCATTTTGGTGCCTAGCAGCACTGTTATCTACGGTAGGTGCGATACATGAACATGAAGAACTCCCCCCAAATGTTGATGATAAGAAAGTAACCGCCACCCGTGCTGCGGCTAAGCTCGTGCCATGCTGAACGTTTGTTGCGCATCATGAGCGCTGAAGAATACAACCAATGTGAAGCGAATCGGTAAGGGTAAGACAAGGGGAAGAATGGGCAAGGGTTGTACAGAAGCAAGGGGAAGAAACGAAAGGTCCATGCAGCGCCTGATGATGCATCACAGCTCAAGCTCCACAGATGCTGCTGTTGTCGTACTATACAAAGCGATCTGCCAAGAGCGAGTGATATGAATGGAAGCTAGAACACAAGCTCTGAGCATGCCGATAAGCAAGACCGAAAGATGAAAAAAGATGGCTGCTCGAAGATGGCCGGCCAACACTAACATCATACAAGATTCGCGACGCAACGTGTAAGAATGTTGCGTAGTGATGAGGCGTGAAGGGACGTGCCGAGCATGACCATAACTCGTCAGGTCGTAATGTCGTCAAAGACCATCAGCTAGAAAAAGTTGCTCACTCCAGCGGGCTGAGCCACGCCGTACTGCTGGTAGGCCGGGTTGTGTACAGAGTTGTTGAAATGGTGAGGCATAGGCGGGTTGCTCAAGCGGTGCGGCTGACGGTGCGGTTGAGGTGAAGCGATGTTGGCGCCATAATTGGCAGAGGCGGTGTACATAGGAGGCTGGTAGGAAGGACCGGCTTCGGTAGTCTGCGCTCCAGAGACGGTGCTCGGGGAAACGTGGCCAGATGGAGCACGGCCAGTAAAGGCAGCAAGACGTCCCTCACGCTCCTGAACCTTGGTTTGAATGCGTCGGCCGTAAGGTGTTTGGCGGATCTGGGGCAGAATGGGGCGCATGGCCTCAATGAGGTGCATGCACAGCTCAGGCGGAGCGAACTCGAGAGCAGTCTGGATGACGTAGTTGCCGTAAGAGTCGCGCATGAGCCTCTCGAGCTGTTCAACGTCGAGCAGCTCCTCGATCATGGCAGCCTTGGTCGACATCTCAGCGCAGCGGATGCACTTCTCGATGACGTTGGAGCTGAACTTCTGCATAGAGAGCTCGGCGATCTTGCCCTTGAAGCCAAGGCACATCGGTGTCGTAAAGTTGGGATCGTTCAGATCGAGGATGTACTGGACAACGTAGTTACCGAAGGGGTCTTGCACGAGGTGGAAGCTGTGTGCAGTAATCTGGCGCACAAGGTCGACCTTCTGGAAGCCCGAGGCATGGTCGATGCAGCGCTGAAGAACACAGCAGCCATGACGGTGGGTACCAACAGTGATGCAGTGCTCGCCCACAGCATCGAAGATGAACTGGGCCTCCGAAGACTTGAGGTGGTTGAGACACTTTTGGATGACATGGTTACCGTTCAAGTCTTGAATGAGGTCGACGACCTGGCCTGACAAGGCTTGGATGATGATCTGGGTCTGCTCCTCGGTAGAGATGAACTCGATCATCTTCTGCAGGGCTCGAGTACCATGCTGGTTCAGTGCGATGGAAACCATAGCTGGAGCAGCGTTGCGGACGAGAGTGTTGCGCTGCTCGTCGTTGGTGAACTCTAGAAGTTTCTGACAGAGGTAGTTGCCGAAAGGATCAGTCATGAGTTCGACAACATGAGGAGCGGTCTCATCAAAGATGATCTGAAGGTGCTCTGTGTTGTGCTCCTCGAGCTTCTTTTGCAGGAAGCGGCACCCATGCTGGTCCTTGCACAGGCTGTAGATCTCGTGGCGTGGCATGGTCTTCAGATCATAGTTCATGAAGCGGTTGGCATCATTCTGCATGCGGCGGCTCTGGATAACGCGAGCTTGGCTGTCTTGGATGCGGCCATTGGGCCCGTAAGTGGCGTATGGGTTGTAGTACTGGCCAGCACCGGGGTACACGCCGTTGGGTCCGTAAGGTGGAGGGCCACCGTACTGAGAGCCAAGGGACATGCCGTTCATAGCACCATTGAGCATGTTCATGCCATATCCGTAGTAAGGGGCGTTGCCAGCAGTGGCGCCAGAGTACTGCGACATGGTTGGGGAGCCAACTGTGCTGCTGACAGAACCGCTGACCGGCGCTGTGGAAGTGATGGCGGGGCCGAAGGGAGCAGCGCTCGCGTGCAGGCCAGACGAGACAGGACGATACTCCTGCTCCTTGAAACCAGTAGACAGCTCACGGCTGTGGCGGTGGGACACAGCGTGAGGAGGGATACGGCCAAGATTGGCGTTGTGCTGATTGAAGTGTTGTTCTGCGTGAGTATTGACGTTTCCGTTAGTGCCATTGCCATTGGCTCCGTTGCCGTTCTTCAAGGTGGGGACGTTGCTTGCAGAGAATGACTGTGTCAATTTTGGCATGCCGCTGGAAGGACTGGCAAAGCTGGAGCGTTGGTTGTCGGACCTAAGAGGGCTGGTAAAGTTGAACTCAACGGACTGTCGGTTGTTCTTGGGTGTGGTCTGGCCGTTGGCGTGGCCGTTCTCATACTCCTCAGCCTGCGAGCCTTTACGGAAAGTGTTAGCAGGAAGCGACTGTTGAGCCTGACGATGAGTACGGTAGCTTGGCCAGCCAGTGGACTGGGATTCCGTGCCAGGGGATTGGGAAAGGGCTAAATCAAGCGCAGCGGAAGAGGCAGAGAGGCTCGTACCATTACCTGCGTCGCCACGGCGGACAAGGATGGGGAACTTGTCGTTCGTGTTGCTCATTTGGAGATAAGCCTTATGGTCCGGAGAGGCGGCCGGATTGTGCTCCTTGTCCTCCTCGCCAAACAGATAGCCGGTAGTGTCGATGTGGCCGAGAACAGATGCCAGGTCTGGGAGGTTGTCACGGCCGCGAAGGTCAAGGCCAGTCACGGGCATAGACATGCGGTTGTTCCTGTAGAAGGGTATTGTAAGTTCATGAACTTTGTGCATGCGAGTTTGACGCGTTGGATTGTGGGAACGTGGATTGTGGGGCTTGTGTCACTCCATACGTCACCAGCGCAAAATGGTTCAGGTAAAAGAGATACAGCTGTACTTACTTTCGGGAAACTGGGCTCAGAGGAGTGAAGTCATCGTTGTCGAAGTCGTCATGGTCCTCGTCTGAGTTGCGGCGTGTGCCTGGCACAGACTGGGACGGCAGACCGTTGTTGTTGTTGTTGTTGTTGTTGTTGTTGAAGAATGAGCTGCTTGGGGGTGAGGTGACCTGGGAGTTGGCACGGCTGCCACGAGGAGTGATCTTAGCGGGCTGAATGCTAGACATGCTGAAACGGTTTGGACGTGAAAAGGCGTTTGGGAAACCGTTATCGCTGTACTCAGGTGGAGTGGTGGGCTGGCTGTGTGCGGGCTTGCCGTAACGGACTTCAGAAGAAAGACGGTGGATTTCCTCCTCGCCGCGTCGAGACTGCAAATCAATAAGCTCCATCTCAGCCTCAAAGCGTCTTCGCTGTTCCTTCAAGTATTCGTACTCAAGCTTCTTCTTTTCGAGCTAACAATCAGTTAGCACGGTCACGCGGTTGTCAGACGTGTACCGATTTGAGGCAACAATGTCACGTTCGTGACAGAGGAAGGTAGGTAGAAAAGATAAGAAAAAATGTGGTTAAATGAATAGATCTGGATCTCAAAGAGAAACAGGGGTGGGTGTACAAGCAATACAGGTAGCAATGGTGAGACTTTTGTCGAAAACGTGGGTGGTGGAGAGATGGAGAGGGCGAGAGCAGCGGTGTTTATCAAACAGTCTTGGCAAACGTGGGGGAAAGCGCGCAACGGGGTAAGAGACAATAGGAAGTCGAAGTGAATGGCAGTTTTGCTTACCACTTGAAGCTTGTGATAGGTCTGTTATCGATCTTGTCAGCCTTGACTCTTATTCAGGTCGTATTGTTGGGTAGCGAATATCGCTCAATCCATGGTCGCATACGCAATATGCAGGCAAAAGCTGGGACACCGCACATGTCCACACTTTTGAAAGTATCTCTATGCTCTAGGTTCCAAAACGAGAGGGCTCCGCTACGTACCGCAGTAGTGAATTCCTGTGGCTCAGCGGCTTGCCTGCGCTGCTGGCCGATCGGCGACAACGGGGTGTTGAGAGTCGGCATGTTGTTCGTAGTGAAGCGTCGGTGCAGCTGGCCACGCACATCGCCAGCGCTGGAGTTGGCAGCCTGGGAGCCAAAGGTGCTGCGCAGGGGAGACGTGAGGCCGAGGGCAGCAAACGACGACTGCTCCTCGCGAGGTGAGCGCAGACCGCCGCGGTCACCAATGCCGGTAGAAAAGGCCATGTTCAGCTAGAAATACACTACATAATTATCAGCGTATTTGTCCCTCGCATCTAGAGTGTGGGGTTGAGGGCGGTGAGGGAGGGGTGCTGCAGCTGCGCAACGCGCGCCTGCCCTCCGAACAGCGCACACAACAGCGTGTCCATGTGCAGACAGGTGCTCTACATACACAGTCAAGTTACTCGTACTCGTACACAGGGCCAGTGCCCTCGGTGGCCTTTGTGGTGCGAACGCGAATGAGAGATGTCGTCGGCCTAGCAGAAGTCGGTGATGAGGGCTCAATTGTATCCTAGTGGCACGGGGTGAGGCCTGATCTATGCGCCAGACCAGCCAAAATTGGGTATGCGCGGCTTGTGGAAGGGACCGACAGAAGGAAATGTCAAGATGCACCACCTGTCAGTCCTCGAGTATATTTAGAGCTCTTGTGTGTAGGGAGGAAAGAGCGACCTTCGGCAGCGAAGTTCAAATGGCAGGCTATGGACCCTGAGTTGGGAAGGCGCCATGCATACGCGCTACTGGAGCCCTCACACGGAAATCCGCAGCAGTGCTTCATGACGACCCGTGTCTTGACCTTGAACGCACATGCACTGCTCTGCCTCGATCACGCTGATCTACATAAACGTGCATTCGCTTTGGTTTCTCCAACTTTTTTTCATTCTTCATCTCTTCCACCACGTGTTGAAGCTCAGCACCATCTGTCAGCCTTCTGCTAGCCACCGTGCCACAGTCAGTTCGCAGCGCCTCGGCCCACCATTTAGGAAACTTCTGTTCCATGCGACCCACTGGCTGCCCAATCTGCGCGGTAACCGTGGTGCTGAGGGCTCATTGACAAGGTGACAAGCAGTTGTCCAGGCCTCTGGACCCCCAGGGATACTGAGCACCGCCAAACAGTGGGCTTCCGGCAAGGCTCACACGTCATTCAGCAGCAGCCTCAATCCATCGTCACACAGTCCGACCAATCAACCCCCGCTATCGACTGGAAAGCAAGGGAGGGGCAACACTATTGTTCACTTCCACGGCCGGAGAGCGAGCAGCGGGGCAGTTTTGCTCGTCCTAAACGCCGACAGATGCCGCCTACTGTGGTAGGTACCTTAGTGGTACTCCCCTCATGTTCTGTCGACAAACATCGAATTCAACGAAGAAATATGAGGGGCAGCATGAGTACCTGGTTGATAGAACCAGCTTCGACAGCAGCTGCACTGTGCACAGCCGTTTTGGAGAAAATCCCGAAGCCCAGACATGTTTGTTAATCCTTCTGTTGAGATGATCTCTAGCAGCATTACTTTCCAAAAGCGGTGTGAACATCTCGACCACGCGGCCCACAACTCCCAGCACGAAGTGGACTGCCTCTCGTGATGTCCTGACGCTCAGCAGACCTGCAAACATTCCACCGACATCCATGAAATGGTCACGATACGCTTCTCTTCTCACAGCTTCTTGGGCACCCGGGGACACAGGCCTCATGGCCCGTGCTGGCGCAATCCACGGCTATCATGGCAGACGCGGTTAGGCTAGGAACCGCATCTGCAATCTTACACCGCTATCTCGAAACAGACCACGCTAGGCCTTCCCTGCCGTGTTTCAGGTCGAGGGGCCCAGCCACTCGACTTTCTGTTTCCCCGCACTGCGAATCGGCTGCCGCCGTCTCAGCCCGCCCTCACTTTCCAGCGAAAGTGCACCCGCCAGCACGAGAAGTGATTCCGACGGCGCCAACATCACTTTCACGGAAATGAGAGGACCGGTATCGATCGGTGATAGTAATGCTGCATCGGAACGGCAAGCTTGAGAAGCGCTCAACTGCACAACATCCCCGCATGGAGCAACGAAATGTGAGAAGAAAAGTAACTTGTACACCCACATCAAACTCGCTGTTAGGGTCGCCTCACATCACCCTCTGCAGCGTCCTGCGCCGCAGCGCGGCATGCTTCGAGAAGGCTGCCCGTCATCGGATAACTGCTGCAGGCGCCCGCGACAGCGCATAGCGAACGCCCGCAACGTGCGCTGGCAGGTAAGCGAGCGAACGTGGCAAGCCTTGCTCAGGGCGCAAACCTTATTTCTGCAATGTCAGTTCTGGCTGTCAGTGCTGGCACGGCGAACCTAAGGGGCACGCAAAGGCAAGAAGTAACGGGTTTGTGGAGACGCCATGTCATTGAGGGCCTGATGAAGGAATACGGTGAGTATGGCGGGACTCGGGACTTAGACGGAAGACCTTGCGAGGCTGATATGTGCCGAAGTGTTCAAACAACTGCAGAGTGTGAAGACACGACGTCAGATCAACAAGTCAAAAGTGGGTTATATAGCTGATGCATTTCATACATTCTTCATTGTCATCTACACATTGTTATGGAGCCTAGCTTGGTATCGCCATCTAGTAAAGCTTCAGCGAGCGCTTACCGCCAGTAACGCTCTTGCGAACCTCGGACACGCTCCTCTTGGTAGTGATGTTACCCACAGGTGTGCGAGCAGGGAAGCCCTCCCACGAGGCGGCGTACTTGGCAACAGCAGCAGCAATACCACGAGCGTGCAGCAACCAAGCCTCCTGGTTCAGGTTGTCGACAGTGTCACCAGCCTGATGGTAGTTCTGGTCAAGGATCTCACCAGCAACACCTCCCCAGATCTTTTGCTCCTCCTCAGTCTTGACCTCATCAGCGCCAGTGGTGGTACCTCCGGCAGGGATGTTAGCATCCAAAAAGGGACCGTAGTCGGAGCGGCCGTTGAACTCGGTAGCGTTGTAGGGTACGCCGACGCGGGTGAAGTACTTCTCGAAGAACTCCTCGATGTCACCGCTGCCAGAAGGTCCAGTGAGGCCGTACGCGCTGCCATCTCCATCGTAGATCTGGTGCACGTAGTTAGGCGAGGCGATCATGTCGAAGTTGAGGTAGGCGCGGATCTTGAGAGACTCCTCAGGGGTCAAGCTTTCGACGAAGTAGGTTGAGCCGAGAAGGCCAGACTCCTCTCCAGACCAGAAGCCGAAAGTGACAGCGTTCTTGACGTTGTATTTCGCAAGGGCCTTAGCGACGTTCAGAATGCCGACAGTGCCGCTGCCGTCATCGTTAATTCCAGGCCCTGCACCTACAGAGTCTGTGTGAGCGCCAAGGGCAAGCTGGTTGTTCTTGTCGCCGCACTTGCTAGTGGCCAAGACGTTGTTGGTGGTGATGATCTGGACATCTGTCAAGACGTCCAGAGAGGCGGTCACATTAGCACCACCCTGAATTTGGGAGACGTAGGCCTGACCCTCCGCCTGAGAAATGGCAACAGTCGCGACGTATGGTCCCTCAGGGCGAGGCGGCGGGCCGAGAGTGGCTGACACGGTGCCAGGGACATTGTTGTACACCACAGCGCCAATTGCACCAGCAGCACCAGCAAGAGCAGACTTCAAACCAAAGTCGCAGGTGCCACGAGAGATGATGGCGATATTTCCAGCTACACTAGATGGGAAGTCAGCTGCCTCGCAACCGAGGTTGCTTACAACGACCAACGGCGCAGTGACAAGGCCAGTGGTAGAGTTCGAGTACTCTAAGAGAGTAGCATTGATATTTTGGCCGCCGATCGTGAAGCTGTTGATTGTGCCATTCAACATGACATAGTTGGAGAAGGGCTGGAGAGTAACATCGTAGTATGCGGTAGACTCAAGCTCCTTCTTCAGCCAGTTGACCGTATCGTTGTGAGCCTTGCCACCCATAATCCTGTTACGGTCTGGGTAGCTGTAAGCGAAGTCCTGAAGTTGCTGGGCGCCCCTCAGCAGCTTCTTTGAGGTGATGTCGGCTTCGAGCTTTCTCTATGTAGTCATTAGCATACCTTTATAATAGCTTATAGAGGTATCCTATCCTACCGAAGTGACATCAGGCCTCTTCTTGCAGGGCTTGTCGTTGTGTCCATCTTGACGTCCCCGGAGTTCTGTGGTCGCCGACGCAGCAGCGGCGAGAGCAGCGAGCGCAACTGTGATTTTCATGTTGACTGTGATCTTGCGTCTCTAGCAATGAAGCTGTGAGGATCAAGCAGCGGCTGTGCCTCCGGATAGGCGCGCAGCACGCGAGCTTTATACTTCGCCATCACACCACTCGCCCTGGCATATCTGCGTAACCCTGGTCCCGCGTGTCGGTTGTATGGTCATCCTCTCCTCATTACGCAAGAATCTGTAGACCTGCTTCCAGCATCCAGATCCGCTGCAATCGCCTGCAATCGCAACCGTATCCCCGCCCGCCAAGCAGCTCAATATCAACCATCTCTTATCATTCGCTAGCATCTCCACTCTCCATACTTGATCAAGAAGCTCGCGAACACAAGCTCCGCCAATGCCTGCTTCATTGCGGTAGGCTTTCTGGGCAGAGCCTGGGCGTGCGTGATAGTGGCGGGCGATTGCGAGCGTTTTGAAGGATTCGGATGCGCAATTGGAAGGAACCTGCTCGCGGAGAGAGGAAGGAGGAGGCAAGTTCATGTTTGCCAAGAAGGCCGGATGAATACTGTTTGGGAAGGTGTGATGCGGAAACGCTGCAGGAACGCGGCTCATCGGCGGTCGGGGGCGATTGTGTATCGGTCAACCATCAGCGGCGCTCACGACGCCTGCTCATCCCACCTCTTCGTCCAGGAAAACGGCAGCTGCGCGATATGTCGCCATATTGTGCTCGATTCCACGGCTCAGACTATCAACGTCGTACTCGGTGTTGCCACATGTTACCGGCTGGTGGCAGGAAGCACGACATGCTCCACGGAGGGGCGTTGAATGAGCGAGGTCAAACTGTCCAGGCCAGGCGAGGATCGTTCAGGAATCAACAACCAACGATGAAAGTTTAGGTTCAGAATGTAAGTGTCACATGGCCAACGAGGTACTGTGACGTTGTACATGAAGGAAGAGAGGCATGTGTGGTGGGAAAGGACCGCCTATACACCGTGGAGCACCATGTTGTCCTCTGCCATCTGGAGTTGGTTCCATGATGCGGCAAGACATATGCACGGTTCCTGGGCATTGTCTTGTCGTCTGCTTGCGATGCTTGGATAACAGGAGTCCTCTTCATTTCTGGATGCCTTTGAAGATCGAATCATTGCCTACAAGTCTAAAATGTTCGAGGCTGTACCTGCTGCCAGCAGCTTTAAGCTTGCTACGGATATATTTGTCGATGGCTCATATGAGCTTTTCATTGTCGCAGCCACAATTCGACATGAGGCAAAATGGTAGTGAATGCCACAGGTATGTTGGTGAAAGGCCACCCTAGGAGCTGGATGTGAAGGGATAATTAGGGAAGCTACGGCCAGTAGGATCTGTCAACATCAAATCTTGTACACACTTCCTCCCACTCCACATAACCCCCCTTCGCTACGCACATGTACCCGTATTATATCGTCAATCAGCTTTTCTTCGCCTGACGATCACTTATTGATCCTCATTCACAATCTCTATTGCTTATCCAACACAAGGCGCTATCTACCATGGCCTCGGATGGCCTTCCCACACGAGACGAGTTCATGGCCGACGGGATAACTGTCCTGAGCATTTACGACCTTTGCTACAACCGTTTCGACTTCCCTTCTCATATGCCAACTCATTTTGCCGGATCCAATACTTGCAACCATATTTTTTTTTTGGACAGAGCTGCTTGGAGGTTAGCTGCTTTCTACTAACAGAGGCATGAACAAGTGTCTGATTTGCCGCACCTTTCTATTCCATTGCGTAGAGAAGAATGATGAAGAACACAAAAGCGGCTGCGGTCGAGATCAGAGTGAGGACGAAGAAAACCAGAGCGATACAGAATCATTTCCAACACGCCTCTAGGACATAACAATCTGGGGCAAGCCTACAAGTTCGTGCGACACCTCGCTGCTAAGCTTCACAACGCCTTTATAGCTACATCCGCGTACAGGTAGGTACACGTGCTTCAAGCAATCATGCCAGTACTTCCATTTCAGCGTATATCCTCTCTACAGGGACGAACAGTGGAACCTTATGCACGACATCGTGCATGGCTTGATGCTGGATAGTGCGGATTTTTTTAGCGACCGGTATTCATCCGAGGGGTTTGAGAGAATACTGGGTTCTAAGGATGGCTGATGCCGTGAGCTGGCAGCTCGACGGGATGGAGGATATTGAAACATAGGGTGCAAACCCGGAGGATGGTCAAATCTTGGAGATCGATTTGGTCCGAGACAACATGGACGAGTAACCATGGGCTCCAAGCTTTCAAGAAATGTCAGCCCTTCGCAAGCCGTTTTGAGAGGCAACTTATGTCATTAATGCCCATAATGAGCAGTTGGAACTATTGCCAGTATCGTCCAATGAACAAGAACTAGATCTGGAGCCGGTCGAAGTGACATTGCGGAAACTTGTGACGAGAAAACCCGGGAAGTTCGAGAAAGGCAGATGAAAAGATGTGGCCTTAATATTATTGCGCGTTAGATAAGCGATACATTCATTCGCCCGTACCTCTCGCGAAAGAAACCTTTGCCGCTATCTACTCTACCATTTGTGAGGTTTGTGAACGAACAGTGGACAAAGATGTCAGAATGCGAGGTGAAAGTGAAGTCGCAGACGCTGTAACTTCCAGTTTCTTAACGCCAGCTCTTGTGCCCGCTTCCTCCACACATCACCGCCCCCTTTTTCGCCTTATCAAGGCGCTCTAACAATTCCTCTACCGAACTTACCTCGCGCGAAGACTTCATTGCTAACGAACTGCGTGTTGTCGACAACTGCAGTATCTGCCTCGAACCGTTCGACTCCAACCACGTGCCGGTGCACTTCGGTAGCCGTGATAGCTGTCGCCACGTATTCGGGAAGGAGTGCCTGGAGAAGTGGTTTCTTTTTACGACTGAGAATGTGAATAAATCCTCAACATGCCGCCATGTGCTGTTATGCCGCCACAACAGTCAAGAAAATGATAGCGAAGTCGACAATGAGGATTAGAGTGAAGATGAGGAGGATCGGCTCAATAAGATGTGTGACATTGAGCTCGCGAACGACTTCATGACAATCTGGGTTACATGATCGAACCCCATGCGATATCCTTTGGATCAAGAGCCAACGAAAGTCTCGCGAATATGGTCAGAACATCAGTCAGCGCATTGCAGATCAGTTATGACATATCGTTCCATGATTCAGACCCTATGTGAGTCGACATTTGCGTTGTGATGCGGCAGATGTTCACTTCTGTCGACTCCAACAATTACGAACTCGAAGGTGGCGAAATTGCTTGGACGACGAGGATGAGTGCTGCTATAGGCTAGTCGCTTCGTTTTGATGATGATGCAGAGGAGGACAGCGATCGTTTTTCTCCCGAGTTGAGGTGAAAGCAACGTACACCTAACATTAACCAATTTTTTTACTGGGCGTACACTGAACATAGAAACCTGAGCAATCTTTCTCTCTTACCCTGCACAAAAGATCGCATACACATAGCGCACAATGGCGCAAAACCCGAGCTACCCACCCTCACTGAACAACTTCATGACTGACGGACTGTGCACTTTTGACACCTGCAATGTTTGCCTCGAAAGTTTTGACTCTGCTCCTGTTGCAGTTGGCTTTAATGGCACTAATGTCTGTAATCACATTTTCGGAAGAGAATGCCTGCAGGAATGGCTGCTTTCTAGCAGCGCCAACGCGAACAAGTGTCCCACCTGTCGCCGCGATTTGTGCCGGGCAGAAGATGTCGCCCAGGCTGAGGAAGACACGGCAGGTCAGGAGGAGGAGGACGAGGACGAGGAGGACGAGGAGAGTGAGGACGAGCAATTCCCAGACGATCTGCAAGCTATCTCAAATCCAGCGCACGTGTATGACTTTATGGTGCATCTTGCTGCTCGCTTGAAGGATGCCGTCCGCGGTAGGCGCCGTTCGCGAGGTGGTTGCAGTTGTCGCCTCCCTGTAGGGACTATGTGCGAACACTTCGGAACTGATACTTGGCCCGCACTTCGTAGCCTCCAGTGGTGTCAAATGTGTGTTCACTTGGGAGCTCTGCAATACAAGCTCGTCAGGCACATCATATCAGAGGGCGAGATGGGACGCGTCTGGATTCCAAGAATGGCTGAGGCTCTGGACTGGCAACTCGATGGCACCGACAGAACTGCAGACTAGAAGACAGAGGACAGCTCTTCAGACTAGAAGACAGAGGACAGCTCTTCAGAAGAAGACGAAGAGGACAACTCGGTCGGTAAGGACGAGGAATTTGAAAATGAGGGCGAAGACTTAGAGGAAGAGGAGTGAACGTGTCGCACGAAAGAGTTGACTCCAGCATCAAGGTTGGTCAGCGGCTCCCTCTGATGCTTCAGATACCAGCTAATCTTGATCAGGTCACGATCAATTCCGGCAAATCGAACAGAGCAATAAAGGCCATGAACACAGCTAGACTAAAGGATGGTAAGTACACCTACGAGTCGCTGTGAAATGACGCTAACATTGTTCAGAACGTCAGGGCACTGCCAGTGCAAATCTTTTGATTGTTTTGAATTCGTTTCGCCGCTACGCTTGCTGGTGGCTTGCTGCCCATGCTTCCAGATGTGAGAAGTCAGGATGAGAGGATGTTGGGTGTCTAAGGCGTTGAGCCGCTGTATAGGCATTACAGTATCAACAATGAAGGACACTTGAAACGTCGATGGAAAGGTGGATCAGGAAGTGTCACCGTTCTGCAGCATGTTCCTCTCAATTAGCATCGAACGCCTCTCATTGCCTATATCGTGACTATGGTGACCACACCACAACCTCAAAGTCCCACAGCAGACACCGCGTGCGGCACAATACTGAACTCAGCAGGCTGAAGATAATCCGGCTGAACCCCATCACCACACCGCACAACGGAATAATTTCCATAGTATGTATACCTGATAGGTCCCCTGCTCAATCATTAGACCTCGCCTTCCCACACGAAAGCGCACTTACTGTTGGAAAGTATACTGCACACTCAGCAAGCCCCCAAACTGACTAGCGCCGTCAATTTGAACGGCCACACTGCCAGGCACGTTGATATCTACATCTCTACAGGCTTGGTGCTCATTGATCCTGCTGTCGAGACTGCAATCAATCGCTTTGAAAGCAGGCTGGTCTGAGGGGCCGATAGGGCTGGAGATGCTGAAGCCCCATGCCCAGCAGGTCGCTGCGGAGCAGGTGCCGTTGAAGTTGTGAACGGCCCAGGAGTAAGGAACGGCCTTGTTGGGAGTGGGAGTTGCGATACAAGTAGCGGCTATGAGCACGATTGCGGATACTTTGGCGAGCATGGTGGCGGTTTGGAGAACGAAATAATTGGGGCTGATGTTGGGACTGGTTTGAAGGACAGAGAACTTTGTGAGCAGCGTTCTGTTCGAGAGATGTTGCCTAGTTCTTTATACTTGCTCTCATGAGCCGAATGTTGGCCAATAGCCTCCTGAATGCCACGATGTAACGCCGATGCCTCCATAAGAATGTCGGGTTGTCCAAAGCCCGCTTCATTGCAGGACGTATTTAGTGGCACAGCTTTGGAGGCTGAGCCTACAACTCAACCAACGATATCATGATGCAAGAAATCATACATCATCGTGGCGACTCCGGAATTGCAGCGCTATCGTAATTACGACCGGCAGTTCACGTCTGTAATTTGCGGCGCAGCGCTTTGTCGAGTGCTCTCGGAACAGACTTGGTACCACAACAACAGTACGTGTTCCTGGTCACAAGACTTTCGCCAGCGCTTGTGACGCGCTTTGTGTTTGGTTTGTCCCTAGGAGGGCCGTTGATTTTGGACCTCTCACACATCGTCGAGCTTGCGATCATTGAAATTTCTCTTGCTAACTGGAGAGCCTATGTAGACCTGACCATCGGTCTGAGACCTCATCATGGGTGGTCGTCTCATGCCACTGGGCAAATCAAAGGGGCTTGCGTGGTGGTGAGACGATCCAAATATACCAACCTGCTTGATACCGGGTGTAGCGACTGGATTAGTCGGTTCGTCCGACGGTAACGGTTGTGCAAGTGGATCGGTAAGGAATAGGGTAAGGAATTGTTCGACGAGGTCGCGCATTCGGTCTGGTTGAGCGTGCAACGGTTTCTCCGTCATGTGCTTCCTCTAGGTTGGGGTTAACAAAGAACAACGGAGAACAAGAACGATAGTACGAACCAAAGCCAAGGCTGCCCCTTTGTATGTTTGATGGTAGATCAGCTTGAACTCCTCGTCTTTCGCAGCATCCTCTGCCGTGATGTCTTCGCTCACAGGCTGGCTCTCTTCCAGCCCAGGAGCCGTAGATGCTCTACGGGACTTGATCCTTTTCCGCTGTTGCAACCCATGCATGCGCATCGCCGCCATAACGACCTTTGTCAAGGCCTCTTTGTTTCTCGATTCAGTAGTAGGCTCTTCAGGCTGCAAAGAGATCGTGTCGACCCGTGATAGGTGCGTGCGCCTGCCGTGTGCTTCTGCTGTGTCCTTTCGGCTGAGTGGTCTGATGTCGGAACTGATGCTAGTCGATCGAGATAGCTGACGAGACGGAGGACGAGGTAAGGGACCATGTGCAGACGAAGGGCGAGAGTCTAGCAACGGAGATGCCTTTGAGTCAATTGAGATGGACTTGCGGTGAGTGTATGGACGTTGGGATCCAGTCGCTCGAGCTGCAGCAGCTGCGACACCTTCTCCGCCCTTGCCTTTAGCCTTCCTCTTCGCAATTGTTGCCTCCTCAAACAAATCTCGCTTGCGTTTTGGCGATTTTGGAGCGGTGTGGGAGTCGTGTAAAGTGTGCAGAAATTGAGCCTCGATCTCACCAGGCTGGTCGGTCGTGTTCGGTGTTGGCGAAGGTGGTAGGACCGAAGAAGCTGGGTTCTGATACAGGAGATCGGACGACAACGGCAGTGCGTGTACGCGTAGCTCAGGCAGGAGCCCTGGCTGAGCGTTAGGGACGTCTTGTGAGGAGGGTGGTGTTGGCAGACCTTCGATGGTCGGCGCAGCAGCAATTGTTCCATAGAAGAGGACCTCCGTGATCCTGGGCTTTTGCGGTGCATCCTCTCGAGCATGAACCTGTACCAGTACGCCAATTGGTGACTGTGCCCTCGCCAATGTCCACCAGTCGAGTGTGCCATTGCTGGGTGCAGCCGTTGAAGGTTGGCTTAGCAATATCGACTCGAACCATGCTTCCGAGGCTTCACTCGTTGTCCAGACGTCATAACTGGGCCCAGCAGCGAGATACAAGGGGATTTTCGCGGTATCGACAGTCGAGAGAAAGCGCAACGATGCTGCGGTTATGGCTGGTGAAGACGCAACAGTAGGTGCCGAAAAGCCGACATCTAGAATTTGTCAGTATCATACCCGTGTTGTAATCACGTGTAATTACCTTTGACAGACTGGCCGCCTGGAAGCAGGATCTCTCCGCTCCAGATATCGGTCATGGTTGTTGTGGTGTTCTCGAAATGCAATGCCCTGGATGACGCGCCGTTCCGCACTAGGTAGTCAGACGCGACTGCACGTGGGGTTGCATCACTTCTTCCTCTGCTTCCAGCTCCATCAGTCTTAACACAAAGGACGGTATTCTGCGAACGGCGCCCCATTGTGCATCTCCTAATCTCTTCCCTAATACTAGCGGCCTCGCCGTACTCGGGTTGGCACTTCGGCGTCCATGATTCAAACTACGAGTGCCTTCTCAACCACACACAGCCTACTCAGAGTCAATACTCCTTTGATACCTCCCCACGTGTTAGCAGTTAGTTTTATCTTCGCACTACCTAGGTAAGGTGTCCTGTCGGCTTCAGGATAGCTTTGAGCACCTCAAAGCTCGGGCTGAGCTGCATCGTATGCTGCAGCAATAGTAGATAGGAGCAGTTCGAGAGCAGTTACAGAAGCACCTAGACTCTGACACATCATCTGTCGGAATCTCCAACAACAGCTCCAGTGTCGCCTGCTAACACAACCCATACAGCCCAGGTATCAATCTTCTGGTAGAAGCCGCCTTGAAGGTTGGGAGAGCATGCTCGTATCGCGCAACAACTGCAAAGCCTGGTCTGTATGCTAGAACACGAAACTAGGTTGATCGACACAGATCGTGATTCGCGAAACGAATAGCAGCAAGACGTTTCGCTCGAAAACGTCATAGCCCCAGAGTATGGAATGCCTCCCACTCATTGGTATAACGTACACTGAAGCTTGCGTCCATCACTAGATCTCTGATGAACACAAGACGCCAAACTTGCATCGAGTTGCCACCATCAACCATCTTAGGCGGCCTTAATTCGCAAATATAAAGGAAAAGTCAGACGCATCGACTATGCCGGAGGGTGTCATCGTCAAGTTCTCGAGTTGTGTTCGCTTCCATCCACTTTCGCCGTGGACTTACATCTCCGAACACTATTGGTATAACAGTGGAAGCTCGTGAACAGCTGGAGGCTTGTTCGCACCACGCCCAACTGAGGTGAATCTTTGACTGCCTTCCGGCCAAGTAAAGTTCTGGGCAAGACGCTCAACGTCCAGATGTGTAGTAAGCCAAGTTGCGTATGTCTTTGCAAGAAACTTTGCAAACATGCTCGACAACCTCCTCGCAGCTATCTAAACATGCAAACAATCTCACCGAATGATGTGAAGGTAACAATGTGGTCTATTATCGTATCGTATCGTCCTCAAACCACGAAGGCGCTTACAACTTCGCCCTCACTACTCCCTTAGCAGCATTCTCAACAGCCGCCCTTGCAAACGACGGTCCATCGTAGATATCGCGCTCAACAGCTCGTGTGTTGATATACTGCATGCCCAGCTGATCCACCCTCTCAACACCCAGGAGGCGCATGCATGTCTCTGTTTCCGCTTTGAGGACTGCATAATCGTTAGCATGGCACACTTCACACAATTTGCTCGCTGATGCTCGCTGATAGACTTACTCTCAAGTACCCGCTCAACACCCTCCTTACCACCAGCACCCAACCCAAACAACGCCGCACGCCCAACACCAACACCTCTCGCGCCCAAGCACAGCGCCTTAACAATATCTGTACCGCGCTTGATTCCACCGTCAACCCAAACCTCAATGCGGTCTAAGACTTCAGGGCAGTACTTCCTGATCTCAAGTAGTGTATGTACCGCAGGAGGTGCAGTATCCAGCGCGCGCCCACCGTGATTCGATAAAATGATAGCCTTGACCTGCGGCGCATAACACGACGCTAGGTAAGCATCTTCATGTGTCTGAATACCCTTGAGCACAATAGGCTTGTTTGTGTGTTTTGCGAGCCAGGGGAGGGTGGAGCGCCATGTGAGATCTGCTGCGGTGCCCCAGAACAGACTCTGCCCCACGCCTGCCAGCTTTGGTGTCTTCGCCTCAGGCGAGGTTTTGCTGACGCTCTGGTCTTCTTGCACAGCTGCGCGGACAGACAGGTTGGATCCGATGTTCTTACTGCGCTCGTCGTGCTCGCGCTTCCCTGGCACGGGAGCGTCGAGTGTCAGGCAGATGAACTTGATGGGGTCGAGCTTGTTCATGCGTGCGAGAATGGCTTCGCTCTTTGCGCGCTCGTTTTGTACGTATAGCTGCCACCCAAAAACCTGCCCGGGCTTTGCGTCTGCAATGATTTGCTCGGGTGTCATGGAGGCGTTCTGAGAGATGATCTGCATAGCGCCGAATTTCTCGCATGCTTGCGCGATGCCCCATTCGCCGTCCTGGTGCGCGAGGCGCGCCATCGCAGCAGGAGAGACGTAGATGGGGAGTTTGACATTATGGCCGAGGAAGGAGGTTGATGTGTCGCAAGCAACACAGTCGATGAAGACGCGGGGGCGGAGGAGGATTTGGCGGTATACAGCGCCGTTGAAGGCTTTGGATGTGAGGTCGTCGGAGGCGGAGTAGTAGTATGCCCAGCCTTTATGGGGTATGTTCTTCGTTGCTACCTCCTCGATCTCGTCGATATTCAATATGCTCTCCAAGTCCACAGGCCCTTCATCCTGGGCTTCACCTGTCTCTGTGGGTGTCTTCTCTTCCTTTGGCAGCGAGTCGAGGTTGATCTTGCCGAGCTTGTCCTCGGGTTTGAGGTTCACCTCGAGCATGCCCGGTGGGTGAATTGGGTCGTACTCCTCGGTTGCATCGCTGCCAGCAAGTTGGAGGATGACCTTGCTACCGCCGGGGTGTTCGGGAATAAAGCGTGTTACATCGTAGACTTCGCCATATAAGATTACCCAGCAGCTTTCTGCTGTGTTGTGCTTTGCAACTGTTACGCTGTCAGTCTGAGTCTTGCATCGCCGAAAGAGCGGTCACAACCTTCCGCATAGTCGAACACCTTAGCCATTTTGCGCAGCTTTCAATGTACAATGCTCAATGTGAAGAGGGTTATTAGACGCTCAGAAACAATCGACAAAACTTGAAGAGCTGCACACAGCTCGTTCGAAAGAGAAGAAGGGATGAAGAGAGGAAATACAAAAGCGCTCAACAGCCGAAAAGCAGATGCCGACATCTTGTACTCCCGGCGGCTCATCCCCGCAAAACTGCAGCTCACGCGAGTCGTGGCGTCGCGAAGTTCGGGGTATTTGGCCCCTAAGCCAGGCAAGACGGGCCGCATTTCTTGATGCAGCGGTGCGTTCGGAAGTCAGCCGGAAGCCTTGAGAGGTGATTGGTGCGAAATCCTTCGCGAGTCCATTCTCGATGACCGATTGTTGCCTCGATGGACGACGGAGTCTGTTATTGGATGCGAAGGCGCGAACGTGGACATGCTGTTGAGCCTCAAAGATTCAATTGATCTCATCGTGGTCAAGAGAGGAAGTTGTGGTGGATGATATCAGTTGGAAAATGACTCCGCGTCGGCGTTTGAACATGAGAACATGAGGCCTTGCTCAAGCATCTCTCGTTCTCCATTCCAGGAATTACTTTAGTGTATCAGTCGAGGTGTTTAAGATGTAGCTCAGTGGCGCCTTGAATTGTATATCGGTATCAGGCAGTATCGAACCGAGCCGGCATTGTTGGCCGAATAGCCCTCTGTTCTTTGACCCTCTGCTCCCTTTTCTTCATCCTCCTCCCCTTCCTATTTAAACACAAGAACGATCTGAGGTCTGCGTTATCCTCATCGGAATCCTCAGCGTCACAACTGCCATCCATTTCCTTGCTGTCTTCGTCGCTGCTCGAACCCCCACGGTGTGACGCAAGTACCAACTGTTCCAGTACAATATGGATATCCATCCGTTCACAGCAACGTTTGTACTTGCTTGCTCCTGGCCAGGATTTGCCCTTATTCTTTATGTAAGAGGACAGAGCTGAGGCGCGCATCACTCGTCCGCCCTTGACCGGCTCTCTTCTGCGCCTGACCTTGAGCTTTCGGCCAGCAAGGAAGCGCTCCCTCTCTTCAGGATCTGCACCACGTCAACATCAACTCACTCAGATCACAGTCAGGCTCAGGTTCGCGGGCAAACCAGCTCACCAACCCTCACTCTTTCCCTCCCAGCCCATCTCAAATCCCTCCTCGCCGCCCTCCTGCTCCCCCCAATCCATCTTCTCCAGCTCATTCCGAAAGAAATCCATCTCCTCACCAAGCACCCCCGGCCTCGCCCCAAGCCTTTCAGGATACCTCTTCAAATTAAACCAATGCGTCAGACTTCGCAACGCCTGCTCAAGCGGCACACTCTCATCGACCTCAGCATCGACATCGCTGCCCGCCAGCCAGTCGTCCCTGAGCTCTGGACGGCAGTGCAGGTACACAGCGGTGATGACGCGCATATTGGACTGTCTCCATTTCCGTCCACAATAGGGGACCTGGTTTTTGAAGAGCTTGAGAGTGTAGAGACGGAGCTGTGGTTGTGGAACTTTCAGGCTCTTGCGTAGGAATTGTGAGGATTTGTAGGATACGAGCATGAGGTTGCGGTGTGCTTTGTTTTTGCAGATTTTCTGCATGATGCGTACGTAGTTAATTGAGGTGAAGAAGGCGCGCCACGAGAAGATGGTGATGGGCTCGGAGGGGAGATCGCTGGTGGGGAAGCCGAGTTCGTCGACCTCGGGGGGCTGGGGGACGGAGGGGAGAGGGAGCGGTTCAACGCCTGAGTCGGTTGACTCGTTGCGTGAAAGGCGGATGGGTGGGGGTGCTGCTTCGTCTGAGTTTGAGTCGTTGTCTGTTTTGTCTTCTGTGTTGTCGTTGATCGCTTCTTTGGGGATGTTGCGGGAGTGGGCGCGGCAGAAGGTAAAAAAGCTAGAAATTGTTAGCGTATGGTAAAAAGAAAGTTGGGTATGACATACTTCAGCTCCTCCTGTTCGCTCTTGAAGTTGACAATCTTCTCAATCTCCTGCAACTGCAACAACTTCAAGATCAAGGGGACATAGCTAGAGTCGACAAGCAGCTGCGTGATATACTCAAACTTCAGGATGTGCGACACCTTGAACCACTTGAGGATCAGCATAAGCGTGCCGGTAACCGCCTTATCCAGAACTTCCTGAGTCCGCATAGCGTCCAGCTCTTCGTTAGTCGCAGCCGTATTGCTGTGACTGTTCGTGCCGTTCGTCTCAGGTCTTTGCGCTGGCGTTCCATTCACATTGTCGTTGTACTGGAAGCCGCTCTGTAACCCGTTTGCTCCACTCGACTGCGTGACAAGGGCAGTGACATGCGCCAGGATCGCCTTGATCAATACTATGACCAGAGACTGCAGACTTGGTAGTGCGTTACGGTAGAAGTCTTCGACGAGATCCACCCTCTCCTCGATACTCCCAATGACCGGTTTCTCCTTCTTCGGCGCGTCTTTCTTCGGCTCAAGCGACAGCTCTTCAACGTCAGGGTTGTCGTCGGGGCTGGACCAGCCTCTTTCATACTTCATGAATGCCACGCGTTCTTCCCACAATTGCTTCATGGCGCGTGTAGCCTTCATGCGCTTTGCAAATAATTCAGCCGCTTCCAGGATCGAGGCAGGAATGTCAGAACCTTCCCACTTGCGTCCAACCAGCGTGTCCTGGAGGTCGGTGGAGCCTTTACCGCCAAGGTTGTTGCTGGACGCGTCGAGCGGCGGGTATAAGAAGGGGAACATCTGGTTCGTTTGGTAGTTCTGCTTCTTGCCGCCTTTGCCACCCGGTCCAGCTGGTGACGGTGGAGGCGAAGGCGCAGGAGTTGCAATGTGTACCGGTTGATGGAGGATGGAGGTGTTATTCCCATTTGTGTCTCCGAGTCCTGAACCAAAGACGTGGTTGCCTGCAACTTTGTTTGGGTGGTTCCTCAAAGGAGGAAGGATGGAATTGTTCTCTGGCTCGAGAGGGAACAGTGGTGCCGGCGGATTGTACGCTGGATATTTGGAGCTAATTTCCTGTCGGAAGAGGTGATAGTCAAGAGGCGACGCGGTGATGATCGGCTGCCCGCGCGTATCTTCAGTATCCAGATTCTTGTCCTTGAAGGACTCCTTCGCCTTGTCAACTTCAGACAGACCGCCGAAGGCCACCAGCATTGCCTTCCACAAGAGCAACGTGACTTTGCTGAGCGGAAGGCTGATCGACTCGTCCCATCGCAGCTTCGAGATCAGCTCCACAAGCAACATGAGGAGACCTGGTTCCTTGAGGTCGAGCACAGCCGTTCTGAGGCTCAGATCGTTTTCTTTCCTCTCTTGATACCGTGCGACGTCCAACACAACATAGACAGCTGTCATGGCGCACCACACCTCGCGTCGTTCCGCCTCTTTGCCCTCGTGCTGCTCGTCCTCGGATACGACACCGCAGGCGCGCATGCAAGACGTGCGCAGCACATCGACCAGCGTTTGGACGCCGTTGCTACCAGCCAGCAGCGTGACATTGCTTAGAATCAACTCCACTTGCCGTCCCGACCTTTCATACGCTGCGCTGGGTTTCCCCTCTGCCCTATCTTCCTGCTCCTCCGTTTTCTCGCCCTCATCTCTCGTTGTCGAAAGCCCAGCAGTTTCATGCCAGCACCCCAGCAGCACATAAACCAGTGCCTCGAGCCTCTTCAGCCTCTCCGTCGGCTCCTCCGCCCTGATACCCCCCAAAAGATGCCCCACAAACTCCTTGTGTTGTTCTTGCGTCGCTCTGTTCCAATCCAACCCTCCTTCCGCATACGACATCTCATTTTGCCCGTTGAAGCTGCTCCACTCCAGCGCGAAGCTCGCCTGCGCTTTCAACAGCATAGCCTGCTCCTCAACCGCATACGTGAACCACTCCTCGAGCTCCTCCTCCAGGCTCGACGCATCGTCATACGTAAAGGCATACGGGGTAGGCTCGACATTCGGCAGGCCGCCGGCTTTGACTAGGTTCTGGAGCTGGCTGAGCGAGAGCGAGTCGCTCGGAGCGTCTGGTGGGGGTTGTTGCGGCGGCGCAGGAGGCGGGAGGTGCAGCGGGGCAGGCGTGGGTGCCGAGCTGCCTCTCATGAGACCAGGGCGGGTGGGGAGAGAGGGCAGGGTGCCGGCGCGGCCTGCATCGCGCTCGTCGACTAGCTGTTCGGCGGTGTCGAGGGGCGCATCGAAGGGTGCGTCGAGGTCTGCAGGCTCGGCTTCGATGACGGGCTCGACGGGCTCGCCGTTTTCTATGTCGAGGAGGTCGCCTTCATCGACGCCCGCAGGCACGATTGGCGCCTCCTGCAGGTCGTTTTGGTCCACCATTGTGGCGCGCGCAGGGTATGGCGGTGTTGTTGGGGGTGTGTTGTCCGCGGGAGTCTTGCGGTTCTAAGCGTGCCCTCCACTTCTGGGAACTGGGCCACATTTCAGCGACCCATGATCAGCCTTTCCAAGATCGAGGTCTCGACTGCCAGCGATCTGAAGGTGAGAAGACGATTGCGATCGTGGGGTTATGCGCTCGAGGAAGGTGCAGTTCGCATGTGGGGACCACCGTCCTGGCCAATGAGGCTCCAGCAGCGCACCATCTGTGAGTTTAAACTTCACGGTCAGCGCAAAGCGCACTCAAGCGAGATCAAACAAGGTGCGCACAAGGTTCTTGCAGATAGAGCTGACTGATAGTGAGCCAGTGTAATTGTCGAAGCTACCGTCTCAACACTGGATGGATGCAGCCAGAACACGAAAGAAGAACACCACCATACCCTCTACTACCGCAACGCTCTTGTGCCTGCATTGCAAATGACCGCCTGATGCTGCCTCCAACATATCCGATCCCACATCTCGTAATGAGTGTTGCTGATAGCAAAGAACGCCGGAAATGAACCGATCAATTGTCGTTATCGTGCCGGAAGTGAACAGAGCACTGCATACTCATAGCCAACGACCAGCAATGAAAGAAGAATCAGAGCAGACAGGATTCGTCATACATGATGTGCGAGCAACAAGCTTCGAAGATTACGCAGTCAATCTGCGTGTGAAAATACTTTGCAACATCTGGCAGGTCACAGTCAGCTTGGACCGGTAGGCTCGCCGTTGTTTTCTCGCTCCTTGATCTCGTCTGGTACAATGCCAGCGTTTTCGCAAGCGCGCTTATAAATTTGTGCTTCGTCCCACGCTCGTTGGCATTCGGCCTTGAACTTATCGCAGCTGGCGCTGAGCTCGGTGATGGCTTGTTCGGTCAGCAGCTTCTCCAGCGTCCACTTCTCGATGTTCTGCTGCTCATTCTCTTTTAGCTGGGTGATGAACTGTACGGCGCGCTGCAGAATGGAGCCCTTGTTCTTCTCGCAGCCAGGCACAATCTTCGCAAGCTCATTGATCCCTTCATTGATGGTCTCACGACGGCGACGTTCAACTGCATACAATTAGCCTTGTAAAAATGAAATGTTTCGACGTCAATGCTCACCTTCTTTGTGGTTATCTCGTCTTACTTTGTGCCACTCATCAGATCCAACAGGCGGCTTATGTGAAGCGCTTTGTGGCGGCGAGTCGCTGTTAGCAGGCTGACCAGGGCGACCTGTGTGTGTCGCAGCCTTCAGAGCTTCGAGGCTGAAGTCCTGCATACTGGTCTGCTGCTGGTGATCCCCCATGTTGAAAGAGTTGTCGCCGCCCGTAGCTTGTGTTTGAAACTGCAGTTCTGTCGCTTGGGGTACGGTCATTTGGTGGTAAGCCAAGGCAGCGGCAGCAGTATCGCCCACGCTTGAGGTGTTGCTGCCGTTGTTCTGGTGCAGGTCGAACTGCTGCAGGTCGTCGTTGGTACCGGCATTGTGTGCGGCAAGATGGAAAGCAGTGTCCTGGTCGGTCAAGTCGGTGTTGCCCATGTTAGGAGCAGGTCGGTTCATGCCCTGATCGCGTGTATCGCGCTTGCGCTTGTTCGAGTGGAGGTCCTGGCCCAGCTTGGCGTCAGTGTGATAACCGGCGATGTCAGCCATGGTCCCAGCTATTCTATCGTAGAGGAGAGGTGAGGAAGCTGTCAGACAGTTCGACAGAACGAGGAGGCAACTCGAGGACCAGCTGCCTAAACTGGCTGCTGGGGTTGAGTGATACACGAATGCGACTGACAGCGGAAGCGCTGCAGTGGAGGTAGAACCGCGGGGTTATGTTGGTAGCCGCGAGCTATCCGAGGGGTGAGTGCGCAAGGTCCTTGTTCGTGCAGCGAATACCAGTGGGCAGTGAAGAGCGCGTTCGAGTCCTGGTCGAGTGCGCAGACAGTGCGTGCGGGGAGCAGCTGCACTTTTTCACAGTCGACACGATAATATGCGATAGCTATCAAGCAATCGCAGGCTGAAGAGGCGCACGTAGAGTCCTGAGGAACGACAAACGTTAGCACGGGCGCAGGCAGGTGGTTATGTAAAGCGATGCAACACAGCGTTCAGCAAAGCGACCGACGCGGCGCACTGATTGCCTGTTGCTGTGGGACCAAGCTGTCACTCTCGAAATGGACCGTCGTATCGTGCGAATGTGCGGGTGTCGCGCAGTGTACAAGGCCGTCGTGCTTCGTTTCGTCGTCGTGGATGCGCGCGCCGAGCAAGTGCGGGACGCGGAGCAACAACACGCCCAGCGAGCTGCGGTGGAGGCAGCCACGACGGCCGGAGGATTGTCGCGAACGTCGCAGGCGGATCGCATGCCATGTCGAGCGCTTGCGTTGTTGCGCAGCGCGATACGACGTCTAGACAAAGAGTCGCGACCGGAGTGCAGATATGTGGGACTCACCAGAGCGATCTTGATGTTCGTGCCCGCCGCGGATACACGTGAGGCTTGGAAGGTCAGTACGGATCAGGCGTATTAGGCTTCAACTTGAACCTGTGAAATCGAGGAAACAAGGTGGAGATCGAATTTTCAAGACCGCAGGGATAGAGGAGGATGTCTTACAGTAACGGTTGAGCTCTGTTGGTGAGAATACCGATTGTATGGCGAGAGGGTGCTCTGGAGGTGGAAGTCACATGAACGGTGCTGGGTCACGGGAGGTCTTATGAGTTCACACCAAAATGCCGAGAGAGAATGCGCTAAAAGGTGACGAATCAAACACCCGCCTCGCGCCATGCCAGGGTTCTCCACCATCATGCCGCTGCCGCTCGAGCAACCTCCGCTCATCATGCTGGTCACTGTCGCCGACGTCTGGCAAGCACTGTTTCTGATCAGAATCGCCATGTCCTCGGTGCAGTATGCCTTCAGGACCTCGTTTCGTGCTGGGCAGGGAGGCGCCTTCCCTACGGACGGCTGTCCACAAAAGCTCTGTGACGATCTGCAACTGCTCCACGCGAACTCGACTTGATACGCAGCTGTGATATCTTAAACAGTGCTGCTCACAGTCCTCTCCACGCTGTACTGAGTCTGGCGGTTGTATTGCACAGATGACACCCTTGCACACTGCCTAGGCAATCAGAACAATCAGCAGACAAGACACATGATGGTGGCATGTGACACACACCTTCCCCACATTCTCTGCTCAGAGTTGCATCACCACCACCGTCTTATCTCTGTGCAACGTGATCGATCTGTAAGAGCTCTTGGCATAGGGCTGAGGTCTTTCGCGACTGTTGAGGGTGCAATTGTGCGTTTGAAGGTAGGGTTGGAGGTAGCCAAGTCAAGCAGAGGCATATAAGATAGCGTGATCGGGCGTTGTGACCCTGTAATTGTATGCTCATCCTTGCTATCAACACTCCCAGATCCACTATTGACTGCAGGCCTACCCATCACGTAGGCGGATAACGCTGCTCTAGGATTTCACCAGAGCTGGGAAGAAGAAGATGGTCAAGGAGACCAGCAGTGGAAGGCTATTGACAATATTCCTGTACACAATCCGGTAGAAACGGTCAGTTGGAAGGTCGCCGCATGAGGGGCCCAAATAATCGTTGGGCGGCCGAACATCCAACCGATCGCGCGCCATCTCAAGACCTTCAGGAATAGCCATGACAAAGAGACCCAAAGCAGCAAGAAGCAACGCCATCCACAGGATCGCGTAGAAATGGGCAGGAAGACCGTATCGGTTCGTGCGAACTCCATCTCTCGTGCTCGTCCACAGACGGCGGGTGAGCGTTGGAATCGGAACGCCGCCGATGCAGCCGTAATACCAGGGCTTCATTTGGGGGATGATGAGCTAGAGAGCCAGTCAGCACCGTAGGAAAGTCAAGAGATTGTGGAGCAACTACTTTAGAGGTGTCATCGACCTTGCGTGCCTGCAGCCATTCCTCGATCATTGACTCGGTGCCCGCAACAGCGATGTCGAAGGGCTGGTCGGCAAACGGAGAGGGGCGCGATGGTGTCATTACGATTGTTGTGAGACGGACTGGCTGGCTGGAGGCGTTCGATATGATAAGATTGGTTGCGTAGGCCTTACGACGAGGTGCAAAAGCCGAGCTTAACTGTGCTTGATATGGCAGCAGTGCATCGAGCGTGAGCGAGGCGACGTGCGAGGAGGTTGGGCAGAAGACAGCGCAGCTGAACGCATAATGATCAAAGCAAGAAGACGGAAGGCAGCAGCGGTGATGTGATAGGACGAAGTCGCATTGTTGACAACACTACAGCTGGTGGCATGAGCGACGCACCAGGAGAAGGCACCTTCCCTACCCAGCCGCACCGCATACGTTCGCAACGAGAAGTTGCAGGGAGTTGTTTTCTAATTGACTGCCAATCCAACCACGGAGTTTGATCAGTGTCACTCGTCTCTGAAGATCCACCTGCCACCCTCTTTCTGCGCCTCAAGCCAACACTCTTGCACGGTCTTAATCTCCTGCTCCTTGGCCCGTCTTCTATCATCCTCCTGCTCTTGTGTAGTGGGAAAATCGACGCGCCAGAAGCCAGGGGGCGTTCGGGGTCGTTCATAGGCTGCTCGATGCTTGCCAGCGTCCTTTGCCATCTTCTTCGTACGTGCTTGCAGGATCAGCTCAGCACGTTCATCTGATGACATCTGCGTTGACATAACTGTGCTGTATGCATCACCAAGGTACTCCTCTAGCAGAGCCTCTTCTTGTAGTGCAGGAAGTAGCTCCAGCGCCTCAGCCAGTCGGCGGAAATGGGAGCCACAGCACTGTGGGTTGGTGCAACCTGGAAGACACATGCGGTCACCCCGTTTGCGGACCGCTTCTGAGAACGCGTAGCTGTAGCCGTGGTTGTAGACTGGGTTTGGTTTGAAGTCGTGGACCTTGAGTTCCTTCACTGGCTTTTCGCGAAGACGTGGCTGCCTGTCAGAAGGGGATATGTTCTTCTTTTGTGCACTAGGTCGCTTATCAGGTGCCCGCATGCTCCAGATTGGCCGGCCATCAGGTACAACGTCTTCTTGCTGGTTTGAAAGGCCATTCGATGCAGACCTTCGAAGTCCACCTGAACCTGAAGGTGTCTGTGCAGGTCGAGATGTACTGGCAGGAGGAGTTGGTATTTGCTCCTGCTTCACGAGCGGTGATCCTGATGTAGGAGTACGGTGCAATCGATTTGCAGGTGTCTGAGGGTTCTTTGTAGCTCGCATCCTTTGATTGAGCCGTGCACGAGCGGCGCTTGGAGGTAGTCTCAACTCGTTCTCGTCCAGAGGTGGGAGCGCCTCACCGGACTCTGCGAGGATGCCATGCTCAATATGTCGGGTTTTCACTTGCTTCAGGCGCTTGTTCGGGGTGCGTTCAGGTGTTTTTGCAACGATGTTGGGGTCAAGAGGCTGAAGGACCTGCTGGTCGTCTGAGTGTGGGTCCGTGGGCTCGCTGAGCGCTCGCACCTCCGCAGCAGCAATCTGAAGCCGATCTTGAACGTTGGACGCCCGATCACTTCCTCCATGCTCTCTTTGTGCATTCTCTTGTTTCACAATCTGCGAGGATGGTGCGCTACCAGATCGTTGATGACGAATTGTACCGGTAGTGTTTGAGTGCATCGACGGAGTTCTCTGCAAAGGACGAGCTACTTCGAAGTCACGAGGCGCTGGATCGTCGAGATCAATCGTTTCAGTGCGCATGAGTATATGCATTGCAGGTGGCGGGCTGCTCAATGGTTCGTCTTTGACACGGTGAGGCTTTGCAGGAGTCCCATCAGAAGAACGTCCTGTGTATAGATCGATCCTCGAATGCTGGCCCCGTTTGCGCTTAAGCGACCGCTCCGAAACGACTTGTGGCAAGTCGTCTTCGTCTTCCGCCTCGACTGCTTGAGTTCGTCGAGTGATCTGATCAGCACCTTCGTCCACTGTAGTCTGACTTGAGCTCGGCGCTCCATTAACCTCGACATGGTATCGGCGAGTCCGGTCCAATCTCGCGTTCAAGGAAGAATCGCCGTATGCTGCACCTTGATGTTCGTTGGAGCTTGCAGCTGTAGGTCCTTTTGGTGTGACTGATGCACTTGGTGATGGTTCATAGCCGGCTTCGGTTTCCATGTGTAGCACGCCGGGAGCAGGGGATGAGCGCCCTCGTCCAGCACGTTGCAATGGCGTTTGCATAGTGCTGACAGATGTTGGACTCGAGGGTATTTGTGGTGGGACCTCGTCACTTTGAGGAGCAGCTAATAGTTTCGATGGACCTTCATCAGCTCTCGCGGCACCCTGGTGCTTTTGGTTTGGTTTTTGGCGATCGGCGTACTGCTGCCACGCACGCACACTTTCTTTCATATCTCTGTTCTTCTGCATGACGGCGTTGTTCTTCCTTTCGAGATATTTGATCTTTTGCGAGAGGTCTTGATACTTCTTGCTCAACTCATCGTACTTCTCGACGAGTTCGTGGTGTTGCTCCTCAGAAACGCCCGTTGTTGTTGTTGTTGTTGGTGTAGATGCATCTTCGAGGTTCATTGATGGTGCTGTGCTCTCAGCTCTTTGCTTAAGCTCGGTCTCCAGCCTCTCGTTCTCCTCGACAACTTTCGCATTTTTGACAATCTGTTCATTGATATGGTTGAACAATAGTTGCTGGTTCTCGTCTCCTGTAGGTGGGTGCTTAGCTTAGTACACACATATAAGTGACATACTCACTCTGCTTCAGCTCATTCTGATGCTCCTCCTCTCCTGACGCGTTGTTAGCCAGATTCTGCGCATGTTCAATAATTGCAATCCGTACTCTTCTTCCACTCTTTCTCACAGTCAGGCGCAATGACCTCATCATAAACGCGTGTCCACAAGGCCCTGTTCTTCTCAACCCAGGCCGCGAAGTCTGACATGATCAACGAGCATTTATGATTAAGTCGAAAGGATCACACGAGAGAAAGACGTCGTTTAATTCTTGGTGCTGATGATATCTGCTGCCTGGCGGCGACGTCCAGAAACGCGCCAATGTCAACGCGCAGTCACGTTGACGCACGGACTGAGGCGATATCGATAACACTCCACTCCACTCCGAGGCACGATGCGCCTTTGCCATCCATAGCACATTAGTCTCTCATGAAGCGGTCGCGTGAGGTGGATGATGAACTCGAACACCCAACGAAGGTGCGGCGCGTGGCCAAAGTTGACAAGCTGTCAAAGTTGAGCGATGAGCTCTTGGTGCGCATTCTATCGTTCTTGCCGGTGTCGTCACTCTTGACTTCCCAGAGGTAGATAGATACACAGCGATTATATGACGCCCATGTTGACGGCAGTAGGATTTCGAAGAAGTACAGTCGCCTCGCAGTCGATTCAGAGCTCTGGAAAGCAGCCTACTACCGAACGTTCGTCCTCCCACGCGCATCCCGCATACCCGGCATCAAGAACCCCGGCGCACACGACCGATTGCACTACTCCTCACGATTGTCGAGATGGCTGGACGACGGCGCATTGGTCAAAGAGGGTGCGAAGACGAAGTGGAAGCAGCAGTACCGCTTGCGCCACAACTGGTCGCAGGGGAAATGCGCGGTCAGTGAGATAGTAGTCTCTGAGCGGCCTCCGGAGCCACCGTTGCTGGTCATGCTGTCGAACAGTACGGTATTTGCAGCAGATTCAATGAATGGGCTGAGAGCATGGAGTGTGAGGGATGAGCGCGAGCTACTAGCATCGACCCCACTCAGTTTGGCTGCGACAGATACCCTACAATTGCCTGTGTCGATGGCTATCGATTCTAATGATGGAGAAGAAGCGTGCGAAAGAATCGTTCTGGGCTTCGACGACGGATCGTTTTCCATATACGCATTACGCCGGGACCAGAAGAGGTTCGACACACTGTTTACGCACCCATCTTCGTCAAATGGGATGCTTTCTGCATTGGCAATGTCCTCGCCATATCTTCTCACTATGACAGAGGACCACCTTTTGTCGCTATATGTCTTTGCCGAGCCAGAGGACAATGAAAGTCGACTGGACCCTCCAAGACTGCTGTATTCGCTACGGTCACATACGGCATGGCCACCCGTGTCTCTATCCTTACGCACCACAGCAACAAGCATGACGGCAGCGATCGCGTACTCGCTACCGACATACCTCTCTGGATGGACAGTCGGGGTCCAAGAGCTAAACCTCTCGCACAAGGGCGAGCTGCTCAGGTCACGACTAGCCACCGCAGCCGATGAGCACTCCTTCACACTCTCCGCTTACCGATCCACCTCGTCTTCATCCACTCGATCATCCTCGCCATTACCCGGCACACCACGTGAGCCTCCATTAACAATCACGCCGAGCAATTCCAAGCCAACATCAATGTCATACTCCCATCCTTACCTCCTCGTCGCGCACCCAGACAACACACTCTCCCTCTACCTCGTCAAATCAACTTCCTCCACACTCTACATAAGCTCCGGCAACCGTCTCTGGGGCCACACGTCCTCCATCTCCGGCGCGCACGTCGGCACGCGCGGTAAAGCCGTTTCTATCAGCAGACTCGGCGACGAATTGCGGGTTTGGGATCTAGAAGGTGGATCAGCCTCACTCGCAAATCGGCGGCGGTTCAGGAACGGCGAGCTGAGCGTTAGAGTGCAGCCGTCTAGAGCTGCAGACGAGTCACAGGACCGTCAAGATGAGGACAGTGGGCGGAACTTTGGACTAAAGCTCGCGCTGGATCAAGCCTTTGATGATTCGAGCGTGAGTCAAGGCTGGGTGGGATTCGATGAGCAGAATGTGATTGTGTTGAGGGAGAAGAGGGAAGGGAGTCAGGCGTTGGTCGTGTATGACTTTACATAGAAGTGATAATGATACTATGTTACATCCCTTTTGATTATCAACACTAGAGCATCATCCTTATAATAGTGTATCTACTCTTTTCAAGTAGACGTAGTGAATGAAAAGGTTCCGTTCACAGCATACTTCACATGAATCAGCACATCTCAACTTCTCTACACCAACAAGACAATCAGCAAAACGAGCTTTTGATCACCGTAAATCGCAAAGCGCAGTCTTCCGTAATCTGACACAATCTACATTCTGCTACAGAACATCCATTTATGGACATGCGCCGTGTCCAGAGAGCGGGCCAGCATGTTCAAACTCCACACCCTTGCCATCTATTTAACTGTTCGCTCCCCCAAGGCTTTGCTCAGTCAAACGCAGAAACAGCGTTGTACACTTCAATCGATGGACGATATGCTTGACGGCCTCCAAACGAGAACATATTCTTCTTCGCTGTCCGAGTGCTGTCACCTGGGCATGGGTGCGTGATCATGGCAATGGAGACGAAGAGCAAAGATCTTCTGCATATGCCACATCACTTTGGGATAGGCGGTAAAGAAGGCAGCGATGGTGGCAGCAATGATTATAGAAGGATGCAAGTAAGTGAGAGGGTGGGGATGTGCTCTGGCGCTCATGTTCCCTACTGAAGGGCATGAGATGAAGAGGATAGGTAGACATGATGATCAATGATTAGCCTGATCAAAGTGACAAACGGTGCGAGCGACAAGAGCAGGTGTCTGCGGTAATGGCGATGCTGGGAAAAGTCTTCGCCTGTGCATTTGGTTATGATGATCTCACTCTGCTTTTGAAGAGCCGTCAAAGGCACGTACAGGACGTCTCTGATCTGAGTCGCACTTCATTCATTCTCTGTTTCATGGAGCTAAAGCCTCCTAGCACACGTTACCCGCCAAAGCTGTACACGATTCCCGCGATCCAATGCCGCCACATCGAATAGCTTGCCGCTGTGCCTCTCACAGCTCCTCCAAATCCTCATCAAACTCATTCAGCACCGGAAAATCTCCAGCCTCGCAGCGCTCTGGCCTGACAAACACGCCACAGTTATTGCCGCACTCAAAGTACCGCTTCCCCTTTACCGAGCCATCGTTCTTGCCAGTCGGTTCATCGAGCGTGACGCCGACCCAGGCCCCAATGCCAGGGATCTCTGGGACGAGGCCAGTGTAGCCCACTATGCCTCTTCGCGCGTCAGATTCGGGGAGGAGGCGGACACGGCTGCCGACAGTGAGACCTAGGATGGGGTTAGCTGCTGGGTCTATGGTGATAGAGAAATTAACGATGAGTGCGGATAGTGTGGCGAGGATGTGAAGAGACAATGCATAACACGGGACGTTCGATTCGGCGCTGTGGGAGAGTCGAGCAGTCGTTCATCGCTTGGTTGAGAGCGGCGGGCCGCATGTGCGTAATTCACACCGATTGCACGTGGATGTCGCTTACGTTCTCCAGTGAGGCTGTTCTGCAGACGGGGAAGCGGGCCATGGCAGAGTTTGAGCTCGAGATGTTGCCTTGCGAAGTATTGACTTGCGAGGTTCGAGTTCGACTGGACCAAATGCTGTTGTCGAATCCGCAGAAGCAAAGCGCTTGCTGATGAGATCCTGGCGGTTGCATGACCGAGGCTCGTGCTTGCTACGCCACATCCACACCAAATGAAGGAACGCCGGGTTCGTCACACGTTTGATGACATCCCATGCTCGAATCGAGACTTAGCGTCGAAGTAAAGAGGATGTGCAGGCGTTGTCAGCGAAGGCGAGTAATGTTGGCAAATGCAGCAAAAGTTGTTGCTGACGTTGGCGATTGGTCCCGAGCGGATGGATGATACAACGCGATCTCGGAAGCGAGAAGCCTCGCTGACTGATCTTCAATTTACGTGTGAATCTTGAAGTCGTCCCAGGGTTCGGGAAAATGGCGCAGTAGCTGGGGGCCACGTTCTCCGCATCGTACTGTGCATACCTTCGAGTAAGGCGGGAATGCACAGCGCTTGAAGTGGGAGATTGTCGTGAGATGCCAACAGGTGCGTGCAACAGTCGTGATAGGATACTTCTTGAGCTGAACGCCGTCCCTTTGAACACTCGTATCCACGAGAAATTGCAGGATGAGACATTCTGTGCCTTCCTGCATTGGAGTGTGGCGAGGTTGGAGGAGCGAGTTATCCGTATGCAGCTGTCTCCTTGGAGCCATATCTGAAGCATGATACACCCAGGACTTATTCCTGCAGCCAGGAGGGCTACGACTTCATCCATCTTCATGAAGGTAGCGGAGACTTGCTCTTGCAGTTGCATGGCGTGACCGTCGCGATCGTACGATTCAAGAAATGTGAAATGGAACGAGAATATGCAGCTTACCTCTCTCCTCTATCTCACGTTGGGAAGCGATGATCTTTTGTTGCTCTATGCTGGGTGCGTTGGGATCAAATCGACCAAGCTTCTGGGCTTTCTTCCAAGCAAGAACACTATCAGTTCGAGTTTCGTATTCCGCCGACGGCATCACATATTTGTCGACGGCTGATAGATCCGAAAAGTCTGTTCGGGCCGCAGGTGGGCGTGTATCGACAACCTATGGCCTAGGTATTAGTGCAGAACTATGTCTACATACAGCGATTCGTCGACGGAGCATTGTTGAGGAATATCTCCAGGGTATAGCCCGCCAGCCTCAACGAGGATGGGAAGTGTGTGAATGGAAAATAGCTCAAGACGAAAAAGAAATGCCAAATGATAACGATCAACGCCGGCCTGATACTCAGACCAAAGGCTAAATGCCCGCAAATAGCACCCCACGTCTTGTAGATTCGTTGAGTGACAGCTCAAGAGGCAACCGCACAGGTCGAGGCTGATGAGGGGCACTGCGGGGCCCCCATATCATGCAGGTAAGAGACGTGCTGGCGACAGCCTCAGAAATGCGGCCGAGGCAGCGAATGATAGCTCAAAACAACGATTTGACTAGTGTAGAAGAAACATCCGCGCAGCTGAATTGAGACAGATGAAATGTGGCAGCTGGGGAAAGGCCAGCAGCTGTTGGCTAAGCAATACAGGAACTGCAGAGCTGATATTGCTCGAGATAGGAGAAACAAAAAGGCACACTTACAGTGATTTCGGCATAGGGCTGCAGAGAGAACTGCGCCAAACGCGTCTGTTCCTCATCCAGTGCGGTGATTGGTACAGCATCTTGAGAACCAACTCGAAGAGAAAGTTGTTGGCTACTCGCGGGCACTCCGGTGATAGGCTCCAGTCGGCTCTTCAGGTGCGCAATACTCCATGACGGCGAGATACGGCGTTCGGAGGACGAGTTGGGTGAGCTGATGAGAAGCGGCACGTCTGCCGCGCTCTGGAGTGACATTTTGGATCGTGGGAGGCCGACAGCGACAAACTAGTGGGGTAAACCGAAGTTAGGTCACGAAGTGTTTTCGGTTTGGTTGGCGTGGAGGTGTAAGTGCAGTAGCTGCGGCCTGCGCCAGTAGCGGTAGAAATCTCAAATGGCAAGCGCGGCTGCGTCGCCAGCGCAGCACCTGCTGTCACCAAGTGGGCAAGCACAGTAGAGCCCACATATCTGAGCTCCGAGTCAAGTGAATACTGACGAGCTCGCTATGCAGAGATCGATGTGCAGACACATGTACGTCCATGTTCACATTCGGAGTTACACATCAGCCGCGTGAGCTGTATTGGGAAAGCTAAGCGAATGCCAAGATCATGGTTCGTTCGATCTCGGTGAATGTCGTCGAAGTTGAGGGCACCTCAGTGGACGTGGTGACAACACACCCTTGCTTACCCCACGCGCTGCTTTCCTAACGCCAGTTATCGAGAAACTGGCAAAGTCAGTTCCATGAAGCGTTGATGACATCCTTCACGTGTCGAAACTGCCGATTATGACGTGTTTCGACCTTGACGCCTGAGGAGCTTGTGTTAGGCCATCAAGGGCACGAGCTTTCATCCAGTACTTGTTCGAAACCATTCGCTCATCAGCCAAGTCTGATGCTATTGCTACTAATTACATGATCCCCTTCCTTCGGCCCACTGATGGCGGTGGTCCTGAGCCGCCACTGTCCGGTGTGTGTGGTGAACATGAATCGAACACGATAATCGCCGTCAGCCTCTGCTTTACTGTGTCCGGCAGTCCATGAACCAATCACGAAGAAGCTTCACCGCTTCCTCAAGGAAATGTCACCTACCTCCAAAAAATACTGGTTAAATGTACTGCGCCAGGGTGCATTCACTTCGTGCCCAGCATGATGAACTGTTCGGCTGAATGACCGCCAACTGGCATCACTGTTTGTCTACATTAGGCTAACCAGCCGAAGCATCCACAGCTAGCCAGTTGCAGAGTGCGAGGGCTGTGTGACACGCAAGCAAGAGCCCGTAAAAGTGGCTCCTGATTCAGGCAGTCGATGTCGTCGAAACGCCGCACTGGTGGCCGCGGTCTGGGAAGAGTCTGGCTGTCATGCCGCACACAGATTGCAAAACTCCTTGTGGGGGGTCCTTCATCATGTCAAGGCGCGCTTCGCCGTAAGACCTTTTATTCAAGGCGTGGAGAACGCACGGAACCACTGTTCACTCGAACCCGGCTAATGCACCTCGGCCTTTTGGGTCTGCCAGCTCGAACTGATTCATCAAACGTCGGCTTCGGGCAGCACTCACCGCCATGTACATCAATTATGAATCCCTGACTGCTTGTACTGTGTGATGCGATAATCGGCCAAGCGGGACGTCCGAGTTGCCTTGCTGCTAGAGACCCAGTGAATGCTTCAAGCTGGCTCAAAAACGCCTGACAACACCAGACTCAAGCACAACAACGTGGACTCTGCGAGACAGCACAGAGCTGACCGCGCCGCAGGTGGGCTGAGGCATGTCTCACGTGGGCGTGGTAGTACAGGTCGACAGAGTCAGCCTAGCCTCATAACGGCCTGACCCGGAGCTACACAAAGGCTCCGTCGAACACATGTGCAGCTTCTTTGGTGCGCCATCGAAAGCTAAATGTCACGGCCATCACTCGGCAGTTCACCGCAGTTCACCGCAGTTCACCGCCTCTGTGCTCGGAAGCGACCCCAACCGTTGACAGTGATAGACATTGACATCCACTGTGGAGTGCTTTGCCCGAGCATGAGCTGCAAAAGCAAGTGTGGGCGTGCCTCGAACCCTTCAATCCTGTCAGCGCGAACACATCACCACCTGCACCGCCATAATGAAGTCAGCGTTCGCGAGGCTAACGGACATCGCTACCAAGGCGCCTGGCGCCAGATTACCGTAAGGCGGACGAAGGATGCTTGCAGATCTTGTTCGCCGCGCCAGGTCATCGCGCTTCTGCACTTTCGGACGCGACCCTTGACTTGACGTCCAACATCCCTGAGCGTGTTCACCGCCAAGTTCAACGCCTGATTCGCTGCCCTTTCTGGTCGACCCGTTCGAGCATGCTCTGGTGATCGTGAGAACTCCCCTGTTGCTGCCAGCGCTGCAGACGGCGCAGCCCTAACTCAAGGCGCATTGAGGCCTGACGAAGAGAAGAGGTTGAGTCGGGCTCAAGTCTATGAGTAAGGCGAAGACGAGTGACGAGGGGAAGATGAACCAGAATGCGTTGTTCCTCGAAGTGGGGGCACCCACGCTCAACCCGAGAGATAGGGCCTGCTTTTTTGTTACGCTTGCGGTTGCAGACTCGCTCTTGGGATCGTTTCCTTTTGATGCTCGCAAAATCCCCGGCAGACATGCTTCCTCAGATCAAAGTGCTGGCTCGATGTGGTCTGTGGGTCAAAGTGGCGCCGCCAGCACCACTCAAGCAAGCGTATAGCGCAAAAGTAGTCATGGCAAGTCAGAAACGTACATCTCAATCCCAAGCCCCCGGATCCCTACCGCTATGGGCAGTGAGGTGGCTCCCAGCGCAAGGGATGCATGTCTTCGTATTACACTCGACGCTAAGTCCCTCTACTCAAACATCCATGCCTACCCTAGTACTTCGACCCTACCTACCTACACTCCACTCTCGCCAAGCTGCATGCATCTCGCAACACGACGTTTCCCTTCAACTGTTCTGCGAAATCGGTGGCTACGCACATCTGTCATCTACGGACCCATTGGTTGGCCTGTTTCACGCCCCTGCCCAATTGACCTAGATCCTATACTAAGTAGCCCGAGTTGAGCGACCAGTCAGAGCTTGTATACTCGTGGGTACCTCGCAACTGGTCACTTTAGCCTACATCGGCACCTCTAGCTCTATCTGAGTCTCGTCACTTCACAACAGACTCAGCTTCACCTTCATCAACAGTCAGCAACCCATCATCAATCCATCCTACCGTCGTGGTATACCGCAAGACCAGATCCATCTCGCCAATACGACTCGATACCCCACGCTGATTCATCGCCAACCTAGCAACAACACCACATCGCTGCCTCCGCATCGCCACGCTTCTAGACTCTAGCAGCAACGAACTCTTCTTCATCAAGGAACTCATCTCTAGCAGCCTTCACGAGAAGACCTGATCTTGTACAAAGCTTCGGTTGTCGTCAGGTGATCACACTGCGTTCCTTCATCAGCATCTACGAGCTTACTGTCTTTGAGCTCAGACCTCTTGAAGTGACGGAAAGAAGCTCGTCGAGACAGTCCTCTCAGTACATGGTCCGGCCATAATATAGTCCCTTTACTCAGTATGGATATAAACCTCCTCCTCGAACCCCGTGGTTCCGAGTCGCCGGCGAGCAAGAAGAGCTCTGCTTCAGTAGCTTCCAACTCGACCGCGGCGAGAACGTACACAACAGCCCCTTCAGCTTACACCACATCTCCCGCACATGGAGCATCGCCCGCATATGTCAATGGGTCACCTTCATATGCGACATTGTCGCCTTACGGGCTGAACCCCGGCTACCCAGCCCAGGCACCAACATCAGCACCTTCAGTTTCTGGTGCAATGCTGGGCGGGCCTGTTCTCCCAGCTATTTCCGAGCTCCAGCGACACACGGATCCTTCGTCTCATCCTCAGTTTCGCCCGCTGTACACTGGACCTCCTGGCTCCGGCCCTGTCCACCATGGCCCACCCGGCTCGAATCGATCACCTCCCCACCAGGTTATCAAGCGACAAGCTTCTCAAACCCCCCTCCCAGATGAAAGCCCAGCTAAGAAGCAGTCAAAATGGACGCCTGAAGAAGACAACCTTACCATCGAACTGCGAGGCCAAGGCATGAAGTGGGATGACATTGCGAAACGCCTTCCTGGAAGGAGCTCGATCTCCTGCCGACTACGCTACCAGAACTACTTGGAGAAGCGAGCCATCTGGGACGAGGAGAAAAAGAACAAACTTGCGAGACTCTACGCTCGGTACGTACACCGTGTAACCCCTGGATTTTTGGTCACTTGTCCCTCCGTCAAGAGTATGCAATGCACTACTCTGCTTTACTCCTAAATGGTGTTCTAGCTGGGACGCGCTGTATTTATCGCGATTTCTCAATCGTCTACTAACACTGCTCTAGCTTCAAGGACCAGATGTGGCAGAAGGTGGCCACCGAGATGGGCATCCCCTGGCGATCGGCCGAGTCCATGCACTGGCAGTTGGGCGAGCAAGAGATGAGTGCGCGTGCTAACGCTCCGGTTTTCCAACTTCACCCGTCTGCGACATCGAGTAGCTCCCCTTCGCAAAATGCCGCTGTACCCGCGCCAGCACCCGCGCCTACCTCGCATGGCTTCACTCCCGCAAACGCTGCCCAACTCATGCCTAATCCTCCGCCGGTACCTGTGCAGCAATACCAGGCAACCCCACCGCCGCAACAACAAGGTCCGATTCACTCCTTCCACCAACGTACTGATAGCGGATCGAGCCAAGGCCGACGTAGGAACGACTCATTCAGCCGCCGACGCGCAAACACGCTTTCGAGATCTAGTGTCCCGCCACAGCTCAGTCAGCCCCTGCCACAAATACATCCTGCTTCCGCGGAAGACCTAGTGAGCGGAGCAAGAACAGCACCCGCACCGATCATGCAATCAGACATCAAGCGAGAGGGCTTCAGCTACATCGAACCGTATCAAAAGAGGTGGGAAGGTGGTGCTACAGGCCCAACTCCGGGAGACTTGGAAACACGCAGTCAGGGAGGCAGAAGTCCGGATAGACAGTCACAACGTAGTGCTACAGGGAGCATCAAAGGCTTCAAACGAGAATCTGGAGAGTTCGAGCGTCCGGTCACGACTGCAATACCTTCGCCACCTGTCCCTGTAGCTCCTTGAGCCTGCAGTCACTCGAGCAGCATCTGCAGGAGCGGTTCCTCTACCACACTCTGCAACAATGGATACCTCACGATAGAATTTTACGTATACGCGCGCGGGCTGGCACCGACAAGAGTTTGGATTTTAGTACGCTTGCAAGTTGTCTACACACAGTTCTGACGTTTCAGAACATCACAGTACAGACACCGAAACGAAAACAAGATTATGGGAGCATAGATGGGTCAAGATGGTTTCATACACACATCTCGAACGGCAACGATTGTGGCATTTAGCGTGGGTCAGGTTTGCACTTTGCTTCGGTCGTCCTTTCATCTTACATTGTTTCGTTTCGAACATCATAGCGTTGGAATTCCTTGGGTCAGCATCATCATTCGCCTGTTCTTGCATGTTTTAAACACACATTTGGCGGTTATGGATGCGCATCTTGGATTCGGGTTTAAGAGTTTGTCTTACTCCACGACTTCATCAGCATTTTATCATGGACGATTGCGGCATAGCGTGGCGAGGATACCAATATTGTACTTTCAACCAAGCATCAGCCTGTCTGTTTCTTCAGCATAGCAAAGCATCTCTGTTATTGCATCGCGCTGCGCCAGCGCATAGATACGAGCATAGAATACCATCTCGTTTATCTCCGAGTCCAGTACCCTCTACTGACATCCCAAACTTGCAAACTCGCTGCCCAAGCAAGCATCCCATGTCCCAGCTCGTGGCGGTGAACAACGGGTACGTTTTCGACTCGCTCGACCGCCTCGTTTACCCCAGATGATCGCTTGTGATGACGTACTAACAAGAGGCTTGCATTCAGTCGGTCAACAACCGACTACGTGGCTATCTGCAAGTCGTGCTGTCAACTTTAGAGCCTGAATTAAAAATGGTGGAGTTGATGAGCTGTTCAAACACAGCCACATGCCTCACCATTCTGCCGTCTTCAAAGGCAAGCGAGTCGCGCTGCTTCTTGCATGAACTTGGCTGAACCGTTCATCATCCTTTGGCCATTTCCGAATGCAAACATGACAGCGCAGACCAGTTCGTGTCGTCGCCTAGCCCTGCAGAAGGAAATTACTTGGATCTTCGGCGTTCGCAGCTCGGTCCCATCGATACCATGGTGCGACGATCAAATCACTTGAGCACACGTTCGAGAAAAATCCCTCGAACGTTAGGCTGTAAGGCTGGAAACTATGGCGTCAAGAGGTGTTTTGGGATTATCCCTGCTACTTCTTCTTCGCTTCAATGTCATGCTCCGGTGGACTCTGACCGCTTCTTGCGTCCAGAAAGTCAAGTCGCGGGTCTCGCTTGTCGTTCTTCACGGCAGTGAACGGGTGCTCATTCTGGCAAATGTTCGGCATTGACGTTCATGCTGGTCTAGCAGGGCAAGCAGAAAAATCGGCGAATACACCTAACACGAACGAGTGCTTACCGGGGTTATTTTTCCGTATTGCATCCTTTTTCCGGGGTCGCATGGCTGCGAACATATCAACCCTGCATGGGCCAAACGCATTGTCACCGGTGATCACTTTCTTTCGAGAAGGTCTTCCCGTGCACCACCTGTTCGCCAACGCGAATCATGACATCTGACACACGGTTACGTGCTAGGCCGCCTTGTCGCAGAGTCATCTATCCGATGGGACCTGTTCGCCCTGAAATGTCCTTTTCGATCTGCCGGGATCGCTGCCTCGGGCAAGACATCGCCGTTGTCTGAGTACACACCACGAACTATCCCTGATGACTTGAGAATCATGGATCGTGATGTTAACCCCTCCAGCTTTCTTCTTGCCCGAACGAGCACTGACACCGAGCTAGTAACGGAGAAGAAGACCAAGAGCATTCCATGAGCCTTCGATCGTCATTTGCCGGCATGAGAGGGTAGGTGCGCTGACCTGACTGGGAAGCAGCGGTTCGCCTTGAACAACAACACGACGTCGTGGAAACGAGCAATCACCCTAGGAAACGATGATCGATGTCAACGCGACTTGGCTGGGCGATTGAGCAGTTCGCATTGCTGCGAGCCCAATCAGTACGAGCTCGACGCTACAGACTCGTAAAACGACTCGCTTCTACGGTGGCTACCTGTTCGTCTACAACCACAACCGTGCTGCTTCCATGCAATGACTCGCTAACCTTACCGACACAAGATATGTTCAGACAGGAGCCCACTTCTGATGGAATCGTCGACAAACAAACCGGTCAAGGTCTTCCATGATCACGCAACCTCGAGGCCACCGGAATGGCACATCCCATATCCACCTAGTGGATCCCCAGGAAAAGACACCACGCGGCGATGATGCGTTCGGGGGATCGCAGCAGTTGGTTTGTACCAAATGTCCGCTAATAAGACCGAAACCCAGCCCGTCGCTTTCTGACATGACTCGATTGACCGCCGTTCAAGACCGTCTGGAAAATGCCGACGCTAGATAGTATGAATCCGAACGCGATGTGCAAGAGGCGCTGAGCATGTTCCGGTACGTGTGGAGATCGTCACCGTATATTCCGATGTCTCGATAGGTTGTGCAGAACAGCTGATGAGATCAAGTTTTTGTGGCGGTCGATGAACGCCCTCGGATGCGGGGAGCTGTGGAGAGGGTGGTATCCGAATGCAAAGTTCATGGCAGAATCATGCAGGTGCGGTGAACGTTTGCGCTTAGGAGGGTCGTTGTGTTGTTGTTACCTTTTCGGGCATGCCTGCACGTGAGAACGAGTGTTCACTTGAGCTGACCATAACCACGATCACAACTATAAGCTTACTAACAGGAGGCAGTGGTATTCGGATGCTTGAAAGTTGATGACTGTGTTACAGACTGGCTTCCCTCAAAACCGCACATCGAAGCGCTTCCATTTGACAATGATTCGCCTCCACACACCGCTACCTCCACCATGACTTACTACATACCGCCTCTCGTGAACCTCGCCACCCAACCGGCTCCAGCCCACAAGATCCAGATCGAGCTTCACACAGAGCCCCTCAACAATACAACGACTGTCCAAACCGCCTTACCGAAGCCCTTGAGCCTCAGATGTGTCGCGCCTCAGTCTCCGTCTTCACCGGACGAAGTCTGTCTCGAACCGCTGGCCATCTACACACCGCTCCACACCGCTCAACGCTCGTCACTGCACTCGAGTGGAGCTTAGCAGATTATGCTGACTGGGCACCTCAGAAAGATTTCGACGAGAATAGCACAAAGTGCAATCTTGAATGCAAGACCCCGGAAGCGTTCGTGTGATGTTTGTTGACATCTGCGCCACAAACCAATCCTGCAGGCTGCAGCGCGCCTACCCAGCCACTCACCTCGCACTTCCCAACCGGGTATCTGTTCTGAGACTCCACCCCTCACCTCCCTCATCACCGTTACACAACGCTTGGGGAAGCGGCACCCATCCTAACATAGCCACCAAGATCCAAACACCCGAGAACGCACATGCGCCTGCAGTCTCGTGCAACACACCATTGATGGGCGCTCCCGCTTCCGCGGGGAGCTCCCGCTTGTGACACCGCGTTAGACACTGTGTTTGTGACGCAGAGATTAAGATCAGAGTACGGCAGATGCGTTGACGCTGTCAGCTGGAGGCGAGGTGTTGTGCGATGCTGCTAAGACGGGATGGCGGGGAAGATATGCATAAACGCCTGAGGCGAGTTGTTACTTTTTAGGATACAGTTGGGTTGGCAAGTGTTGCTGTCGGGTTTGAAGGGGACTTTGTTGGCAATTCGCCGCCAGCGCATCATTGTTCAGACTCAGACATACAGATCTTGCTGTTATGAGGTAAGTCTGAGTGGTTGGGCCTACACGAGTATTGGGCTGCACAGCAGCAAGGCTGAACATTGCGCCTAACTCCACGCTCGCATCTGGTTTTCGTCAATCGTAGCACAACAGCAAGCTAAGCAAACCCTGGTTCGGCACTGCGGCAGCTGTCCGCAGTCTGCTGTGTGTCGAGTTCTCCTGCAAAGGTGACATCGATGGCTTGCAGGTCTGTACGACGCTCGCTTCAATTCGCACAAGATATGTATAGACCCGATATTGTCTCATGTCGCCGCGAGAATTACCCTTCGCAGAAATAGGAGTGGGCGGCGGTGAAGGGAGGAGAGTGTCGGTGTGGGGTGTAAAATATTGTTCGGAAGGGTGCGTGTGAAGCTGCAGATAAGTCAATGGATTGAATAGAGATGCACGACATGGCCCAGATCAGGAGAAGTTGGGTAAAGCAGGAATCTCATTCGATCAGTTGGATATCATTGGCGACAATGCATTATACCATGCAAACACGCTCTTGTCTGCTGGCTGAGTATAAAAAAACAACAGTCTTGAAAAACCAGTTGACCGTGAGCTACTCCTCATCTGCGAACGTCTCGCGAGCCTGTGCGAAGAAGATGCGAGCTGTCCCGCTACCGACATTTTTGATGCTGTATGTGTTGCCTGTAGGTCCTCATTAGCATGTTGCTCTTCCCAATACTTATGTGTGCCAAACTTACCACGAGGAACCTGCCATATCCCACTCTTGTGCACCGTGAACTCATTCTCATGGACCTTGACCTCAACAGCACCTGACTGAACGTTGAAAACCATATGCATCTTTCTCGAGTTCTTGGAGCGCTTCATCTGATCAGCGCGGAGCTCGATCATGCCCCAGTTGAGGAAGCCAGCAGGGTCACTCCCTCCTATCCTGGCGTACTGGAAAGAGCCATCTCCGACTGGTTCAGGCTTGATACCCTTGTCAGACCATGCAATGACGCCTTCCACAAGGCCGGGCGAAGTGAACTCATTCGCAGGATCGAAGTCCTTGTAGTTGCCTGTCAAGAAGCCGTCGTCTTCTTCCCAAGGGTCGAGTTCAACCTCCTCTTCTTCCACAGCAGCGAGTGTCTTCTTCTTCCCCTTCTTGTAGTACGTCGACGTCCTTTGTACGGGTTCGGGCGATGGTGCTTTGACGATTGTTTGCATGCTACCATCGTGGTTGTAGTTGATCCTGTCGTTCTTCCAAAAATCGATCGGCGCGACACGGTGTCTGCCTGTTCGGCCAACTCGCGCAACTGCCTCAGGCTCCATCTCGCGAAACACCGAGAGATGCCGTCCGCGACCGTACCGTGATCCCACTGACGTTATAGACATTTGCTCAATATCCGCCTTGCTAAGCGGGTTGCCGTATGCATCCACTGGTCTTCCGGCTTCGTCTTTGGATACTTTGTCCGTTGCCTTTTCGTTTTCCTTACCCTTTGGCGCTGGCTTCTCCTTTGGTTTTGCGACCGGTTTGGTTGGTTTCTTGAAGACTGGTTCTGACTTCTCTTTCGTAGCATCCTTGGCAGCAGCCTTCTTCGTTGTCTTAGCTGGAGCGGCTGGCTCAACTTCAGCATCTTTCTGAGCCTTCGGTGGCCGCCGGCGACGTTTTGAGGCTACAGGTGCCTCCTCGATTTGCTCAGATGCATCTGCCACAGCAGATTCGTCAACGCCTGATGCTTCAAGGATGCTAGGTTCCTGTTCCGTAATGTCTGACACGCGCTTCGAGCGACGTGTAGGAGCGACAGGTGCGGTCGCAGCCTTCCTTGCCTTCTTCGCTGGCTCGGTGGCCTGCGCTGCAGCCGTTCCGCGCTTTCGTGCCTTGGTTGGTTTTGGGCTAACTTCTTCAACAGACGCTGCTTGGTCGCTCTTCCGCTTCTTGCCCCTTTTTGCTGGTTCCTGTACCGGCTCTGGCACAACCTCCTCCTCTACCTGGGTCTCTTCCTCCATCAGCGATTCAACTGCGTCGGCACCTGTGACTGTGTCATCGCCAATATGCGCTATAAAGCTTTCTTCAATCTCAGTCATGACTGGCAGCTCGTCTTCCTCGTTGTTGTTTGCTGTGATTTCTTCTTGCAGCTCACTCTCCTCCAGCACCGCGCTGTGTGGCCGGCTGGGCGAGCGCTCCAGCGTATAAATGTCGTTGCGCTTCCCGCGGCGCTGTCTTGAACCGCTCAGCGCTGGTGTCTCTTGCAGACTTGGGTCCTCCTCTTCTTCGAAATCTAGTCGTCTCGCTACAGCCGGGTGTGAAGTTGTGCGTATGGGACTTGAAGGGCCAATCGAGCTGCCCCGAGGTGCCATAGACGATTGCCGGCGCGGGGAGGAACCAAGGGCAGTTTTCATTGGCGATCGCGACCGTGGTGGAGGGAGGAGAGTGCGATTGTTGCGCAGAATCGCAGCGGAGGTGGTAATGTTCGGAATGGAGCCTGTGAGTCGTGATGTTAGCGCGACCCTATTGTGCCGACCAATGCATGCGCGCAAGCTTTGTGAGATGATTGCACGCACTCTCTTGTATATCCATTGACTCTGACCCCGATACTGTACTTCCGCGCTTCGGTGGTGACTTCTCTGGCGAGGAGAAGATGCCAGAGATAGCCTCAATGCCGTGCTCGTCACGCACACGCTCTTCCAGTGTGATACCGGTCTTTCTGTGCATGCCGTCAGTTGCGCGCACACTGTAGCTGGGTGTTTGTTTATTTACCTTCCCTGAACACCGACATTGAAGAACGCAATTTCGCGATTGTCGCGCTTTCTTTGGGGCGCCATGTCTGTAAATCTATGTAGGTGAAGTCAGGCGTGCATTTGACTGCTATGTGACGCGTTGTGAACCTTGTGGGGTCGAGGGTGTTGACCGTTTGTTTGGATGCGCTCGGGTGAGATCAACACAGCCTAGTGTCCGTTTGGCTTGGCATGATGGCTGCTAACAATCATCCTAACACCAGTCCATTCGAGAAGAAACTCGTCTCACGAACAAAGGTATCGTCGTATGCGCGGCACAAATTGTTGGGGATCGAATACTGAGGACTCGTCTTAAATCTGTAAGCGGCAACATGGGATATGCCAATAGCAGGAATGAATCAGCAACGACACCTCTTTCACAGACAGTCAGTCGAACATCACAGCAAAGCAAAGAAACACAAGTGGTTGGGGCATCCAAAACGGATGAACGTAGCAAGGTCTGTCCACCATTCAGTCTATGCCATCCTTAGCCCTCTAGTTATTACCAGAAAGCCCAGGACACATCTACCGAACCGCAGAAGCCTCCTTTCTCATAGTCGTATTCGTTCGCAGGACCATCACTACTCCCATTCCTTGCTCGCTGTCGAAGAATCCGCTCTCCTCTCCACCCACATTGTATCCACCGAATGCAAAATCTTCCTGAATCAAGACTTTTCCGTAACCAACCCTCTTGAAGTTCGGTCATATGCCAGAAAAGAACCAAGTCCAATCATGCCGGGCGATGATATGCTTTTCGTGTAAGCGTCGAAAAACGGCAGCCAGCCGCAGAATGAGAAAATGTACAGAGAAGGAAATCGTAATCGTGTCGATGACTCGTGAATCATGGGGTTGTAATCTCTAACAATCGAACATGCCAGCCGCGTCGCAGTGGATGCGATCGGCTGCATCAAAGCTCACTCCAGATCAAGGTAATCGACGAGGCTCGGTCGACACGTTTAGTTGGGACAAGCGCTCTGGACGTGGCCGGGCTGCTTGCAGCGGTAGCAGACACGCTCAGAGGAGGTCTCCTGAGGGCAGTCGCGGGACAGGTGACCGACCTCACCGCAGTTGTAGCACTTCTGACCCTGGGTGCAGTCACGGCTCATGTGGCCGAAACCGCCGCAAGAGTAGCAGGTAGTCTGGCGAGCACCACCGTATCCGCCCTGGCCGCCCTGGCCGCCGAAGCCACCACGGCTGCCAAAGCCGCCACCGTAGGAGCCGCCGCCCTGGGAGCAGTTGCGGGCAATGTGACCCTGCTGTCCGCACTTGTAGCACTCCTGGCCGCCGGTGCGACCGCCGGGAGCACCACCAGCCTGGGTGCACTCACGGCTGATGTGGCCGGTGCCACCGCAGCGGTAGCAGGTCTTCTCGGCCTGGGGAGAGGTGCACTCGCGGCTAACGTGGCCCTTCTCGCCGCAGTTGTAGCAGGTTGGGGTACCCTTGGTGGGGCACTCAGCAGCGCGGTGAGAGTTGTCGCCACCTGGGTGGTGTCAGTTTATTGTTTTTTGTTTGTACAATACGATGTGGTCGAAGATATTTGTTGGGCAAGGTGTGGCAAGGAAAAAAGGCTATGCTGTTCGTGCCTCGACAATTCAAACTCGCAAAAGTTGTTTAGACATGTCTCTGCTCTAGAATCGGCGATTTGAGCTCATTCACAGCACTTTGCTGCTGTTTGCCAAATCGTTCGACGGAGGGGGAAAGATCTTTGGTGCGGATATTTCGTGGTGGAAAGGCGTTAAATGGGAGTCTTACAGTTGTAGCAGCCACGGCCACCGGCAGCAGGAGCGGGAGCTTGGTAGTCCATTGTTTGTGAAGTGGTACAAACCTGTGGATTGTTAGGAAAAGTGCGCCAAAGGTGCGGGCTGTACGCTTCCGGTGCGTAAAAGTTCCAACTCACTGTTAAGTTTTGAGGTAAGGGAGAGTTCGAAGGAGAAAAATCTCAGATATTTGATTCGAAGTGGAGTGTTTGTGAGAGAACGAGGGGCAGCAGACAAACAGAGAAAATATCAACTGCCCGCAGCGGCAAGTGTGTGCTAGGCTGGAAGGCGCTAGCCCCGCGGCGGTCCATGCGTTTGGCTCAACCGCCGCGGAGGAAGGAACTTCGAGGTAAGAGAAACATTGTAGTCACAAAAAGCGCGCAAGTTCGCAGAAAAACTCCAGGCTATATAGTACTATATCTGTAATCTTGGTTTGATGTTATTGGCTAGCCTACACCATACTGTCCATGGATGCCCATTGAGTACTCTCGCTTGACAGCCTCGCAGATCGCGGACTACCGACGAAGCTAACCGCTCTTGAGAGAACGTGCAACCGAACGATTTCTACTGCACGTGATGTCTGACTTCATTGGAAAGGCGATTGAGGCCGAGCTCTCCTATAAGGTGACGATCTCAGGAACGCTTTCCAATGTCATCTGAGCGCAGTGATGATGTTACCCTGGTGGCCATCACGAACAGAAATGTGGTCTCGCATGTATGGTCGAGAGCAGCAGCAGGTCTCCGCTGTATTCTCCTCGTTCAAGTAAGCGTAGTCTATGCTCAAGGATCTCTGAAGAACACAAAAGAGTTGTAGATTCTCCTCAGTGGCGCAATGGCTCGTTACACCAGTACTCAAGAAAGAGCTATCGTAGATTTCACAAATAATAACGAAGCGTTGATTGGGAACCCGTTTATGTATGGTGCTTATGCGTTCGTGTTCGTGCTGGTTGATCTTGCGTTGAGGTTTGGCGAACAACCCAGTCACGAGCGCTTCACAACCATCACCATCACCACCACGGCGAAGTAATGGCCAAAAGAGGGTCATATGATTAGTTCTCACGTATAAGCAGCTTCAACCCAGGAGAACAGTTCCAGTGGCTCTTTCAAGCACTTTGACATAGCCAAAGATCTCAACCAGCAACATCGCCGTACGGTCAAAAGAGAGCGGCCAAAGCAAAAAGATATGGACTCGCGGGGAATCGAACCCCGGACCACTCCCAGTCAGGATTTCGATAACTTTCAATGAAGCTGCGAGATGCTAAGGGAGTATTATACCACTAAACCACGAGCCCGTAACTCATTTTTATGTTAATCTGGTCCATAATTGTAATTATATACTAAAACAAATTGTGTTGAGGCACTTGAGACCTAGCTGTCCCACTAGCTCTGAAAATTATTTATCCTCCTTCCCAAGAATGTCTTTCAGTAGAGTCTTTTAGACGTTTTTTATTGCGCTCAGTGCACATAGACACGTATGTTACAGTCTTGAGACGTATATCTATCCTTGCACAGGAAAGCAGCATAGTTGCATTGGGTTGGTCATCGGATGAGAACATCTTTCCCAAAATCTGGTTCTCAAGTTCTAAAACTCTTGAGGAGTTATTGTCGTACGCATGTTGCGGAAGGCAGTATCAAGCTCTGAGGCAAGTTCAGCATCGTGTGCATCTATGTGGTTGTCGATTGTCGGCCCGCCATCTGGATCACGAGTTACAGACGACCAACTGCGCATGGGAAGTGTGGTGTACTTCTACATACGCGCCTTAGTTCCGATAAAGGTAATTGCACGGTGACGAAGGGTCAATCACACTTTGGACCTTCGCCATCTCTTATTCGCAAGTATGCGGATGTGTCATCGATGCTCTAATATTCTGCAGCTACTTCTCTACAAATGCACCAGCCTCCGGCAAAGATTGCCGCAGCGTTGACCTTGCTGTTGATCGTTTCGTCAGTGCCGCCAATCAAACTTCGTCGATACCCCCTTGTCCATTTGCAACCTGACGGACCTTTGTAAGAATCGGAGGGTCTGAAAGAAGGTGCGATCGAGCAAGATCATGTCTGTTAATTCTAAAAGCTGCTTGGACACAAGAAGTGTGCAGTCCAGGAGTTTTGTCGGTCAGGAGCGAAGATCACGAAAAGCGTAAGCAGCCCGCATTAGCATGCTCAGATACTGCTGCAAGCTATCGTGATGGTACAAAGCTATGTCCAATGTGGTCGATACAGCAACGTAGCCATTGCTGACGCAGGCATCGCTTAGCTCGCTGTCTGATGATCCTGGCCGTGCCGCAAGAGCTCGAGCTTGCACTTTACTGTTGAACCCCGCACTTGGAGCTGTTGACCGCCAACTGCACAGTCCCAAGCGTCCAGCAGCTCGCAGCCTGCTGAATTCATTCCATATTGATGCGAGACTTGCGCTAGACGAGAGACATTTATACCTGCTCTGCACTTCCATTCTCGCAACCATACGCTTGCATCGTGATCGATCAAGCCGAGTCAATATCCATCGGTCGGGGCGACCATCTGAGCGCCGCGATGCGTCTTCTGAAGCGCTCGCCAGGTGGCGGTTTCGAGCTGATCACTTTGAATGACGCCCACCCCCCTCCGTACGCTATCCTATCGCATACCTGGACAGAAGGTCAGGAAGTCACGTACAATGAGCTGGTGACCGGTGCAGGCAAAGACAAGGCTGGCTATGCCAAGATCTGCTTCTGCGGCGAGCAAGCTGCAGCGGACGGCCTTGAATACTTTTGGGTGGACACCTGCTGCATCGACAAATCGAGCAGCGCAGAGCTGAGCGAATCTGTCAATTCCATGTATCAATGGTATATGAATGCGGCGGTATGTTATGTTTTTCTTGCAGATCTTCCTTCACAGTCTTTGATTGAGTCCGGATTTCAGTATTGCCGCTGGTTTACTCGAGGTTGGACGCTGCAGGAATTGCTTGCGCCGACAGTGGTCAAGCTCTATGATATGGAATGGAACTTCATTGGTACCAAGGTCGATTTCGCCAAGACCATCTGCAATGCTACCGGAATTCCAGTCCAACTTCTTCTCGGGCATACAGCATTATCAGATACGTCCATCGCCATGAGAATGTCTTGGGCTGCTCACCGGCAAACAACCCGTATCGAGGATATAGCATACTGTCTACTAGGAATCTTTGAGGTCAACATGCCTTTGATATACGGCGAAGGTATGAGGGCCTTCCGGCGTCTACAGGAGGAGATCATCAAGCGCAATAATGATCTGACGATCTTTGCGTGGGATATTCTGCCAGGTTTCAAGCAGCAATTTGTTGGCCTTTTCGCTCCATCGCCTATTGCATTTTCTGGGAGCTCTGGTATCGTGCCATTTTCGGACGATTTTGCCAACTTCTCCGTTACGAACAGAGGTCTGTTTCTAACTGGCGATATCCCCCTACGAGTGGCTGAAGCAGCCACAGAAGGCGGTCGTAACGAAAATTTATACCTCATCTTCCTTGGTACAACTCTGGATGCGTCTGTTCCAGATGAAGACACCTCACGTATAGACGGTGGCATATACCTGCGCAAGATTGGACCAAGACTATTTTGTCGAGAAGGCCTCCTCCGTCTCGCAGGCTTTCGGGCAAGGGTTGAACAAGTCGGGATATATGAGGTGACCGAGAGCTACATTCTCCTTGACCCGACTACTGATACCATCAACGCTTCTTGGTCGTTTCGGAACCTTGCAATACATATTCCCGTTCACGAAAAAATTCGACTCGAAGAGGCAATTCCCGAAACATTATGGGACCACACCGACCGGATGTTTGTGAGGCCGAAACGCTACTACTGGGCCACATATCCCACGGTCCTCGCTATGAGGTTCAATGTCACTGTAAGTGACACCATCATCTCACTCGTAGTGCTTTGCGACTACAGGAAACAAGTCCCAATTCTAAAGATGTTCACCCCAATTGAGTACATACAAGAATCAACAATCATCTTCCAGCGAAGATACCGAGAAGAGACCATAAGTTGGGAAGAACTAGAAATACAAGCACCCGGAATACATGCACTGAATGAGTCTGCAATCGTGAAAGTTGGAAACAGTCTCCACCACATTTCTGTCTATCTCGAAAAGGGCATAGTGGAGCACATATCTGGCGAAGTGGAAGTTTTGAGTTTGAGTTTTGCTTTTGGTCGAAATCGTTCTTTTCCCTTAGAATAACAGACAACATGTCCATGAGTCTTGTCGTTCATACTGTAAGAAAAAGAGCTTCTTATGTGCGGTTCAGTCATCTACAGCTCAGGCACGTGACAACTTTATGGCCCATAATACGCTCATCTCGGGCGAGGTATTGATGGCAAGGCGTGGATGGGGGCAATGGTGATGGTGACATTAGGGGTAAGTGTGAAGGAGATAGCAGATGCGAACAGCATCAGGAGATCACAGTTTTCCATACAAAACTATAGAGGATTAGGCTGTTTTGAGATGGGACGTTGTAGCCGGCTTTTTCTGCTTCGTGAGAGTGAGTTCCAGCAATAGAGAGGCGATTTGAATGTCATTTGTGAATTCATCTATCTTCTATGGTACTTTTCTAGACGCGGTGGCTATGCTACAGGCTTCCAAAACGCTAGACGGTATCGATATCGAGGTGCTGTGGAGATGCGGGTATATAACAGAAGAGAACAAAATAAAGAACAACATGAGAATGGCACAGACAAAAAGAAAAGTCGTTATACACAGCACTCCTAGCTCAATCCTCGCACAGCAAATTTCTAGACAGCGGCCTGCGAGGCCGCCTGTACTTCTCATCCTTTGATGGCACTGGGGGCAGGTCTGAGTATGCATGGTATGGCATAACAGAGTCCTTCCTCTTATGTTTCGGTGTATATGTTGCGGAGGGCAAGAATGGCCCCGGTGCGTATGTTGTCGATGGCAAAGTGTCGAGCGTCTGCGATGATACGGGATTGTATGTAGTCGAAGGCAAGGTATCGACTGAATTGGTAGGCGATGCAGTGTAAGTCGTCGTAGGAAGCAATTCATAAGTCGTAGCTGGTAGAGTATCGATTTGGCTTGCGGCACGTAGAGCGTTCGGCGTAGGCAGCGCATTGTATCGTGTGTCTGGCGAAGAGTAGATGTAGTTCTCATCGATCGCGGCATCTATATTCGCTAACAAGTCCTCGTTCGATATTGGAGTCTTGGGTCCAGGCGACTTTTGGTCAAACGCAAAGTTGAAGGAGATAGGTCGGACTTCTGGTATGTGCGGTGGGCTTACAATGTGACTAGAGACAGGCTCAGGCTCGTCGTCTGGCTCGTCATCCGAAGTTCCTTCGTCCACCATGGTCTCATAGTACAGGGATACCACACGATTTGATGGTGGGTGTGAAGTGCTACCGGGGTAGAGTGAAATTGGCCGGTTGAAGCTTGCGTATAAGCCGCCATCGTACGTTGTCGCCGGCAACATATATAAGCTCTGCTCTGGCGCAGCTGCTGCCCCGGGATCCAGTGTTGATCGAGACGACGACGGCCGCTCTTGTTGTTCCGGCGAGCTCGAGACGGATGCGCTGCGTTCGGTGAAGGAAGACGACTGCGAGAGGCCAGGAGTCAGTATTGGGCTGGCGCTCTGACTTCGTGAGTGTTGCAAGAAGCGAGGCGAAGCTTGGGCTCGGTACGGTGGAGGTGCGAATTGGTAATCTGGTGGCGGAGCGATGAAGATGTTGCCGTGACCCATTCTCTCTCGTGGCTCGACATTTCGTAGTGCCTTCAATCGCTCGTTCGCGAAGTTAGACTCCAGTATATGCGCCCTCTCTACAAGCTTCTCAACAAGTCGTGAATGTGAGTCCTTGAACGTTTTCTTGACGAAACCCAAGAACAATTTTGAGCATGTCATCTTCACTTCCTCCCGGATATATAAGCCAGTGCGTGGGACTTTGAGTCCGTGGTCAGCGTGTTGCTTTGGTTCACCAGGTAATGACCCGCCAACGCTCCATTTTCCACGGATGTCCAGACCGAGGGGCGCGTAGACGTGTGTTTCGAGACAATCGGGCAAGTCATGGAAGACAGCGTGGTATGACACCGAACCTGTCGCCAGGCCTCCAGGTAGATATGATACTTTGTCTGGTAGCTATTAACTATCGTGCTCATAATGGATGGGTGCACGTAAAAGTAGGTACCTTTGATCGTATACCATGTTGCATAGTACTCCGAGGTTGGCGCGTAGTTGGGAGGCTTGCACTTATAGCGCTCAACCACAAGTGGGTTCAAATCGATCATCGCTAGATGGTCCTGGTACATGTCGAGGACACTCTTGCGAGTGATGCCCGCCGGCAGCGGGGTGATCGTTGTGAATACCGCAGTCTTTGGCATCTCGCTATGTGTCGAATCGAATGTGTCGTAGTTTACGGTTTTGCTCCTGCACAGTGAGGACAGCGAAACACCTAGATACTGTGCGACCGAAGTGGAGGGGAGAAAGAAGGGATGTTTGTACAACGTGAGTAAACCAAAGGATTTTGTTTCGTAGGCCAAGTCTGGCCATATGTGGTATCACAACGTATTAGCAAGCGTACTAGACCTACTCATGGCCAAAACGCCCCCTCACGGCCCCTGCGTCCAGTTCCTTAGATTGGGGAACGACATTACCCCGCCAAGCAGCGTGCCAGTCCTCACGAACGTTTCTTTCGCCGTTCCTGCAAGTTTTGGTCAGCGACAAGCTTCTTACTGTATGTGTACTTGACAGACGGATTGCTCTAGTCCGATGTGCTATGGCAAGTCAAACGAGTAACATGTAGGGCTCCTACCGATCGAGCGTCAAGACGATACAGTGATGGAGGTGTGAGTAACTCGTACGAGCGCGAGTGCAAATGTAGTGTGGCTATTGTGGGAGCGTTCGTGTGTTGCAGAGGTGGAGGTCATGCAGGGTCCAAACGTGATCGCCACAAGTTCGGTTTCAGAAGGCGCTATTCCCAACGCCAACCAAGAAGAAGAATGCTGATGAACAGCCTCGATGAATCAGCTTGAATCGAACGCACCAAGAACCTCTGCATCTTGATGATGTTTCCTTCTTGCCATAAAAACCTGATATCCACGCATGCACTTTCATGCCTCCAAGCAGAAACTCGATGGCATGCGCTGAACGGCGAAGTTTGCGGCAGAGAACGTTTCAACGACCCCATGCCTCTTCCCGGTTTCACAAAGGCTTCATGAAGCATTCAGCAGCATGACAAGGCAGCCATGTATGCCTCAGGTTGATTGCGATGCCTCAGTATCTCACCTGACGAAAACTTGAAAATTCCAGATCCGGAGTCGCATTCCATGCGAGTCCAACTTTTGTCAATATAGAAAAGCTGTCTGCCTCGTTTCACGAAAACGGGACCAAGACTTCAATCATATTCTGATGGTATAGCAATTGCAAGGGCTCGTTTCTCTGACGGTCACCAGTGTGTTCAATCTCCACGTTCAAATCGTTTAAATTGGATATCGACTATTCGAGTCGCCTTACGAAGGCCAACGGTAACAGCGAAAACTCGTCTGTGGGACAGCAAATTGCCTCGTGACATTGCAAGACGGATTGCATGAGTTGCCAACTGATCGAATATTTTCAATTGTCAAATGCATTACAACATAAAGTTCATACGACAACGCGGTATATCCACGTAATCCAGAAATCATAGCCCTTTAACTCCTAGATCATTCCTGATGATCATCTCTTTGATTCTGTTCTCCATGCCTTCATACCGTTATCATTACGTCCATCAGCGTCTCCTTTCTCAATTGCTGCTTTCTTACACTCCCTGATGCATAGCAACATCCGGCTTCTGCACCGCCGGCACCCTCCTCTTCTCCGTCGTAACAGCAAGATACGTCTCATACCCAAGCGCACCCGTCGCAACTGCCCAACTCAAGCCTCCAAACACCGCCCCCGCCCTCGCAACATCACACACCTGCCCAAAGCAAATCCTTCCATTCAAGAACACAGCCAGCGCCACGAACCCAGCGAACCAGAATAGCATGGTGAGCGCATCAAGCGCAACGAGGCCCCAGCGGATGCCGGCGGACGAGAGCAGGTGGCTGAACTTGAGCGGTATGAGGAGGATTGGGATGAGTGTGATGAGCGACCAGACGGGTGCAAAGATCAGGAGTGAGACTTGGGCAGGAGAGGCCTGCTGCCAGTGCGATGTCCACCATGAGGAAACTGGAGCGGCGTTAGTGTTGGCGTGAAAGGGGGACAGGATGTACGAACCGTAGGCCATGAGTCCTAGAACGATTATGGCAAAAGTGGCTTGTGTAGCACGCACGGGGTGCATTGAGTTGATGTTGACCATTTTGTGTGAATCGTCGCTGCGATCGAGAGTGGTTTTCGTAATTCACTTGGGATTCAAGTTCGATCGCCTCAGGATCGATATTGTGGATCTCCAACAATCGATGATATGGAGTCGAAGGATCGAATGATCCCGAAGGTAGAAAGAGGAATCTAGAGAAGAAGGAAACAAGGCCCTGAAGTGCGCCTCAGTATACTCTATACATTCCCTCCTGCTCTAAATTTGCCCATTTCGACACACCCACCAGCAATGCAATCTTCGGCAACTTGGGAGCCCAGGTCAGAACTCTATGCAGTGGACTCGTGAGTGGTCGGCTACGATTGGTGTTTCTGAGCTGCTTGGACTTGGCTGACGAGTGCTGGACCATGGCCGGTCGGTTCCATGTTTCAGGTAGGGCTGAACCCCTGGTCGCGCATGAAGCGTGTCAGGTCTGTCAGTACTGCAATGATCGAGTCGCGACAACGACGAATGACGAGCCGGGTGGCGATCAAACGCAGGAAGGGTTGTATTGTGGACAGAAGGTGGAGCCAATATCTGCATCGATCGTCCTTTGGCTTCGACTCTTCAACACCTGTGAACTTTGCGACACACGCATGCAAAGGCCGCCTTATTCCCGACCGATTTGACAAATCCGGTTAAAACTGCAACGTTGTGCTTGCGCTCGAAAGCTCGTGCCCGTCGAAACCTATGCCCTTGATCTTCACAAACACCTCGCGTCCAGCCAGTCGCTCCACGAACGAAGCTGGAAGCATGTGCTCTCCCGCATACGCTCTTCCGAAACCGTTACCATCAACACAAACGACAAAATAAGAGAAAGATCCGGTAATGCTACTGTAAGGCATGCCCTTCACTGGTTGACCACTGGAAGAGTGGGTCCAGCAGAGTCTCAGATGCTGTGTCTCTCCTTCACCCCGAGATGACTTCTGAATATCAGAGATGGTACTCGTCGGCGATGAGGCCTCTGATGGGAAATTTCGGGATGAGATAGGTTGGAATGAGTCACCTCGGTAAGGGACAGGTTGGGACGGAACAGGATAGGAAGCGATAGGCTGAATGCAGATATAGTCCACCTCTGCAAGTCTTGTACAGCTTTCAGCGTTAAATGCATGCGAGTAAAAGCCGAGCTCCTCCAGACGAGGATTTGACAATGATAGAACGTTGCTGGTTCTGATTTCGAGGTCGAGGAGGTGGTCAATTCGAGGGCAGTCGTATTGCGTAAGGCCATGCACTGTACCAGAGACTTTCATGTAGAAGGCTACGCCTTGGGGTATGTTTGAGAGGTCTCGATAGGAGACCCGCAGCCGCAGCGACCCATCCGCTGGCATGTCCAGTTTGAACAGCGGTATCATCCAATTGTGATCTGTGGGCGCCAAATCTTTCTTAATTGACGATAAAGGCAAATTGCAAGCCTCAATAACAAGCTGCGATCGACCTGATACGTCTTCCAATCTGTGTCGCAAAGGACTTAGCATGCCTAGTGACTCCGTTCTAAGAGGCAGGATTGCTTGCGAGCCAAGTTGTGCATGCATGCTGAAGCCACTGAACAGACTCTCTTTCTCTTTGTCACTGTGCGTGCTGAATGCTCGACTGAAGTCTGTAAAGAAGAATGTCTCTGAGCCGGCATTGTACAGCCTTGCAAAGCTGGTGATTGGTGTTACTTTGTTCGGTTGATGCCGCTTGTCACAATCACCGCACGGGCAAGCTGTACCCTCTGGGAGATCTCCTCCATCCCACATCGTCTGCTCCACATCTCTTCCGTGACCTGGAAAGTGCTCGAACGTCCACGCTGGTGCGAAGATGCCAGCCGAGAGCCCAAATTCTGCAAGCTTGGCTACCGCGACACCCGTGTTGGTACCGCCACCGCCATACTCGGGGTATGTGATGCGAGGATGCGAGAGCTTGGTTGTATTCTGAGCCCAGACGTCAATGCCAAAGTGAATTTGATGTGATGGCAAGTTCGTTTGCAGGCCTTCGTGTAATGAATCCGCGGCGTCACTCTCTTTCCAACAGTAGTTGGTAAGAACGCTGCCGCAAGCTTTCGCAAATGGCAGATTTTGCGTGTTGAGGGCGTTCTGATAGGACACTTTATTGGTGGTAGTCAAGGCATCATACCTAATACGGTCAAACGCTGCTCCTAAACTGAACGTAGATCACTCACCAGATAAGCTGCTTTTCGACTCCAAGATTTGACTTTAGTTGGCGAAGGAAAGCCTCCAGAACGTGTGCATTCCAGCTCGCTGTGGGAAACGGCTTTTCGATGTTCACAAGCCAGCCGTCGAACTTGTAGTGATCTGCAATCTTGGCAAGCTTCGTTGCCAATGGGAAAGATAATCCATCGTTGCCGTGCTGTAAGAGCTTCTCAGAGTCTGGCGTTTGCGATTCGATCAGTATCGTGCCGAGCGCCTTCACTCCATTGCGATGCAGTGCATTGGTCCAGGTTGGTGGCGGGACGCACACGAGTTTGTGAGAAAAGTAGATGAAGGTATCGACATATTGCAGGTATTCACATGCATACTTCTCCTGTTCTAAGCCAATGCCTGATGGCCCCTCATAGTCGTGGTAGTTTCCTGCATAGTCATGGCAAAGAAGGACACTAGTCTTGCCTAATCCCTCTCTTTCGTTGACCGAACGCACCATCAACGGCGTGTTGGCTCGTTGTAAAGGATCAGCATCAGTGTCAGTCCACGTCTCCAGCTGTTCGAAGGTGTCGAAGTAAGTGAAGCCTTTCAGCTGGTCGAGGGCGCGTTGCTTTCGACGTTCTTCTGGTGTTGGGCCTGTATCTGGAGATGGGAAGAGGTGTCGGTAGCCGTCACGTATGGGCCGTAAGATGTCTTTCCAGCCTAATAGATATGCCATGTTGTTGCATTTGTTGCACGGTGTTGCAGCTGCAGATGAGCCTTTCGCGAGGGCTAAAGTCCGCGGGGGTCCCTAGGGAGACCACAACATGGGCATCCACCGCACCGAGCATCCAAGCCATCGAGAGCTTGTTGAAGAGCTACCGTTACTCATTCTTCGTCATCGATAAGGCGTTCACGACCTTTTTGGTCTGGTGTTGCGGCAGTGACGTCCGATCTCCCCTGGCAGGAACTTGGGGGACTGTTTCTTGGCATTATTAGCATGCAAGGATCAGCTCCCAACCCTACGCCTTGCAGCTGCTCCAAACGTGTCATTTTATTCAACGTCGTGCAAACGTTCAGTCTTCAACCACGCTCGAGTAGCTGCACTTCTCCACAAGTCACACTCCAGCCAAGGGCGCGTCGCCATGATGAACCTTTTCAGGCTGTTAGGTAGGTTCAAGCTCACTTGGTTTAGCTTGCGCATGCTAACAATGGCTGTTTAGGGGACTTGTCCCATCTGCTATCGATTCTGATTCTCTTGCACAAGATGAAGACCTCAAGTGTCTGTTGAGCAAAACTAGCAAATGGATTGCGCGGTTTCTGACAAAATACAACAGAGTGCGGCCGGTATCTCATTCAAGTCACAGTTCCTGTACTTAATTGTGTACCTCAGTCGATACATCGACCTTCTTTGGACCTTCTACGACCCCAGTGCGCTATACAACACCATCTTCAAGATCGTCTTCATCAGTACATCTGCGTATACCGTATACCTCATGCTCAACGACTTCAAGCCCACCCACGACCCGAACCTCGATACTTTCAAGGTGCAATACTTGCTGGCATTCAGCACAGTACTAGCCGTGCTGTTCCCGTACAAATACACGTTGACCGAGGTGAGTTGAGACACGAACGGGATAGGTTGGGATCTAACGAGGGTTACAGATCCTATGGGCATTCTCCATCTGGCTCGAATCGGTCGCTATCCTGCCCCAGCTATTCATGCTGCAAAGGACCGGTGAAGCAGAGACAATCACAACGCACTACTTGTTCGCGCTCGGCGCTTACCGAGCTCTGTACATCCCCAACTGGATTTACAGGTACTTCTTCGAGGTGCCGCGCTTCTACGACCCAATCGCTGTCATCGCAGGTATCGTGCAGACCATCCTGTACTCGGATTTCTTCTATATCTACTACACAAAGTCAGTATCCCGGCAGCCTTGGTCTGCTTCCGCAACAAATGCTAACATGCACCAGGGTCATCCAAGGCAAGAAGTTCAACCTCCCCGTCTAAGAGATCCGAGAGAGTTGGCCGATGCCTAGAAATACGCTTCGAAAGCCCATAGTTGGCGCGCGCAAGCTTCATGTACTTTTAACACTCGACTATCGGCGTTTTGAGAAGCGATCTTGGTTCGGACTCAGAAGTATGAGACGACACTTGGTAGCTGTTGTACGAATTGCATGAATAGAGGAGTACGGACGGACATGTGTGGGATGTCCTATGGATGGTAGGGCTACAATGCCGCTATATAGCACCATATAACATCGAATTACCAATAGTATCTGAAGACCGCAAACAGTATGAGTTTGCGTTGCGTCAGCGTTGACAGACCAATCGCGCGCCACTTGAAGGAAGTCCGCAGTGGCGCGCACGTGTCAGCCTCAACCATTGATTGCGCCTGCCAACCAAGCCTGAGACATCATAACACCACGCCAGTCGCCTTCACCACTTTCCCTTTATTTGCACTGTAGCGTTCGTATTAATACCCGTTCACTCACTGTTTCACTTCTGAGCTGTGCGCTCACTCTTCTGGTTCTCACCTTTGGCTGTGATTGTCTTCACAGCCCGCGCATTTCCGCACACGACACCACAATGTTCTGCCTCCGCAGCTGGATACCCGTACTTTTCTTTCTGTAAGTCAGGCGTCTCCTCTGTGGCAATGAGCCAATATTAATCTCTCTAGACTCCGCACAAATGCTTCGCCCGTGTACCTAGTCCTCTTTATCTCCGCGACATACTTCCTCAACCGGCCCTGCGTCTACTGCTCGTTACTCCTCTTCATACTCGTCGTCGCGCTATTCGACTTCCACACGCCATGGTTCGATCCGCCGCTCCCCGACACAGCAGGGCTGGCACGCAACGAGACAACGCCGCTACTCGAGACAGCTGGTGTCTTTGCGCAAGCGGCTACAAATAGCGCACACGAGCTGGTCAAGGGCGCAGTTGACGGAGTAAGAGGGAAAGCGAGTGTAGGTGCAATGAACGAGTGGGTGAAGGGTCTATTGGGCAAGAAGGAGTGGAGGATACAGTGCTTGGACGTCTTGATCCGGATATAGTAGCGTGTGGCAGAGAGAAGCGGACTGATCGTGCCAGCGACTGTTGGGAGGATCTTAGTAGTCTAAGAGGGGATTTTGGTCGGGTTTCTGCGTTATTGCATGACAGGCGCTCGGTTTTGAGGCATTTACACGGCGTTAGGCATCTTCTCTATCTCCAGGCAATATTCACTCGTGGATTTTTTGCACGCGAAGTCCATACGGACAAGGTGGTGCAGCCACAGAAAGCAAGCATACATCCTTTCGTGATTACAGAGGCTTATGAGCGCATACTTCACGTCTACCGTACCGACACTGTTACACTCCGTTGCCCTCCGTTTCGAAGTACTCCGAGGCAGCATCGGCAATCTCATGAAGGAATGGCCAACATCCACAGGCAACAATTTTGTCTTCCTTACTCGTGTTCTCATTTCTTTACCTGATGCTTTCCAAAAGAGCCCCGCGCTAGAGCAGGGATTCCGAGGTCCCCGCAACGCGCACCATCTCACGTTCACAGCACCCTTTGTAGAGCTTGAAGGGCTTCAGCAATAGTCAGATTTATGTTGCCAGTGTATCGAATACTATGTAGTTTCAATTCCTATTATATAACGTCACGATTATTGAAGCCTTGTATTGCGTGAAGTTGGGCGTCCTGCGGACAGAGCGGCTGCTTGTCCCGCAACGCGTGAGGCACCTTCCCGAGCGAGCGGTGACATGCACCATCAACCACCCCACTCCGACAGTTCGTTCCGTCCCCTCTTTTAAAGCTGGCGTCTCTCATTCACTACTCGAGACCTAGCTCTCGCCCACAGCTCTGGACTAAGCTTCTGCCTAGACTAGCTCCTACATCTTGCCGCATTGCAGCCGCTGCTAAGCGTTTCTCAAGTTCTACCACAAGAGCTACAGAGCTTCACTCGACCTCACGTGTGCAACCGAGACTGAGACCGAGACTTGCAGTTGCTCGACCAGCTGCATTGAGTGTTCAGAAAAGATTCTGTCAGAGCGAAGTCACCAGTAGTTTCACAGACATGGCGTCAGACCGAGACATTCTCCCCTTGTGGTAGGTTACATAGTGGCTGGCCCTCACGCACAACGGAAGCTCACAGAAGTCATAGGGCCAAACCTTCTCACTACGCTATCTCCCTCTACGACATCGAGTTCGGCGGCAAATTCGGCTACAAGGGTGCCGTCAGCATCAACACAAAGATCACAAAGGACGATGGCTTCTCTGAGCTGGTGCTCAATGCCCATCAGCTCAAGGTACACAGCGCTGAGCTGAAGGCCGGCGATGCCACCAAGTCGGCCAAGGATATCTCCTACGATGAGAAGCGCCAGCGCGTTACCCTCGACTTCGGAGAGAAGATCAACTACTCGGGCGAGGTGACCCTGGAGGTCAAGTTCGAGGGAACGGTCAACAACGTATGTCGAGATGTGCATCGACGCTTGCAAAGACTCTGCTGATCGGCTTTACAGATCATGGCTGGTTTCTACCGCTCCAAGTACACGCCCAAGGGCGACGTCGCGGCCTCGGTTGCCAAGGACGACGATTTCCACTACATGTACAGCACCCAGTTCGAGGCATGTGACGCCCGCCGAGCCTTCCCCTGCTTCGACGAGCCCAACCTTAAGGCGACTTTCGATGTCGAGATCGAGGTCCCGAAGGACCAGGTAGCTCTCAGCAATATGCCCGAGAAGGAGACGAAGGAGAGCAGGCGTGACGGCTTCCACACTGTTGTCTTCGAGACCACACCCATCATGTCGACATACCTGTTGGCATGGGCCATTGGTGACTTCGAGTACGTTGAGGCTTTCACCGAGCGCAAGTACAACGGCAAGAGCATCCCTGTCAGGGTCTACACTACTCGCGGACTCAAGAAGCAGGGAGAGTTTGCGCTGGACAACTGTCACAAGATCGTCGACTACTTCTCAGAGGTCTTCCAGGTCGACTACCCGCTTCCTAAGGTCGATCTTCTGGCTGTTCACGAATTTGTGAGTTCACACGGCCCGTGTGCGTGTAATTGTGCTTATTCACCAGCCAATCATACGTACCACTACTCCCTACACTATGAACCGTAAACTGACCTGGACTGATAGTCGCACGGTGCCATGGAGAATTGGGGTCTCATCACCTACCGGTCAGTGCTAGGTTTGTTGCACTCAAAGGATGAACGCTAATCTTAACTTCAGTACTACCGCCGTGCTCTTCGATCCCGAGACATCCGCAGACAGCTACCGAAACAGAGTGGCGTACGTCGTGGCTCACGAGCTTGCTCACCAGTGGTTCGGCAACCTGGTCACGATGGACTGGTGGAGTGAGCTTTGGCTCAACGAGGGCTTCGCCACTTGGGTTGGATGGTTCGCCGTTGACCACCTGTACCCAGGTATGTTCTGCCACGTTCAAAGTCGAATTCAACTGACTGACATGGCGCAGACTGGAACGTGTGGGGGCAGTTCGTTGTACGTTCAAGAGCACGAGGTACCTTTGCTCCACGATCGCTGACATTGCTTATAGACTGATTCCGTGCAACAAGCTTTCGCGCTTGATGCGCTACGCACCTCCCACCCTATCGAAGTACCTGTCTACGACGGTCTCGAGGTTGACCAGATCTTCGATCACATCAGTTACTTGAAGGGTAGCTCGGTCATCCGCATGTTGAGCGCTCACCTTGGTGAGAAGGTATTCCTTCAGGGTGTAGCCAACTACCTCAAGGCTCATCAGTACTCGAATGCCACTACTAACGACCTATGGTCCGCCCTAAGCGAGGCCTCTGGTCAGGATGTCAGCAGCTTCATGGACTTCTGGGTCCGCAAGATCGGTTTCCCTGTCGTCACCGTTGCCGAAGAGCCTGGCCAGATCGGCATCCGCCAACAGCGTTTCTTGCTCGCCGGCGATGTCAAGCCAGAGGAAGACTCGACAGTGTGGTGGATTCCATTGGGTCTGCATGCGGGTTCATCTCCTTCGACAGCAACTGTTCACCAGACGGGTGCCTTGACTCAGAAGGAGGAGACCATCCGCAACGTTGACGATGGCTTCTACCAGCTCAACAAGAACCTCACTGGATTCTACCGGACCAACTACCCGCCAGAGCGCCTTGCCAAGCTTGGCGAAGCCCGTCACGAGCTCACAGTGCAGGACAAGATTGGCATCATTGGAGATGCTTACGCCAACTCTATCGCCGGATTCGGCTCTACTGCCGGCCTGCTTGCGCTCGTAGAGAACTTCCAGGATGAGTCCGACTACTTGGTCTGGTCGCAGATTCTTACCAACATTGGCAATGTACGCAGCGTACTCTCTGGCAGTGACGACGTTAGTGAGGCTCTGAGGAAGTACCACCTCAAGCTGGTTACACCCGCAGTTGAGAAGGTTGGCTGGGAGTTCAAGGACGGCGAGGGTTTCCTCGCTGGTCAGCTTCGCGCGGCGCTTATCTTGTCGGCCGGTCTAATCGGTCACCAGGCTACTGTCGATGAGGCCCTGAAGCGCTTTGAAGCTTACACCTCCGGAAAGGACAAGTCAGCTATTCATCCCTCGCTCCGCCGTGCTGTATTTGGCATTGCGATCAAGAATGGTGGAGAGTCTGCCTACAAGGCTGTTCAGAAGGAGTACCTCTCGACATCATCCATCGACGGCAAGGAAATTTGCTTGGTCACCATGGGTCGCGTCCAGACTCCCGAGCTCGCTCAAGACTTCTTGAAGTTCATCTTCTCAGACAAGGTCGCCACCCAGGACAAGCACTCTGGTACCATTGCGCTGGCCAATAACTCCAAAGTCCGTCCCGAAGTATGGAAGTACATTCGCGACAACTGGGACCAGACCGTTCACCCTGCTCTATCCGGCAACCTTGTGGTTCTCGAGCGCTTCTTGCGTTTCGGTCTGAATAAGTTTGCTGATGAGAAGGTTGCTGATGAAATTTCGGCATTCTTCAAGAACAAGGACACCCGTGGTTACGACAAGGCTCTTGAGGTTATCGACGACACCATCAGGAGCTATGCGAAGTACGCGAAGAGGGACGAGGCTGTCGTCAGGGAATGGTTGAAGGCCAACAAATACCTGTCATGACTTGGACTGAGATTGTAAATGCTAGAGATGTTGTAGCTATAGAGCTGGCAGCCATGTAGATATGCGCGTCAAAATTGAACAAAGTTAAAGATCCGAGAGCGTCCTACGAACAATGCATGATAGTGATGATTTGTATGTTTTTGACCACGCCCAACGCCATCAGGCCCTCAATATCGCTATGCCTCGCACAAAAGGTTCTCCGGATACCACCCCTTCGCTCCGCGCTGCAATTGTTACCCTCCGCATTGTTGCAAGGTGAGAGTACAAGGAGAAAGACCACGCACTCGGCATCCAGAAGAACACCTTCGCTCTCATTGTGCGTAGGGCCTGCGACGCCACAGGAAATGAGGGGATCCTTGACCTGTGAGACTACACTGAGCAAGAGAGAAACCACAAGGCGTCAAGAATTGCTTCAACAAAGGTAGGGCCAGGTTCCCCTGCCTCTGTCAGCATCCAAGATGCGGCTTAGTGGTACCCCAACAAGACGTGGGATGAAGCTGTGAAGAATCACATACCACTTGGCGCTCTTTCTCCTGCTACAATCGAGAAAATTTGTTGTACACACTCACATCCTAATTGTGACAGGCCTCTCACCCGAGTAGTTGAGGTGGCAAAGCCTTCTCTCTCCAACAGTCTTCGCAAACTGCGCGTTGAATATGCTCAGTGGTGCCTCTACTGGCTTGACAGAGGCGCTCTCTTTGTCTTTACTGACGAGACCTACATCTTTGTCGGCGGTCGCCCACACAAGCGCAAGCGCGTCACTATCAAACAAGGGTCAGCACGGTGAGTCTTGTGCTCAATACACAGACCCAGTATACTTTAAAATCATGCAATGGGGCGCTATCTGCGAGGACACACAAGTGCCATTTCCTTGCCTCCTTTGGGAGTGGGAGACGCCACAAGAGAAGCTCTCTCACCAGCTCGCTTTGGATCTTGAGAACCTCACCCAGCAGCACCACGCTATAGTAAACCGGATAGTTGCTAACACTTCTGGGACAGTTCAAAATCAGATTCTCTGCAAGGTCAACAATACCAGTCTTCTCTACAATCAACAGCGTCGCACTGACGGCCATACACTTGGCATGCGTATGCCCCGCAAAGCTCCGCAGGTTTTTTAAACACCAGAACCTCACTTGGGGCGAGAAGAGCAAGGGCGTAGATTGGTTCCTTTACCGCAAGTTTGTGCTGCACGGCGAGCTTTTCCCATACGTTAATGAGCTCCAGAAGCTTCATCCAAATCGCCCCATCGTCGTTGTTGAAGACGGCGCGCCGCTACACGCCAAAGCTATTGGTATCTGCGCGGCAGAGTATGCTCAACACCACATTATTTGAGCCCCCCACGCCCCTAATTCGCCTGATCTAAACCAGATTGAGCCTATATGGGACTACGAGAAAGATATGCTTGATGGACGATTCGAACGATCGATGAGCAGAGAAGCTGTGCTTCGTGGCCGAGCACTAATACAAGATGAGTGGGAGCGTGTAGGAGGAAGAGCAAAGCAGACTCGTGCAAGTTTCCGCGGCAAATTGCTCAACGTGATACAACGGAAAGGCGGTAATGATTATTACGGCTAAATATACTAGTTTCAAGCTCTCTAATACACTAAACACAATCATGATATCTCAATTTTTTTTGTCAAAGAAATCACACATTTAACCTTGTGAACGCTTCTAACAACTTTCTTAGGTGTTGCAACATAAAATCTGAGCTCCAATTCCGATTGGATGAGGCTCTTGTCTGCCACATACCCACTCCATATTGTGCGATTGGCCGCAAATTCTTCGAAAATCAGCGTGGTGTAACAGCGGCAGCACGTTATCGGACGACAGCCAGGTTGGAGCAAAGAACTTTTGGCTTGAACCAAGCCTCTCAAGCATCGTGCCGCGACCCGCATTTTGTGCAGGACTACCTTCCACTCTTGGCATAGCACCACGTTATAAAGTGGCTCCCCTACCATGTATGTACAAGCTGCCGCCGCTTTGCTTGCGAAATCGCAACCCTGCGATGTCGACATCGACAAAAAGATGAACTTTTTGTATGCTCGAAGCACCGGAGTTTGCATCCTTCTTGGCAATGGCAAGAATTAACGATTGCGTGCAATCATGCCACAGGTGGGAGAATGGACATAAAGAAGGCAGTTGCTGTCATGCCTTTGCGGTTCGCCCTCCTTTTCCTCTCGCAACCGGTCATTGAGGTTTGCTAAGTCGCAATGGCGACACACGACTCCGCCAAGGCGCCTTCAGTTGAAGATGTCTCTCTTCCTGTTTCGAACTCGCCATCCATTGATGCGTCAAGGCGCAGATGGTACCGGTCCACGCTCTTCAATGCCTTCGTTATCGGAGGTGTGGGCTTTCTGGCACCAGGTCTGTGGAATGCCATGAACGATCTTGGAGCTGGAGGAGCACTCGACCCATACCTGGTCAACGCCGCCAACGCTCTTGTATTCGGCATCATGGGCTTCTTCTGCTTATTCGGCGGTCCCATCGCGAACCGCATCGGCTTCGCCAATACACTGTTCCTCGGTGCGGTCGGTTATCCCATCTACTCTGCTGGACTCTACACCAACAACCGTTACGGGAACGTCTGGCTCGTCCTTGTCGGCGCTGTCTGCTGCGGTGTCAGCGCAGGTCTTTTCTGGGTCTCCGAAGGTGCAGTCGCCCTTGGCTATCCCGAGCCAGGCAAGAGAGGCAAATACATGAACATTTGGCTCTGGTTTCGCACTGGTGGTCCTCTCGTCGGCGGCGCCATCGTCCTTGCCCTCAACAACAACGCGGCCGCAAAAAAGAAAGGCAAAGTCGGATACCAAGTCTACCTTGTCTTCATCGCACTCCAATGCATCGCCTGCCCCCTCGCCCTCGCACTTTCCCCGCCCGAGAAAGTCCAGCGCACCGACGGCTCCAAGGTTGTCATCTCGAAAGAGAAATCCTTCAAAGCCGAATTCAAAGCCCTCTGGCGCGTCTCCAAGCGCAAAGATGTTCTGCTCTTACTCCCAATCTTCTACACCGCCTACTTCAACCAGTACAGCTCGAACTTTAAAGCCTACTACTTCGGCGTGCGCGCCCGCGCTCTCATGGGCTTCGTGTCCAACTTCGGCACTCTTCTCTCATCACAGCTCATCTCCCAGCTTCTCGATTACAAGAAGCTGACTGTGAAGAAACGCATTACTTACGGCTTCTACTACGTCATCTTCTTGCACGTTGTTGCGTGGGTGTACGGTTGGGTCATTCAGGAGAAATACACGAGGAACAACCCAGTGTTCGATTGGGAGGACGGCGGCTTCGTGGAAGCGTTCTTCGTTCTCATCCTTTGGGACTTTGCCAGGCAGGCACTGCAGAATTGGCTGTACTATCTGCTTGCGACCAAGACGGACAATATCTCTGAACTCAGTCGGTTTGCAGGTGTGCTCAGAGGTCAGGAGAGTTTCGGACAGGCTGTTGCTTTTGGATTAAACACGAAGAAGTGGAAGGGTGGTCGCGTTCCACTTGGAGTCGCTACGGTGCTGCTGGTGTTGTCTGTTTATCCTACGTGGCTTGTGGTGAGAGATCATGTTCCTGTGGAGGCGGTGGATGCTACGAAGGAGGTTTTGGCAACGGCTAATGTTCGCGCTTCGCAGCAGGTGGTTACGTTGGAGGAGAAGAAGAAGTTCGCGGAAGGAGAGGCAGCTCTTGGAAGGAACGTGTAAGCCCTTCTTCACTCGAATCGCATCAGTAGTTGAAGAGAGGGATCAAAATACATGACACAGTCAGATACGAAAAAATAATCTCAGCTCGTTCGACCTCTCACACAACACCTTACCCAGCTGACGAGATGATACTTCAACACCGTGTTTCTGGATCCGGACTATTCACCATCTCGGTCTAGCTCTACCTCGCAATCCAGATCCCAGCGTTATCATCGGCGCATCCCTCCGCTTATCACCCATTAGCTAACCACCCAACCACACGATAAGAAGCCTTCAAATTGTAGATCTACAGCGGAATATCTGCGCACCTTATCTGTTTCATGACTCAAACCAGTTCTTCGGAGAAAGAACGGTTCTACAAGCGGCTTTAGCCATGCTCCAGATAGGCAGTCTCGGCACCTCGTTCAGGATGCCGCAACAAAACCCCGCACACCAGACATAGCCGAGGTGCAACACCTTCACAACCATCGACACCCCCCCCCCTACACAGCCAACTCCTTACCAGATTTCTTAGTTTTTGAAATGGCAGACTACAACAATTGTCAGCAGAATGATACACCTGTGAAAGCTAAGGTCTGGGGCGCTATTGAGTACTTAGAGGCTAAGGAAATCCCTCACTACAAGGAGGATGTGTTTTGGCACTTCAAAGTCAGCTATTGTCAGGGATGGGCTATGATATCAGATGACAGCATTGATAGGCGTCACCACCATACTGAGGGACTTGAGCACAGAGGCAGGCCTTCAGTTATGTCAAATTATCACCTAAAAGAGATGGATTGCATTATCAGAGAGGAAGGATTTGAGGCACGGAAGCTTACTTGGAACCAATTAGCATGGGAAGCTGGCCTTGAAGGTGTCACAGAGCAAACAATTGCACGCACAATGGGTGAAACAATGGAGTGCTCTAAGTGTATAGCCTGCTGCAAGAGTTGGTGCAATGACAGTACAGCCCAACACTGCAAGAAGTGGGCTAAACACATGAAGGAGAGGTATCCTGAGCCTTATATGTGGTGGCATGTACGCTTCTCTGATGAAGTACATTGGGCTATTGTGTGAGAGGGGGCCAGCTGGGGATACCAACTGCTCTCTGAGATGGATGAATTGGTGGAAGAAAGGTTCAGGCTTGTTGGAGATAAGGGTGTGGGAGAAGCCAAGTGTGGGAATACCACAAGTGGTGAAAAGGATAAATGATGAAAAAGGGATCAAGTGTGGGAATATCACAAAGGATCAGTGATGAATAGAAACAGGTATTGAATTGTTGAAGTGAATTGCAAGCATGAGTTATCTGAGCAAGAGGGCAGGCTGCTTTTATAAACAGACTGCTGGCTCCTGGAATATTCTAGATACATTGGCATATGCCACCATTTGTCATCATTTGTAATCATTTGTCAGCAACTAGAAGATTCTGTAATGTTCCATAACATTCCACAATGTTCTGTGATATTCCACAATGTTCTGTGTATTGGACCTGAAGGCCGCATCTATGTCATCCAGAAACCTGGTGAGAGGTACTGCAAGGACTGCATACAAGTGAGGGAGGAGAAGGATACATATGAGAAGAATCTTAATAGGGTTCACGCTTGGGCTGCTGTTGGGCACAACTTCCAAGTCAGATCTTATCTTCTACAACATCAGGAGGAATAGCAATGGCAAGATGAAGCAGAAGGACTACATCTCACAGATCCTTGTCCCAGTTGTCAAGCCATGGATTGAGAGGAGTGATACCTTCTGCCTTGAAGAAGATAGCAACTCAGGTCATGGGCCAGGCAAGAGCAACATTGTGAGGACTTGGAAGGATAGGCAGCAAGCTCAGCACTCTAACTTCACTCACTACTTCAACTATCACAATTCTCCTGACTTAACAATCATTGAGAACTGCTGGCAGCTGCCAAAGCAACACGTTGAGAAGTTTCCTCACTGGGATGAGCAAGATACTAAGGATCTTGCACTTGAAGGGTGGGAGAAAATAAGCCAACAGTTCACAAATAATTGTGTTGATACTATACCTCAATGCCTACAAGATTGTGTTGATATGGATGGCCAAATGACAGGTTGGTGATGTTTGAAAGTATAGGTTAACAGATGGGGTGCAGCACATGAGCGCATAGCTCCAACACCATGTGGTGAAATTTAATTCCAAAACACAGAAATACTCATCTGAACAAGCGCTACAATTACATATAATATAAGCTATTAATCAATGTTGTAGGCAACGTTGTGTGGCACCCGCCTGAAAAATATGATCATTCTGGTATGCGGGGGTTGATTGCAGCCGCGTGTGGCCGCTTATCTGCAGAGCAGGACTGAGCGGCATGATTCTGGTGGACTTTGCTAGAGCTCCTTATGGACAGTGTAGCTGTGGATGATGGACGCGGGAGCTTGAGGAGGTATAAAGACGTCATGGCGCCATCAGTGGCATCTCACGAACGACGCCGACCCTTCAAAATATCTATCAAGACACGCGTCAAGCTTCAGTTTGGCTTGGAAATATTCGAATACGATGTCTGGGATAGTAAAGGTAGCCGTCACGCAACATGAGCCTGTGTGGTTCGACCTCCAGGCCACAGTGGATAAAACTTGTCGATTGATCGAAGAGGCGGCGAGTAATGGGGCACAGCTTATCGCGTTTCCTGAGGTGTGGATTACAGGGTATCCAGCATGGATCTGGTGAGTTATACACCTTCTCCTCAACCACGACTGTCCCGTCCTCGAGAAGGCACCTCAAGACTGTCCAACATGTACTCACATCCCCAGGGCACGCCCCCTCGATCCTCCGCTAGCGACCAAGTACATCAAGACCTCCCTGTCTTACGACTCAAAAGAAATGGACCAAATCTGCGCCACCGCACGCAAAGCGCACATAACCGTGATCCTCGGCTTCTCCGAAAACGACCACAATTCGCTGTACATCGCACAATGCACCATTTCCTCCTCGGGCACCATCATCATGAAGCGCCGCAAATTCAAGCCCACACACATGGAACGCACTGTCTACGGGGACGCCGGGGGCTCCTCGCTCAACAACGTCAACGACGTGGAGGGCGTGGGCCGCGTGGGCGCGCTCAGCTGCTGGGAACATATACAGCCGCTGCTCAAGTACCATACGATTAGCTTGAGGGAGCAGATTCATGTGTCGGCCTGGCCGCCGCTGCATCCGCATACGGAGGATAACCAGGGACTTTTTAGTATGACGGCTGATGGTAAGCTTGCATTTCCCTCTTCTCCTTTTCAGAGTATTGTGATACTGATAGATTCGTTGAGGCTGTGCGTTGCTCTCACAGACTTACGCTATGGAATCGAGCACTTTCGTGCTGCACTGTACGTCTGTCATGACGAACACCGGTGTGGACGTGCACAAGTCCGAAGGCACCTTATTTGGCGTCTCTGGCGGTGGTCATTCCGCTGTCTACGGGCCTGACGGGCGGCGTTTGACCAAGGCGATCCCCGCTGATCAGGAAGGGTTCGTGTATGCGGACTTGCCGATGGATATGCTGGTCGGGCTGAGGCATTTTGTGGATCCTGTGGGACATTACAGTAAACCGGAGCTGCTGTGGCTGGGAGTTGATACGAGAGAGAAGAAGCATGTCAGAGGAGAGGGGGAGAATGAGGAGGGAGAGGTTAAGAAGCTGAATGGTTTGAGTCTGGGTCGAGGAGAAAGTGGGAAAGCGAATGGGACTGCGACGCCTCAGGGCGCGTACTGAGCGATGTGGAGAAGTCTGGTGGCAATTTGTGTTGTCTCATCTTGATCCTTAGCAGACGTGGAACGATTCTCAAAGTCCAAGCTTGAAAGAGGACGCTCTAACAGCTGTGGTACCTGCAATGCTCCGGAGTGAGGTAATTAAGAGAGGGCGAGGTGTCAATTTCCAGAGATCTCTCACTGCTTTTTACCAAACAATGGTATGTTGAAAGATGTGAAGATGTCATGTTCAAGGCTGTCTCACTGTGGAGAGGTGACGGTACTCGACGCTGATCGGAGAACACCTTGCCTGTTTGGGCGGTAGCGCACATGGAGCTAATCGACCGGTTGACAGCACGTCAACCATTGACTTCTCACTGCAGACATTGCAGCTCCCCTTACCCATCAAAAGTTTGCCTGAGGCCATCTCGTGCATCTCGTTGTTTTTCTCGTTTCGTTTCTTGAGAGGCTCAGGCCAACCCACACGCGAATTTTGGGCAGAGTAAAGTGAGTGCAGCTCTGAAGTCTTCAACGCGTCGTTGCCTTACTTTGGCGCCTTCACCTCGCTTTACTGACGCGCAAACAGATCGCCTAAGTCGCCTTCACCATGGCTGATTTGCAAGAGCTCCTTCAGCGGCTCAATGGTGGCGGCGCTTCTGGTGGCAACCACCATCAACTACCCTCCAGCCAACAACAGCACCCTCATTACCAGCAACCCTCAGTCTCTTCGCCAATCTTCTCGCCAGCACCGAGTGGGCCGACACCACACCATCCTTCCCACATCATGTCGCCCAACGTGCTATCGTCTGCGAACACGCCTGCGCCTGAACAAGGCGCTGGGCCCGTGCCTCAGCAGACGCCACAACAGCAGTCGGCCAATTTGCTAAACCTGCTGCGCTTCAACGCCCAACCGGGTCTCGGTCAGCGCAGTGTCTCGCAGCAGCCACAGCAGCAGCAGGCACCCGTGGTCCCAGCTCACGGTCGCACTGTCTCAGCCTCGGACTTTGTCGCTGGCTTCATGGGCAACAGGTCGGGCTCGCAGGGCTCTGTCCCTGCAGTCCCCTCTGGCGTGCAGTCTTCTTCCCCAGCTGCAGCGTCTGAGAACCCTCAGGATTTGCTTCTGCGCCTGCTGAACCACCCTAAGCCATCGCAGTCCCCCGCCCGCTCGTCGCATGCCTCGGCTGCCGCCTTTTCTCCGCCAGTTCTTTCCCACATGCCTGAGACGGCTGTGGATGATCTTGCGCAAGATCTGGCCGATGCAGCTTTGGAGAGCGTCGCAGCTGACCCCTCAGGCAGTGCCGCAGCTTCACCCATGAGAGCCTTTGGCAACGATGGCACTGGCAATGCTCTTCGCGCCCAGCCAGAAGCCGCATCGCTGGCACCGAAGTTTACCTACGTTAATCCGTTTGATCAACTCGCAGCCGCCAGCCCCCGCAATCGTACACCCGTCGCCGAAGGTTCCCGCGCTCCGGCACCAAAGGTCGAGATCCTGAAGCCTAGCAACGTCCTTGAGGCTGCTGCTGCTGCTGCCGCCGAAGAAGCTCCCACTCACTCGCATGAAACTGTGGCTGAGGCTGTGAGCGATCTGGGCGAGCAGGTCAACCAGCAGATCGAGGAAGCACTTGCCGAAGCTGAGGGCAAGTCTACCGCTCAGATCGAGGAGGAGCTCAACAACGTCACAGCGGACGACATCCAGGAGATTGAGGAAACAATGGGTGATATTGCTGCCAAGATCACCAAAGAGGTCGAGGAGGAGGGCAATAAGAAGGAGCTCGAGCAGTCTGTGCCCAAGCCCCTTGCTGCTGCTTTGCAGCAGGTAGCAGCTGAGGTTGCCGATGCTGATGTTGTCGAGAACTGGGAGACGGCTGAGGCTGAGGAGAGTCTCGCAAAGGGCGAGGACCAGACGGTAATAGTCTACAGATTCCCCATGCGCGCCTTCGCCTCCATCACGGTCAAGGACATGCCTCCCCGTCGTCTCTTCTTCCAGCCTGAGCTGTTCATGGACATCGCCAGGATCAAGAAGGACTTTGATCAGATCGACCGTTCGCTGGTCTCAGCCAGCAAGAACTTCATCGTGTACACACTCACTAAGAAGGGCGGCTTCCGCATCATTCGCCAAGAGAATGGCGTCTACCGACAGGTCTTCGAGAACCACCAGGAACGCATCTTCAACATCGCTCTTTGCAACGCTGGAGAAGACACTCAGCAGTCTCTCGAGAGCATTCTCAGTATTGGCGTCAATGGCACTGTCTTTTGGACATCCATTGATCCCAGTCGCGAGGATCAGTTTGGCGAGAACCTCGACTCACAGGGACTTCTACTTCCCCCCTCGCCATCGCAGGATGACAATACATCTGGTGGTCAGCTGAAGACCCGCGCCAAGCCATCTTCGCGTCACCCCGAATTCTTCGCTGTCGGTCGTGGCAAGTCTATCCACATCGTCTTCCCTCGCGTCGCGGCCACCTACGTTCGCCAGAAGTCCCGCATCTGCCACACTGAGAAGTACCTCAAGGAGCGCTCGCTTAAAATCCTTACTGGTAAGGCCGGCAAGGACTTCACGTTCAGTGAGGATGACACTGTTATCGTTTCTCTCGACAAGGCTGGACGCATGCGCTTCTGGGATATTCGTACCCTTACCGATCCTGAACTCGGCATCCCAGAAAGCGCGCCTAAGAATATCGAAGTCTCGGACACTTTGCTCGAGTTTCACACCACCACACCGAACGCCAAGTCGTGGCCCACTTCTGTCTTCTTCTTTGACAAAGATAAGCCGTATACTAAGGGTATCGCGCTGCGATATGTCATGGTTGGCATGAAACAGAACCACTCCTTCCAGCTGTGGGACCTTGGACTTTGCAAGGCTGTACAGGAGATCAACCTTCCACATGGCAACGAGTCCGATGCTATCTGCAGCGTCTCATTCCACCCAAAGACTGGTATCATGGCCGTCGCTCATCCTACGCGTAACTCGATCTTCTTCGTGCACGTCTCGTGCCCTAGGTACAACTTGCCTTTGCAGAGCCAGGCCGAGTATATATCTCGTCTTGCGAACAAGGGCGCGCTGCCTCCTGTCAATGCAACTGCTATCATGACGAGCATCACTGAGTACTCGTTCGCTTCCAAGGGTCAGATCAGGAGCCTTCATATGCTTAACGAGCCTGCTGGACCTGTTGACGCTGACGATCCGGACAACGCTGCCTTATTTGAGTTGTACGTAATGCATTCCAAGGGCGTATGTGTTTTGCGCATCCGCCGTAGCGACCTGGGATGGAAGAAGGAGATTGGCGAGCCTCTTCACTCTAAGGATGCCGAAAAGGAGGGCATCATCTCTATCTCCCAGCTCAAGCCACCTGCGCCTGTCACAGTCACTGGTGACGAGTCTTCTACTGCTGGCGATATACCTACTGCCCCCAGGTCGGTATCTGACCGCTCGGTTCGCGAGAGTGCGAAGAAGGAGAGTAGCAACGTCTCCAGGCAGTCTATGACGCCGGAGGCTGCAATGCGCGCTTCTACCCTTGCTAAGGTCGAGAGTAAGCAAGACGCTGCTCGTGCTGCCATCATCAACGGCGGTGCTGCCGAGAAGTCGGAAAAGAAGAAGAAGAAGCGCTCGACTGCCGAGACTGCTTCCCAGGCTTCGACATCCACACGTGCACCTCCGTCATCCTACGCGCAGATTGTTCAGGCACCCGCTCAAGCAAAGTCTCCAGCGCCTGAGCCGACCCCTGTGTCTACTCCGGCTGCGGCCACCCCTGTGCTGGCTGCCGAGCCATCATCCGCAAAGGCTTCCGATGCTGAGGTCCCCGAGTGGGCCAAGCAGCTCATGGGCAAGTACATGCAGCAGTCCGCGGCGGCTCCCGCGCCTGTGCCTGCCGCTGCACCAGTTGATCTCGATGAGAAGAAGCTTGAGCAGGTTATCTCATCCGAGATCACTAAGGGCTTCTCTCGCGAGTTGGACGTCATGTACAAGCGATTCGATGAAGACAAGCGTGTCATGAACGCGGCCAATGGAGCCAAGCAGGAGGCCATCCTTCGTCTTGTGTCCAGCACCTTGACCGAGAATGTCGAGAGCGTTATCCGTAAGATGGTCGATGAGAACATGCGCAATGTTCTGCTGCCTGAGGTCCTTGCAAAGACCTCTTCGACACTCGAGCAGAGCATCGGCAGCAATCTCAAGACCGCTCTTGGACCTCAGCTATCCAAGGAGATCCCCGATGCTGTCTCTCGAGCTTTGAAGGCTCCTCAGCTCTTCCAGTCACTGTCCGACCAGGTCGCCAAGAAGGTCTCCAGTGGCTTCGAGCCCATGGTCGTCGCTTCTGTTGGATCTGTCGTCACTCCCGCCATTGCCAAATTGACCAACACGGTCGAGCAACAGATCGGCGAGCAGCTTCGCCAGTCGCTGGTCCAGCAACGAGAGGACGCAGCGAAGATCACGCAACTCACTGACACCGTGCACACTTGCCTCGAGACGATCCAGTCGATGGTTGCGACCCAGTCTGAGCTTCAGGCTCAGGTTGCCAAACTTCAGCAAGCTATCGCCCAGCCACCCCCTCAGGCGCCCACTCCCAGGAAGGAGGTCGCACCCCCCGTCAACCAGAAGACACCTGAGGAGCTGGAGATCGAATCGATCACGAAGCTCTTGACCGAGGGCAACTACGAGCAGGGTACCATGCAGTGGCTGCAGTCACCTCGTACAGATGAGCTCTTCGATGCTATCTTCGTTCGCTGCAACCCTGGGTACCTGAGGCAAGTTAGTCCCTTGCTTGTCCTGTCGACCGGTGCAGTCGTCTCTGAGCCACTGGACCGCAACCTGCCAGAACGCTTGGCATGGCTCGATGCTGTTTTACAGAGCGTCAACCCTCATGCAAGTCACTACTCCTTAACATTGATGTGAACGTACACTGACTAATTATAGGACAACGAAATTCGCGACATCGTCCCCAAGATCATGGACGTGATGATCCAGCGCTTGACCGCCAAGTACATCGATTTGAACGAGGGCACACCCGGCAACCCCCTTCTTCGCCGCATCTCGGCTCTCGTCAGCCGCTGCAACGATATGACCCGTGCTTCTCGTGGCTGAGAGACAATGCCTTGACATGGACTATGTGAGCCAGGGTGCGATCTTGCGCTGAAATGCCTTGATCGTGCAACTGAGCCTCCATCGTGCACTGCCCAGTCTGTCTCTCTGTTCACAGTGCACGCCTCTGTTGGAAACCTGAGGATCTTGTGAAAGGCGTATGGAGTTTGCATGCATTTGTTTCATCCTTGGCGAACGCACGATCATGTATAGGTAGATAGCATCGATAGGCACATCTGTCCATCATCGACATTTACACGGTTGGGAAATTGGCGCCTATGTTTTGATGGTGCTGGAATGCCCATCGTCTCCTACGGCGTTAACAATTTAACTCGTAGTTTGTGGGTGGGATGGGAGGATGGCTTCATGGGTGCATCTGGACAGCGACTTCGAGTTGCCTTCAGTAGAAAAAGTCTGGCATGTGCATAGCGTAGTTGAGCGACGTAGTACGATAATGATCAAGGAGTTAGTTTGACATCGCCAGCCTCATTGTGAATCCCTTCTGAAGTTGATGATGATGCGGCAGGTGTGGGGCTTTCGATCAACGTGTGGGGCCGTCGCGTTGCATCCAGCACGCGTCGCGTCTTCCCACCACTCTGCGACCAGCATCTAAACATCAATCGAATAACGACACATTTCAGCGACACAATCAAATACATAATATGGCTGACACAATAGAAGACGTTGAGATGGACACACAAGATATCGAGCAGGAGACTCCACTAGACAATGTCTTCATCGCACCGTCAATCTATAAGAGCGATGTCCTTGCGGGCAAGTCGTACTCACACTTCTCGCCCATACCGCAGCAGATTGCCGAAGACATATCTACCGAGTGCGTACTGGGTGTCGACGAAGCTGGACGAGGTCCTGTGTTAGGTAGGCCATCACACAGTCCTATCTCAATACCAAAGCTGACCCACAGCAGGCCCAATGGTGTATGCACTCTTCTACCTCCCACTCCCGCTCCACCACTCCCTCCTCGCTGAAACGCATCACTTCGACGACTCCAAAGTTCTCACGCCCGAGGTCCGCTCAAAGCTCATGCGTACCCTCTGCACGCCCGGCACTGATCTCCACGCCGCCGGCGGATGGGCGACACGCTCCCTTTCCGCCCAGGACATCTCCGCCTGCATGCTCTCGCCCAACCAATACAACCTCAACGCGCAAGCCATGGACGCGACCATCGACCTGATCAAGGGCGTACTTGCGCGTGGCGTGAAGGTCAAGGAAATCTACATCGACACAATCGGCAAGCCAGAAGTCTACCAGAAGAAACTCGAGCGCATATGGCCCACCATCTCCATCACAGTAGCAAAGAAGGCGGATAGTCTGTACCCCGTTGTCAGTGCTGCGTCCGTCTGTGCGAAAGTCACAAGGGATGCGGCGCTTGATGTGTGCTATGAGCCGTACCTCACGCCTGCTGAAGCCGCCGCCCACGCCCAGAACGAAGGTGGGGTCAAGATTGCGTGGGGCTCAGGGTACCCGAGTGATGCGCGAACAAGCTCGTGGTTGAAAGCGAATATGGACCCCGTCTTTGGGTGGGGGAATGAGTGTCGCTTTAGCTGGGGTACGGCGAAAGAGCTGCTTGAGGGAAAGAAAGCGGGGCTGAGTGTTGACTGGCCGGTTGAAGAAGACGGGGATGATATGCGAATGACGGACTACTTCACAGGTGGAGAGAGGAAGGGGGACGAGCTGGCGGAGTGGTTTGGCAAGAGGGTGACGGTGGAGATGGAAGCATTCTGAGATCGACATCCTCTCGCACAACCACGCACTTCCTCACGTCAAAAGAATCCGACACGCGAATAGCTGGGGTGAATGAAAAGCGACCAGTTATCGGCGGAGACGACTTTGCTCGACTTCGGTGCTCACGACATCCATGTAGGGGCCTCGGGTTTCGGGCCTGGTCAATTCGCGTAGCCAAACCTTAGTCCCCGGGCATCACACCGACTCCGATGAGCCACCCCCAACCACAACACGAGGTGGCCGAGGTTTCCGGATATTACTACACGCGGCAATTTGCGTACCTGCAGCAGGCATGCAAGGCTGTTCGCGGGCGCCGGCATTGCAGATTGGTGGGCCACGATCGGGGTTTGGGAAGTATGTAGGATGCAATAAGTAAGATGGGTCAGCTTGATGCAAGCTATACAAGATTGGCATACTGCTTCACATTCCTTCGATTGCACTCGCGCACTAAAGCGAGATATTCACGTTCTCTGGTCAGACCTTTGATTGTACTCCGACGACATTCGTCGGCGCAAACGAACCACACCATTGACCAGCGATTGCTCTCGAATCTCTGCAGCTTTTGTATCATCTTTGCACTTCTTCACTGTATTCCGTTACCTTCTCTGTACGATGCCATCGTTCTTCACCTCAACATCGCCCAAGAAGTCTTCCAAGCAAAGCACCGCCATCTTCGCCGGCCTCGACGACCCCTTCAACTTCCCCTTGCACAAGATGCGCTGCGCCTCTTCCTCTTCATCTCGCTCTCACTCCCGAACCTCATCACCGGACTCGGCGACCGATTCCGGCTATGGCAGTATCGACAATGACTGCCCCCTCAGCCCCAAGTCACACCTGCCCTCCACGAATAGACGACGACTACAAAAGGACGGCAACGGCCACTGGCGTACGAACAGCTACGAACATCAGAGCGATTGCAACGACCACAAGGCCGCGAGACAGCCAATTCTTCAGCATGAGGAAAGGAGGGAAGCTGATAGCGAGCACGAGTGGAAACCGAATCTCAAGCACACATTCACTCTGATATGCAACGACAAGCGCACCAAACCTAAGTGGTACACGAAGAGAGTTTATGGGAGGAAGCTGAGGGAGAAGGAGAAGAACGAGGGCGTTACGGATCTGCAGCGTGAGATGGCCCCCGTGCTCGGGCGCCCCTCCCCGTCGCCATCGCCATTACTAGCTAAGGAAGCGAGACCGTCAGCGGGGGCGAGGAAGAAGAGTACGCTCCTCCACCCGTCCCCACCTCCTTCCACCTCGTTATCGGGAATGAAGACTACCGATGGCGTTGCAGAGATGGAAGGGAGTACGGTCGGGATCCATAGGACACAGGACCGGGGCCGAAGAAGGAAGCCGTCAACGCTTCTCCACCCTTCACCGCCCCGATGGACAGCGGAGGAGAAGGAGGCGAAGCAAAGCTTGCGGAGCCCGCGCTACCGCTCTCCAACACCCCTTGGTATACCAACTACAAGCGACCGCCAGCCTGCGCCGACGCTGACGCCGCTGCGCATCCATCTTAGGAGGCCCAGTGTGCTGCATTCGTGTTTCTCAGACTCGGACTCTGCCTCGGACTCTGCCTCAGACTCTGCCTCCTCTCATTCGGTGGATGAAGATGATGGTGGCGACTCGTATGACGGGTGGTGTCGGCGTGCGGCGGGAGACAGGAATAGTAAGAATGGGATTGTACTTGCGAGGACGGGGGTGGTTGCGAGGGCGCAGCGGGTCAGGGTTAGGAGTCCTGGGCGGAAGATGAGTGCGGAGGTGTAGACCACACTACATGAAGATGTACCGTAGTTGCCTACGGTTATTGACTTTTGTTTTTGAGAGGTGCTGGTCATGCTTGAGGAAAACGCGAATGCGTTCATTGTAGGTATAGAGCAGATTACATTCTTGTCCCAGGCCAAGGCTATGCACATGTTATTCAATGTTCGAGCCATGCAAGGTACTTGCTCATATCCGTCCCACGGAGGTCAATTCTGAGTAATCCTAGTACTCTAGTACTCACTCAACCTCAGTCTCCGCCCCACATTCCTCCGCACCACGTCGCGGTCGACCCCCGGTTCGGCAGTCTGGTTCTGGCGATTGGCGTTGAGCGCCTGGCGCAGCATGCCGGCGTCGAAGAATCCATCTAAGAAATGAAATCAGCAATGAAATGGGAAAAGTAAAAGAATGCGGTGTGGTGTAGAACGCTATAGAAGAACAAAAAGGGAAGGGAAAGGTGTTGTACGCCGGAGACGTTGTGATACTGAGATCAAGAAGAGTAAAACATGGGCTTCTTCGCCATCGTGCTGGGGGCTCGTGATGATCTTGTTCTAAGAACAGTGGGAGAGTTGAGACGCGGCGAGCTGACGAAAACAGCAGTCAAGGGTTTGAAAGGTGGTGAATGCGGAGGTGTAGGTGGCAGGGACATCGAAGGTGTGATGGGAAGACTCGACACACTGTCCAAGTCAAGGGAAGGTGGAGAAGGAGGAAAAGAAAGAGGAAGGGGTGCCCTACATCCACCAAGCCCATCATCGTCGTCTTCGTCTGCCACGCTTTCTGCTGGCGTCTGTCCCTTGCCCACTTCGAGCAGGATGTTTCGTCCGCGGCTCTTGAAACGGCCTGCTGTGGGCCGGGCTTCTGCTTCGCGGGCACGCGAGGCTGTTTTGTCAGCTGAAGTCCCGCGGCGCTTGATTTGTCGTAGCAGTTTCCGCACTTCGAGGAAGTAGCTCTCCAGTGCTTCGATGTAGCGGCTTGTCTGGCGGTGCTTGGACGATGCGCAGATGGAGATCGATCCGTCTTTGATGATGTATCCAATACCGAAACCGTCGGCTGATGTTGGGCCGAAGCCGAATTGGCGGAGCGACGGGTTGCCGCAGTTGGATGTCGAGAGGATCGTGGTGTTGATCTTGTCCCAGCCGGCGTCTGCGAAGAGCGCGGGCATTGAGTGCTGCACTGGTGCCGGGGGTGAGCTGGATATGCTGCCGTTTTCGGACATGACGGAGTTGCGGTTGGGGGATGCAACGCCATCAGGGCTTGAAGGGCGTGTTGAGTCCCAGCCGTCGCTGCTGGCTGCTTCGGCGCCATCTTCCTCGATGGCGCGCTGCCAGATGCAGTACAGGGCGTATAGATGGCGATCTGGTCCCTGTGCTTTGGCGCAGACTTTGGTGTTCTCGGTGTGCTTCTGGCATGCCTTGCGAAGCGCATCGATCTTGGTTGTGGCCGGGTTCTCGCCCCAGAAGGTCTTGAGGAAGTTTACTGATTCTTCTGTAACGGAGCGAATGGCTTCTGTCCGCCCATGGTAGAACATTTTGGTCATGGCTGGCTCGTAGACACACTCTACTCTGCCGTACAGACCGTAGTAAGCGGCCTGGAAAGCCATCTGCACGAATGCATCAGGCGAGAAGCCCATGGATGTCATGAAGTTCTTGCCGTAATGGGGGAACTCCAACGTTGCGAACTCATTCTGTTGAATGAGGTCTGCAAGGCGGGTTTCGGCAAATCGAAGTGCTGTGCTCAGTTCAGGCACCATGTCCCACTCCAGCTTGTGTGGCGTTGTTTGGACGTCGCCAAAGCTGTCCGGGTCGCGCTTCGCAGGGTCAGGACTTTGGGTTGCCCACAAGCTCGGTGCGCTGCCGTTGATAGTCCTTGCGAATCGCAGGATGGTATCTGTGTAAACGTCTGAGGCAAAGCGTAAAACAGTGTGACCATCAACACCGGTATGTTCGAAGTTGATACCTGCACTTCCGTTCTTGCACACAATGATCTGCATCTTGTCGTACCATCGATTTGTGCAAGTACCCACCTGTACGCCCTTCTCGACCTTGCTGGTACCGCAGAGCATGTTCATACATAGGTCTGCGCCACTCTGTGGTTCTGTGTAATCCAGACACAAGATGAAAAGTGCTGAATCGACAATGTTCAGGCTGTCAGAATTGTTCGAGCCTTCTTCTCGGTGCAGCACATCTCGCAGGCCAGACCACACCTTTCGGTTTTCTGTGCTCAGCACGCCTAGTGCTCCTTTTGCAGCTTCTTGGATGGGAACTTCTTGTGCATCTTCTACAATGGACTGTAGGTTCAGAGTAATATCTTTCTCGGTCATGATGAGGTCGTTGTTGTCGTCAAGGACGTCGAACCAGTAGAACTGGCCGTGACACATAACGACGATGTGTTTTGAGGTTGGATCCTGTCCAATTTGACATCCATTTTCAGTGGGTATTCTCGCCGTTCCAAATAATCTCGAGTATTGGTACATGCAAAGAGGTTGGCCACGGATCGTGTCAGGCGGCAGCTCTTCCAGTCGTACTGCTCGAACAAACGAGAGTGCTGAGACAACTAGAGAGGCCGCACGGGTGACCTGGTTGTTGCGAGCCGGGGTTGGGTCATCTTCAAGAAGGAAGAAGGGGTTGAGGTTCAGCACAACCGGGTTATCGAAGTTCAGATACGAGTCGTACCCTGTGAAATTGTCAGAAACCACCAAAACATCAAACATGGCCGACAACATGCCTCTGAGCTTCAAATAGATGGAGAAGACGTACAGAACTGCTCGATGTAGTTTGCTTTCCCACTAGCATATTTCTTGAGCTTGTCTTGCAGCGCAGCTCCGTCTGATTTCAGAAATTCCTCCACCGCGTGCTGGCTGTCGTTGTGCTCTTTGGCACTCTGTAGTGGTTTCAAGGCGGCCAAGTACTTCGTACACGAAGAGTCTAGCTCTGGGATGGGCAGCTTTGGGAGCTTGTCCTGAGAAGCAAACGTGATGCCTGGCTTCGAGTTTGGATTTGTAGAGTTGGCCAAGGGTGCCTTTTCTTCCGACGAGAAGGCTTTTTGGGCGTCCTTCGCTGCTTCCATAGAGCGGGCCGCGCCGTTCTCTTGTGTGCTAGACATGGTGGCGGTGGCCAGTGATTCGTTCAAAGAGGAGGGCTGCGTAAAGGTGCGAGCTGCCATGGTGGTTTGTCAGTCAAGCGTAGAGGGGAGAGATGCTGGTGCTGATGTTGAGTAGCCGCAAGGCACTGCGGTAGAAGTAGTGACAGTCCTGAAGACAGTAGGCCGGCATGGAGACGCAGGCTTTCTGCAAGAGGGACAGCAACGCGTGGGAGTGGGAGCTTCTTGTAAGGAAATGGACGAAAGGGGATAAGCTGGGCTGAGTGGAGCCGCCTGACGACTAAACATGTGAACTCCACGGACGGGTTCCTCGTTACAGGCAAGGTGATCCAGGAAGCTGTCATGTAGCCGGCCGCTGACACGGAAAATGACCCGCATGGTGGTGAATGACGGGACGAGCTCAGCCTGTGAAATGCCCATGCAAGGAGATGCAACTTACTCGGTAGCGTCGAGCTCTAAATGAGCTGCAGGTCAAGAGGACCGCCGATATGGTATGGGGATCCAAAAGAACAGTGGCTGCTGTGGCTGCTGTGGTTACTGTGGTCTGTGTCTGTCTACTTACTACTCTGAGGTGGTATCGTGACGCCTCCCGAGAGAGTGAACAGCAAGGTCAAATGGCCGGAAAAGCAGTACAATCGCGGTAAAGTGCAGCAGAGGTGGACAATCTCGGCCAGGAGGATACGGAGCTCGCATAAGGCTGCCCCGAGGTGTTGGTGTGATTACCAGCAGGGTACACGGACGAGTGGAAGCCGGTGGTGGGTTGAGCATTAAGAGGTGATGCAGCGTCACCAACGAGGGCCTTGGGTCTACCGGCTAATCGGGGCATCAGAGAACTTAGGCAGCTAAGGGAAGAGCAGAAGCGGCATGGTCACGGCTCTAGGCTTCAGACAACAGCTGTTGTTCTAATTCTGCACGATCTCTGCGAGCCTCGTGCAGTCATGGCTCACGAGGGCGGTGCGACGCAAGCGCCTGTCACTGGACACAGCATGTGTGAACAGGGGTGAGCTGGGTGGCTGCAGCGCTACGGGCAGTCTGGAGATGCGGGGGAGAGCTCGGAGCCCAGCCTTCGCCGCGGGGGGGAGGGGGGCTGCGCTCGAAGAAGCTCTGAGGGTTGGCGATCACGTGCTGCTGGAGAAACGGAGCAGGCGCGGCCAAGTCAGGCAGTCGCAGCGGAGTGCTCGACGCGACCTCGGATCAACGCGACGCGCCGAGCATAGCCTCGAGCTTCGAGTCTCTTCAGGACCGCGGCTATTACCAAAGCTCGCGCGTGCCACTTCCGCAGAGCCGCGCCGATGATCACCGCCGCCAGCAACCCATGACGGACCTGCTGCAGGTGCTGCCTGACTTTGAGACGAGGCCCTTCTCGCACCTGTTGCCCTCGCTCGACAAGGCCCTCATCACCACCAACGACCTGCTCACCCTCGACGTCCAAGATGTCGCGAAGCGCGCCCAACTGCCTGCTAGCCAGCTGAAGAGGTTCGTCGACGCAGTGGTGCCTGCCCTGCACCGGCAGCTCGGCTTTGGTGGAGAGACAGCTGCCGAGAACGCCTTCTCTGCTGCACTGGGTAATCCGGCAGACGCGTGGAGGTGCATAAGTACGTTGGACGACGAGCTCGATGCTGCGCTAGGTGGCGGCATACCGCCCCGCTACCTCGTCGAAGTCACGGGCGAGAGGTAGATTCCACCACGCCCAGTTCATATCGACCTAGCTAATCTGTACCAGTGGCGCTGGCAAGACACAACTGCTGCTCACCCTCCTGCTTGCTGTACAACTGCCAGTTCCGCTCGGCCTCTCCAAGACAGCTGTGTACATCTCAACCGAAGCCGTTCTCTCCACCACCCGTCTTGCCCAGCTGCTCTCTTCCCACCCAGCACTCGAACGAGTATCGCCGGATAAACGACCCTCGCTCGCCAACGTTCTGGCCATCCAAACCCCAGACCTTGAGTCGCAGGAGCACATCCTCCGCTACCAGCTGCCAGTTGCCATCAAGAAACACAACGTGGGACTTGTCGTCTTGGACTCTGTCGCCGCCAACTACCGCGCTGAATTCGAGAAGAAAGGAGCGAGCAATGGCGCCGCCTCTATGGCCAAGCGCGGTACTCAGCTTGTTCAGCTTGGAGCCTTGCTGCGGGAGCTAGCACGCACAGAAGGCATCGCAGTAGTTGTTGCCAACCAAGTCGCCGACCGCTTCACGAAGCCGTCCTCTGCGCCAAATTCGAACCCCATCTCGCGAAACGCGTCTATCAACAGCCAAGGCACGCGCGACAACACGCCTCAGCCCCCGAACCCGGCGCTGTCCGTCCCAGCCTCGCAATTCGACGACAGCGTCCTTTTGACTCCCGACCCACTAGCCCTGGACCACCAACAGCGCTGGTTCACCGGCTGGGGCGACAGCCCGCACGCAGCACCTCACACACTGAAAACGCCATCTTTGGGTCTGGTTTGGACAAACCAGTTAGCATGCCGTATCGCTCTGATCAAGAAGCCTGTGTTCGCGAACAGAGGACCGCTTGTCGTCACGATAAACGGCGAAGACCAATGGAATGAGCAAGAAGAAACACATGTTTCAAAATGGCGGCGCTGGCTCAAGATCGTGTTCGCGCCATGGACACCACCCACTGAGGGTAAAGGCATAGAGTTTGAGATCACCAAACACGGCATCAGAGCCGTAGTCAAGGAGCCAAAGGAATGAAAATCCAACCTGCGATGTGACTGTCAGCATTGGCGATTGGGTGATCGTGCTGACCAGCCTTGTGCATTTCTCTTCGTGCCACTAGCGTGCTTCCCCGGATTTGCTGTGCAAGATGACGCCCACACAGTCCTTTGTACGCTGTCAACAACATTCTCTCTACCAACACCGTTTCGCAGTCTAACAATCGATATCTCCCAGTTCTGATGTCGGCGGCACATCAGTCAAGGGGAACTGCTAAAGACGGTCCACTCGCCCATCCCAACCAAAAGCGCTGCCGAGGTCCGTTTCCCCTCCCTGACGCGTTCACAGCGAGTAGGGGGTCGACCTCAAGGCATGGCGCACCCCAAGGCGGAAACCCTGGTACTCCGGATCCGCAGTCAGCTATGGAAGCTAGTGAAGTATAGTTCCTACAGCTCCTAATCTTCACATCTACAACTTCAGCTCTGTCCTTCGTCCCTCTGTCTTCACAATCTCCATGTAGCCACCATGTCCGTCGGCTTCCAGCGCGTAGCGAACCTCATCTCCCTCTCCGTCTCTCACCTCGCTCTCAACCCCGTCATCACAGCCTCCCTCCTGTATATTCTCACAAAAGGTCCCGTGAATTTGCGCGCACGCTTGACGAACCGCATCGCAGCTCTCCGCGATCCCATCCGCCATGCGCAAATCATCAAGGCCTTGAAGTGGCTGCTCACCCTCGGCCTCCTCAAGAATGTCAACAAGATGCTGAACGACCTCGCCCTCAACAGTTATCGCTTGAGACCCGAATCCGCACGCTGGAAGTGGGACAAAGAGGTCGCCGTCGTAACAGGCGGCTGCAGCGGCATCGGGTCGCTGATAGTAAAACGGTTGATCACCAAGGGTGTCACTGTCGCAATCCTAGACGTCCAATCACTTCCCCCGGCATTGCAAGGCTGTACGGTAGAATCCTGGTCCCCACGAGAAGGCTCACAGCTGACCTTCTGCCCCATAGATGCGCATATCAAGTTCTACGCGTGCGACATCACGGATCCAGATGCGGTCTTCCGTACGGCGAAGGAGATCAGGACGACGCTCGGCAGTCCGAGTATTCTGATTAACAACGCTGGTATTCTGTCTGCGCATACGATCCTCGCTACCTCGCACGAATATCTGAGGAAGATCTTCGACGTCAATGTGCTGAGTAATTGGACGACTGTGCAGGCATTCCTGCCAGATATGATCAAGGAGAATAAGGGCCATGTTGTTACTATAGCGAGTACGGCGAGTTATGTTGGCGTCGCGGGATTGGCGGACTACAATGCGTCTAAAGCTGCGATCCTGAGCTTCCATGAAGGTAGAGCCCCCCCCCCCCCCTTCCCCCAACTCATCGACCTGCTCTGCTCCCTGGGTAGAAGAAGTGTCACTAACCACATCCAGCGCTCAACCAAGAACTCCGCGTCTATTACAACGCGCCGTCCATCCTAACCAGCTCCATCCACCCCAACTGGGTGCGTACGCCGCTTCTCGCGCCTGTCGAAGCGGAATTGAAGAAGCGCGGCGTGGTGGTTATTGAGCCGGAAGATGTTGCTGATGCGGTCCTCAAGCAGGTGTTTAGCTGCAGAGGCGCCCAGGTCTTTGTGCCGGCTTCGGCGGGGAAGAGCAGTTTGGTCCGGGCGCTGCCGAATTGGCTGCAGGAGAGTGTCAGGAAGGGGGTGAGTAAGACGATTACGAAGAGTGTAGGTGTTGGGGGGATGTAATGACAGGAGTATAGGATGGGGATGTGAGGCAAGACTGAGGTGAAGTTGGCGAGTCTTGGAAGTTCCACGTCTCTCTCTCTCTCTCTCTCTCTCTCTCTCTCTCTCTCTCTCTCTCTCTTTCTCAGCCGGAGATGATGGGTCCTGGTAGCATGTCCTTTGTGCTCTATTATTCACTACCATACCTTCCATCTTTTCTGCATTATACACTTGTGGACCCTTGACTGTGTTAGTTTGGCTGCCAACCCCCCTTGCAAGTCTGGGGTAACGAACCATGGTTGGAAGCATCAAGAACGCATACGCAACGCCTCCTAACCCTCAGCATTGCCGTCCTCACACTCCATTTCCACACCGCACCACGCCACACAACAACAAGACTCAACTCCCGCAAAGCTGGACAAAAGCAATCAAGGCGCCTCCATAGCACCATCAGCACCGTCCCGACCTATACCCTTCGACTGCATTCGCCAAAGCGGTCCACTGAGCGCTGACGAGCCATCTCGTACTGCTCTCTCTGGCGTCGCAAAAGCACCCGACAGAAACGCTTGCACAGCATCCACGACAGTCGCCGAGGCTGCAACGACTCACCGCAAACAGCAAGCCCTCACAGTCGCCGAGATCGTCTTCAACCTTAATCCAGCAGCGACAACCCGCCAGAATGCTACGAGGACCACCTCGAGCGGAAAGCTTGGGCACTCTCAGGCGGCTTGGAAGAACTCGCCAGTCTCCACAACACGGGGACAGACTTCCTTCTGCGTGACATGTCAGATGGGCTGGAGGAAGCTTCCTTGGGGGCTATTCTTGAAGGGGAAGGAGTGGAGGGATGCGGTGCAGGCAGCAAGTCGCGCGCAGGGTTACATGAGTGCTGCGGAAATGCACGAGGCGATGAGCATAGCTGAGGGATGGCATGAGTTCGGTTCGTTTCGTCGAGCTCGGATGAAGAGCGGGTGGATTCGGTGTGGTGCCGAAGAGTTTCTCAGATGGCGAAGACGCGGTTTAGAGTTGAAATTTCATAACACTATGAAAGGCATTTGGATGCTAGATATCCCCTCCACCAACACCTTGCTAACCAGCCAGGTCGACATTCAAAGACGCATATGCATTCTATCCATGATCCCTAGAGGTGTGACAAAGAAATGTTGTTTTGTAAGTCGCAACGCAAGTAAAAGGTGTTGTTACACATTCATCGTCTGCCACACAGCGCAGACATCCCTGTGAGATCATCCGTAATGTCCCAGGAATTTAGTCGGTGATCCTCCAGCTCTCGAACCACTTGAGGTGACTCCACTGCTTATTAGGTCCAACCATACCGAAGGAAATAGCCCTGAAGAGCCAGTAGAGGCCAATGATGACTGCATACAGCGAGGCAAAGATGCCCCAGCGGACCTGGTTGTTGAGCTTCCTTGTCGTCCAGTCGAGGCAGAAGCCCATGGTCAGGATGGCGAACCACAGCGCAGGATAGTAGTGGTGAACGTAGGTGACGCGGCCCATGGCCATGAAAGGAAGGTAATGCAGAACCCAGCCGATGACGGGGTAGATTCCAGAGTAGTGGATCTGGTCGATCTCGGGTTGCTTGAGGTCGTTGTAGCCGCGTTGCCAGCGGACGACGTAGTAAATGACGATCAGACCGAAGATGCCAAGACTAGCTGTGCTGCCCCAGTAGACAAAGGGGTTGCCAAGGAGGAAGTACTTAACGACTGCAGACATAATCAGTAAGAATAAACAATTTTACACGAGATAAGACTTACTGTCGTCGTTCCAGCCACACATGCGGAGGCCGACGTGGAGGATAGGCCATTGCCAGAAAGCAGAAGCGAGATCATCCTGCTTGTCGGGGTCGGGGACGAGCGCGTTGTTAGAGGTCATCATGGCGACATTGAGGTGAATGAAGTCCTGGAAGAAAGGAGACTTGTAGTCACCAGGGTTGCCAGGCGGGAGCTTGTCGTTGGTGTGGCTTTCGATGTTCCAGTGAGTGTAAACATCGCGGGGGTTGTTCTGCTTGACACAAGTCGTTTCGATCTGCTTGAAGCCCCATTGTGGCAGGTTCACGTTGCCAGCTCGGAGGTAGCAGCCCAGGTCCTTGTGCTTGAACCGCAAAGCGGTGGTGAGTGTTCGGATCCTGGAGTAGTCCCTCGAAGCAGCATCGCGAACAACCTCGACGACCCAGTGGTCCTTGGTGTCGCCAACTGTAGTGTTACCGTAGCAAGAAACCTCGTAATCGGCCTTGGTGACGGGGGCGGCGACCTGATGCGAGTGGAGGTTACGGCCGGTCTGGGCGTGGATGAGACGGATAACATCGCCATTGCCGGGGAAACGAAGCTCCTCATCGACATCATATGGAACCTCGTGACGGTTGGGGTAGAAGAACCAATCGTTGTTGGCATCCTTGTGGTGGTAGCAAGTGATCTGCTGCTGAGTCGAGCCCTCAGGGTAGGTCTGGACGTGGGAGTGAAGCAGACCTCCTCCGTACCCCATGTTCTTCAGCGTGGCGCGGGAGCCGTATGCGACCTCGAGGGGACTGTTCTTGCCGACTTCAGTGCCGCGTAGGTTGGCCTGGAAGAGCGAGCTCATCTGTGCGTCACCAGGACCGCTGTTCTCGAGGATCAGGAAGTGGAGGTAGAAGGAGAAGGTGTAGACGGCGAGAGGAATGAGGATGAGGCCGAAAACGCGGAAAGCGAGGTGGGTGACAAGCTCCATCTGTTTACGTTAGCTTTTCAAAAAATCGCAAATTTGGCAAGGCAGCCGTACCTTGGGCATCTTGAGGTCGCCAAACTTGTTCCAGAGGTCTTCAATGGTGTAAAGACCGACCAGAGCAGTGACGAAGAAACCAACCCACTTGACACTGCACACGCATCCAATGGAGACACCAGTCAGCATCAGCCACAGGCCCCACTCAGGAGAGAACGGGTCATGTTGCTGACGGTGGAACTTGGACCAGCAGAAAACCGTGGTGAAGGTGAAGCAGAGCAGCATAGAGTCCAGGAGAATGAAACGGCTGATGGTGGTGTACGAGTTCTCGCAGAGAACAGCCAGGGTAACGAACCAGACGGTAGGTCTCCGGAAGTTCAGTTCCTTTGCAGTGAAGTAGGCCAACGGTACGCACACAGCACCAAACGCAGCGTTGAAGAGGCGCATGAAGGTGTAGTTCAGCTCCTCGGGGTATGTTTCGCCAGACTTGAATTCGAACGATCCGTTGTATCCCGCGAGGTAGCCAGAAAGACCGACCAGCATCTTGCCGAGGGGAGGATGGACATCGAAGTAGAACTCGCGCTTGAGGTAGTGGGAGCCGAACTTGCCGAAGCTGTCTCCTAGTCAGAACGCGCCCGCAATGTTGCATGATTCCCTGCTTACTGAGCTTCATCCCAGGTGACAATTGGCGAAAGACCAATCTTGTACATGCGCGTGAAGAAAGCGAGTGCGGTGAAGATGAGCGGGGCCCAGATAAACTCATACTCGTCGAGAAAGGCAATGAGCTCGAATGGCTGGGATCGTTAGCTGCATGGTCTTGTCACGAGCTCCTATCTTGAAGAGGTGCACACCTTCTCCTTCGACTTCTCCTTGATCTGACCCTGGTTCACCACGGCTGGTGCTGTCTGGCCAGCTACATTTCTCCTCCGCAGCTCCTCCGCCTGCGCATCAGCGCCTGTTGTGCGCGCTGTCGCCATAATCGTAGGAAACACTGAGATGTGCCCGCAGTTTGGGAGTATCTGCGGTGGACAATGTCAAGAGAGGATTCGTGGCTGATACGAGCGCAGCTGGAAAGCGAGGGGTGCGTAGCGCGAGGAGCACTTGCGGTTGGGCGGGATCAGGTGGTCTCACAAGCCTGCGCAACGTCTGCTGTAAAAGCACAATCAGACTCAAGACGAAGAGAAAAAGAACCCCGAGGGAATTGCAAACATGAACTGTTCAAGGTGAAGAGCAACGTCTGGCGGCCCCTGCGGTGCGGTTGGGGAGATCAATTGCAGGCTTGATCCCGATTTAGATTTCTGTGGTTCGGGGGAGCTGTATTCGCGCTAGCCCGCGCAACTGTAAGGGGGAAGCTTACTGACACTTGTCCTCACGTGAAAAGCTGACGTACTCGTGTTCGTGTTCGTGTTCGACAAAGCTGCAGAGGGGTATTGGGATTTTGAAGTGAAATGCAACTGGAATGCTCATACGCGGATGCTGCAGAGTGACTGTGTACACAGACTACAAGCGTCAACCATGTCAAAGGGCCGGCAGATCACCTTAGTCCGGAAGCCAAAACACTATGAGATCAGAACAGCTTTTATTGACAATCGAATCACCGTCTTTGACTCCGCTCATACCAATACAGTGCTAAGGCTTTCCAGCCTACCTCTCTAGGAAATACTTCGTCCCTTCTATCAACCAAACTTACATGCCGAGCAGAATTGCTCGTGGATATCAAACCAAGTCGCTTGCAACAGAGACCAGGGTATGCAAAAATGTCCAGGAAATGCCAATCAGTGAGATGCTGCAAATGTCTAATCCTCGTCTTGGCCAACACGCTTGTACTTTCCACCCTTGCTGTCGTTGTCGCCCTTGCTTCTCTTAACCATGTTCGAGATCCAGCCGCCGACACTATCTCCATTCTCAGACTTGGGAGGAGACCTGCCGTTCTCGAGATCTGGCGGTTCGATATCAAGGCCAGGAATAGCAGCTTCGGCAGTGAGACGTGGCCCTCCACGCTCAGAACCACGACCACGACCCTCACGGCCGCTGCCGCTCATCAAGGACTCGACCTCTGCTTGCTGTTGCGGTGTGGCTGCTACCGTTGTGGCATCTCCGAACAAAGAGTTCATATCTTCAAGGCGAACGTTGGCGGTTTCGGGGTAGATGAAGTAAACTGTGGAATATCAGCAAACCATTGTTGGTGCGACTGGAAGTGGTTGAACCTACCAATGACAAAACTGGCAGCGCAGAAGAACGCGTGGATGAGGTACAGGCGCCATTGGATGTGTTCCTGTAGAATAGGTGTCAATTCTCCGACCAGCCAGTTGAAGGCCCAGTTAGTCGCAGTACTCAGACTTGCACCCTTTGCACGAATGCTGAGGGGCAAAATCTCTGGCGGGTACAACCAGGGGATGGGACCCCATGAGTATCCGAATGCCGCATTGTAGATCATCACAAAGATGACGACCATGTTCGGTGTCCAGCTCGCCTGCAGGAAAATGAAGTACGAGATAGCAGAGAGCGATATGACCATCATCAAAGCTCCAGAGAGCAGGATCTTTCGGCGACCCAGAGTGTCTACGATGTACCACGGCGGAATTGTTGACAGGAGGTACGTGATCGCGTTGATACCAGTCATGAGGATAGCCTGACGACCGTACCAGCCGGCTTCTTCGAAGACGAGAGGTGCATAGTACGAGATGACGTTGATGCCGTTGAGTTGCGCAAGGGCTTGGGCGGACATGGCGATGAAGACACGCTTGTAGTAGCGCTTAAACATGTCCGTGTATGAGCGTTCACCTTCTTGTCGCTGGAGCAGCACGTTCATCTTGATTTCTCGGTATTCATCGCGCGCTTTGGGGTTGTGGATGTCACCCTTTCCATACAGGTTAGCAATGACTACGATTCCCTCTTCATCATGGTCGTTGTCTAGGAGCCATCTGCCAGTTGTCAGTGCAGTCCATTCGCTGGGCGAGTGCTACAAACCTTGGCGATTCGCAGATGAGCAGACTGCCCAAAGCCAGCAGACCGCCCATGACACATTGCATGAACAATGGGATCCTCCATGCATAGTCGCTCTTGATGTAGCTGCAGAAGTAGTCGACCCAGACACTGCATGCGTATCCGGTGATATTGCCGGTGAACTCGATGCAGCCCATCTTTCCACGGTTGTGGGGCGGTGAGATCTCAGACTGATACACCGGTACTATGGTGGACAGCGTCCCCACACCGAGGCCGGCGATAATTCGCCCCAAGAGCATCATGGGCATACCATTGGCGAAGGTCTGGAGAGCACCGCCGATTACGAAGATGATCGAACCGTAAAGGATGGTCTTGCGTCGACCAAGGACGTCTCCAATGCGGCCTACTACAAGAGAAGAGATAAAGGCACCCACTTCCAGGATAGCTACCATGCTACCCAGCTCGACGGCTGTGGGCTGGTTGAAGTAGTCCTTGAAGTAGATACCCCTGTAGGTTTGTATCAGAGATGCCCGAGTACAGAGGGGTGCGGGGCGGCGTACGTGATAATACCGGACATGACTCCCTGGTCATAGCCAAATAAAAAGACGCCTAGTGAGACGAACACACTGGTGAAGTAGCTGTTCCATGTCAGTATAACCCTTTGCCAGCCGCTGTGCAGCGTTGCTCACATGAGCTTCTTTCCATGCAGCCCGTGAATACGGGAGGGCCCATCGTTGGGCGCCATGATCTGAGCGAGTATTCTGTCTGCTTTGCTGATAGTGCGTGGCCCGGGGTCTGGTATCTCGATATCCTCGAGTCTGAGGCTGTGGTGACTCTTTTCGTGGAGGCTGTCCTGCGATGCAAAGCGGGCACGCTTCTGGTGTCGTCGATGCGGGGGCAGGTGGCCTTCCAAGCGGATGGCAAGCGGATCTTCCTGGTCGGCAAGCTGGTCAACAAGGTCGCCGGTGTCACTCCAGAGCGAAAAGTCGTCCGAGTGCGAGGAAGGTGTGTCGAAGGAGGACCGCGCGCTATCCTTATCGTTGTCGAGCAGATAAGCGGAATCGCCGTCACGGGGGCGCGAGGACGAGCTCAGGTTATGGAGAGGGATGTTCGCAGGCCTCCGACTGCTGCCTGAGTTGAAAGGAATGGTGAAGGTTGCAGGCTGAGGGAGCAGCCAACTCCGATGCAGTGGATCTGGAGAAGGGTCGAAAGGCGGTCGCGAGTGACGTGCAGGTTAGGGTGGGCCTAGGGCTTAAGCGGTCAAGGGCGGTCACATTGGACAGCAGTGGGACTGAAAAGAGCACGCACGATACGGCTTCGTGATCAAGAAAATGTGAGCTACCCTGTCAGCTTGAGCCCTGAGTTGCTGCTGTTCCTGCGGACTTGGCGGTCCCTTTCCCACTCGGTCCGGGCTGAACCGGGGGACAATTGCAGACAGCCTGTTGTTGGCCAGCCTATTGGAGCGGCTGGCTGTGCGATGATGTCGCGGTGCAGGCTATCGCGGGTGCATGTCTACTTTAGAGATTGTGGAACCCCTATCTCTACGATTGCTACAGCAGTGCCAGGGTGCTTGAAGAGGCTGGCACCGCTGGCTGCTGAAAGGCCGCAGCTTCATCAGAGTCCACAGAAACTGCAACCCGGCAACTCCAGCATTACTTGAAGAACTCTGCATCGATTTGAACAGCTCGCTGCAAGCTCGCTGATCGCGGTTACTAGCGGTCGATACAATTGCCCGAACTTCACCAGACATGCACGGCAGAAACACCGCGAGTCAACAAGTCCACAATCATCCAACATCGATCTTGAAGACGACTCTTAGCATACACCATATCGATCACCATGCCCAGGGAACCCACGTGTGAGGGCCGCGTGTAGACCGCTCCGAGCGTGAGCCTTCGAAACACTGCTACCTCTCACGAGTGAAACATAGCGCAGCTGGTGCACCTCAAACAACTTCACTCGAGGAAAGAAGGCTGCTTTGACGGCCACAAAGACGTCTGCCGAATGCTTTTGCTGGGACGAGCACGTGAAGCGACACTTGCAGAGGCGCTTTGGCAGCTTGACAAAGGCAGCTGGCGTGCTGGTTGGCAATCATTGCTGCACAAACACGAACGTTGTGTGTCCTGATGTGCAGCTGCCAGACTATCGACAAGAACGCTGCTAGAGGCATGGTGCTGAACGAGAGGCTGCTCTGAAGATGAAGAGAACTCGATATCCACAATGACAACAGCGCCAACGATGATGAAGTACCCACTTATGATCACTGCCATGTTTGTTGCCATGGAGTCATTGTACACTCAAGCCGGCTGTGAGGCGCTGCTCTGCCGCCAGACACTCTCCGCAAGAGCGCCGATCGACGTGAAACAGTCTAGTGCGCACCTCCTGCAGCTCTGATTGGCCGAAGCTCTAATTGCCAGCTTGCTCGGCCCGCTTGTTGCTGCGTTCGTCTTTGTGTCGTGAATCGTGACGGACAGTGAGAGGCTTGAGGAATTTGTTTTTACAATGCATCAACACTGAATTTTGCGTGTGAAATCCTTTCTATAAAAGGTAGAAAGCCAACTCACCAGATCCAAACTTCGGTTCGCGACGAAGTGGTGTTGCAGCGACCCGCATCCCTGACCTGGTTTCTAACCACCCACCTTGGCTCTCAAACAAGAAACGGCTCGAAGCACCAGCCACCGTGGACCAGCAGCACATCATCTCTCACGACCCGCATCACTCCTCCACAATTCACTCTCGCTACCTTTGCCCTGTCAGGACTGTCAAATCCACTCGCTGCCTGAGTACCGCTCTGCAATACGAAAGACGACGATCGCTACTGCTGCAATAAACCACTGAACGCGAGGCTGCGCTGCGAGTAGCCAGCCATGTCGAGATACGGAAAGTTTGACGACTTTTGTCGCGACACGGGCAACAGCTGGTCGACGCTGCCAGGTAAGACACCGACACTATTCACCGTTATATGCATATGAGATATTAACTGCCATAGTATGCTATGTATGTTGCGACCGCCCTTAACCCCCTGGTCTGACCCATTGTTCGCGCGCGCGCCGCTAACCGCAATATCACCACAGCTCTTCAGCCAAGCACCCACACGGAACGGCGGAGGATGGAATGGAGGCTGCACACTCCAAGGCTTCCCTGTTGGCAATGGTAACAGATTGCACAACCTGGGTCAGTAAAAAAAACAATACTTTGCGCGATTGGAACCAAGCTGATGGTCGCAGGCTCGATAATACTATGCGGTATTGCAATCCTCGCCGCCTTCTTCCTACTATGGAGATCTGAAAGGAAGAAGGCGGCCGTTGGACGAAGGTGCGCAATTCGATGACATCCGAAAGAGATTGGGAGACTGACTTATGACAGGGAAATGCAACTCTTCCTCCTCGGTTACATCATCGTCTCCATCTGCGAGATCTTCACCATCGGTGGCTTCCCTCTGAACAACTCTGTGCGCCTGGTACGTTGCTCGTTTTAGACAATCAGAGTGCATGGGCTGACTGCTTCGTAGGCCTTCGTCGCTGTACACATTGCTGCGATCGTTACAACCGCTTGGATCCTGATGCTGAACGGTTTAGTTGGCTACCAACTTCTAGATGACGGCACCCCCATATCGATCAGCTTACTCTTGGTCTCCGCTGTTGTCATCTTCGTTGGAACAGGCTACATTGCTCTCGACACTGGCTTCAGTTGGACTGGCTACTGGAACGATACCCTGGCAGGAGAGAACCAGGCCTACGCCCTCTACACCCTTTACCAGCTCGTGCCCCTGGTTTTCCTGGTTGTCTTCTTCTGCTTGGAGTCATTCCTTGTCCTGCGCGTTCTTGGAGAGCGCAAACCAATGCGTACGTACGGAACATTGATATTCATGACCACTGCTAATGCTCCCATCAGTCTACCTACTTGGCGCAGCTCTCCTCTTCGCCATCGGACAAATCTTCCAATACGTTATTAGCGTCCACATCTGCACCGGTACCTCTGGCAAGATCAACGGTGGTCTGTTCGAGACCCTGTTCACGCTCCTTTCGGTCGTAATGATCTGGGTGTTTTGGTCGAGCATCACTGAGGACGACTGGCCAATGCCAACAGTCGCTGGCCCAGGCTCGTACAATTGATGACCTTGTAGGACATTTGGTGGATGTACAAGATACGGCGTAATGTTTCATGATTTCTCTAGCATAGCGTATACCATTTTGGGGATCTTTGGACGCATTACGCGTCATGCTGCTAGTTCACGATACACAGATAATGTTTGCTAGGGAAAAGAGGGCAGTTTTATGTAGTTATACCAAATTCACACACAAAGCGTGAGAACGCGTTTCAATCGTCACGTGCTCACGCATCTGTCAAAGGCGGATCTACAATCGGTCGTTGTAGCTTCACAAAGCTTCCACCCGGCTGGGACCTGACACAACTTAGTGAGACCTCCGCTGAACTCACCTCGCGTCGAGAACGCGCCGTTCAACTTCACCATAGCAGAATAACTTGGAAGTTTGCAAATAAAAGCTCACAACGTCATCTTCCATTGTTCATCTTCGCGCACTTCCCTTCGCCATAGCAGGACCCCACATACTTACTCCGGCACCCATACTCTAGCTGCAGTATACGGCATACGCTCGTCAGCTATCCAAACGCGACTCTAGGCGCAAACATAGCGTACCGGTACCGCAGGCGGTCGCTGCTCTCACCACCATAGCCGCTCACGAGCGCACCCACAAGCCATGGCCGACTCGGACTATTCCTACGATGGCGATGAAGTTTCCGGCGACGAATACGTTGGCCCCCGAGCCAGTTCAAGCAGGCCAACACAGCCAGCAGGCGGTGGAAGGCAAACAGCAAAGGAGGCTGCACCAAAGCCGGCGCGCAAAGCATGGGAAACCGAGTACTCGCGGACAGTCGAGAAGACCATAGTACCCGTCAACGACGAGGACATAGGGCAGAGCGTTCAAGAACGAGAGGAGGAACGCAAGCGCAAACGGTTACGCAAAGACACAAAGCCCTTCCAAAGAGGCATAATACGGCACGTCGTTCTGGTACTGGACCTGTCAGAAGCCATGATGGAGAAGGACATGCGACCGAATCGCTTCTACACGATGATCAACTACGCACAGGATTACGTCCGCGAATTCTTCGAGCAGAATCCCATCTCTCAGATGAGCGTCCTCGGCATGCACGATGGCATATGCATACGAGTCTCCGAGCTTTCAGGCAACCCAGCAGAGCACGCAGCAGCAATCTTGGGCCTGCGAAGCAAAGAGACGGGCAAGGAGCCCAAGGGTGCACCCAGTCTCCAAAATGCTCTCGAACTCGCGCGCGCAACACTATACCACACACCGAATCACGGTACACGGGAAGTCATTGTAGTCTTTGGTTCCCTCCTCTCTCTCGACCCCGGCGACATCCATCAAACTGTCAAAGCATGCGTGCGCGATCGCATAAGAGTGAGCATAATAGGTATGGGCGCACGCCTCAAGATCTGTCAGGAAATCGTAACGCGGACGAATGCTGGAGACGAGAGCGAATACACAATCGCGACCGACCAGGAGATGCTCAAAGAGCTCCTCATCGCAACCACTACACCGCCCGTCATTCGTTCAGATACCGCCTCCACACCTCAACAGCCTGAGAAAGGCGCTGCGTTGATGATGATGGGATTTCCATCACGCGTCGTCGAGGACTCGCCCACAATATGTGCGTGCCACGGCAACCTCACACTAGGTGGCTACACATGCTCGAGGTGCAGTGCGAAGGTATGCTCACTACCTGTGACATGTCCTAGTTGTCAACTCACACTGCTTCTCTCAACACATCTGGCGCGAAGTTACCACCACCTCTTCCCGCTACGAAACTGGGCTACTGTGTCATGGCAGCGAGCGCGCGAAAAGAACTCGAGAGATTGCGTAGGCTGCCTAACCACTTTCCCCGAGATACCATCCAAGCAGGAACTAGCCACGAGAGCACTCAAGAAGGAGAGGCAGTCCACAACAGGGAGCATGCTCAACGGACACTTGGAGAGGGGGAACCAGGCAGAAGATGACGAGAACGGTGAGCAGAAGGCTAGTGAGAGCGCGAGATACGAGTGTCGATCGTGTGAAAGCCATTTCTGTATCGACTGTGATATGTTCTGCCATATGGTGCTGCACAATTGCCCGGGGTGTCTGAGTAGACTGGACCCAGGGGCAATCGCTGATGCAGGGGCTCAGAATGGAGATGTGACCATGACTGGGTGATTGAGGTAGAGTCAATCCAATCAGAAAAGGAGGCACGCTTCGTGGCGAGCCCGGCATTGCTCCTTCCTCAATCCCTCACGTCTTTCCTGTTCTGGTTTCACAACGCCGCTCCACTTTTGACACTCTTTTTTTCGTTACTGACATCTACCTTCATCACAGGGCGACATCAAGATCACGTTCACTGAGAAAGAAGAACAGTTTGTATTCCCCCTATCCACCGCACCCACTCTGTCAGCAAGGCGGCCAACGAGACGCAGCCAAGAGCTATCCGTCAAGGATGCTCGAGACGCGCTAATCTCAGCCTCGACCCACCATCTCACTCGACAACCTCCACGCTCAATGTTGTGCAATCGCTGCCAGGCGTTTTGGTCCGAGGCTCTGGCCAAAGCTCAGATCCCTGAGAGCATCGCGAAACCAGAAGACATTGCATGGACGACGCACGAAACGATCCTCCACACTAGCATTCGCGAGTTGAAGCACGCGTCTGATCTGCGGTGTCGCATTTGTCGCCTCATTTACTTTTCGCCTACGGAATATGAGCATGCCACGCTACTCAACGAATATGATGAGCCGTTGCATGTTGTTCTCACCATCAACTCCGTACAAGGCCCACTTCCACTACTTCAGGCCGAGTTCCGAGAAGTATCGAGTCCTGGATCCAGGTTAACAAAGCGGATGATCGCTTCATGCAACGGTTTTCTGGGCGCTGGAAATGGTATCACCTCATGGCCAACACTACCAGGAGTGACTCATCATTCGGCGGACCACCTTGCAGAATCCTTGGACCAAGCTGCAGAGCTGGACAATGATCACACCGGTTCAGACGGCGCGCTTCAGCTTGCGTCCTACTGGGTCAAGTCATGTATTGTTACACACACTAAGTGTTGTCGGAAAATACCAGAGGACTCGATACCTTTCCTGCCTACCCGACTGCTTGACGTCGGCAATGATACGATCAAGCTTGTCGAGAGTGATGAAATCACGAACTTTGCCGATCGACGATTCCTTGCACTCAGTCACTGTTGGGGGCTCGTACCAATCATTCGTACCCTGCGAAACAACTACGACAAGCACAGAGACCGAATCCCACCGGAAGAGCTCTCGAAGACATTTAGAGAAGCCATACACACAACACGCAAGTTGGGCTTTCGATACATTTGGATCGACTCGATGTGCATCATTCAAGACAGCAGCACCGACTGGGCAACCGAAGCTGCGACGATGTGCGATGTCTATCAGTACGCCACCTTAACGTTAGCGGCAGCACATGCTCCAGGTGGCGACGTAGGGTGCTTCATGGAGAGAGACGGGCTATTGAACCTGCCCTTCCACATCGAGATTCCTTCTTCTGCCGGCTCAGATTCGGCAGTGAGACTACAATTTACTACTTACGGACGGCCACAAGCAAAGGATCTTGGTGGCGGGGATCCGGCACTATATGGGCGTGCCTGGGTCCTGCAGGAGCAGCTTCTCTCCCCTCGGATGCTCATCTTCGACGGAGCGCAGCTGAAGTGGGAATGTCTTACCATGCACGGCTCTGAGGGCTCTCCTACGTCAGGCATAACGAGGCATGACTTGCCTCAGAAATACATTCGCAGTGGTATCATGGATGATTTTGAGTATTTCGACGATGTCACTGCCACGAGCGAGAAGTTTGCGGACTCGCGATTCTGGGCTCGCATGAAACATCAATACTGGTGTGACCTCGTTATGAACTACACACATCGAGGAATGACCAAGTCGAAAGACAGGCTGGTCGCCCTTGCTGGAATTGGACAGGCTCTCGGCCGACATACAAGTCGTGAGTATCTGGCTGGGTTGTGGTCGGGACAATTTTTCATCGGTCTTCTGTGGAGCATACCGCACAACGAAAAGTACCTAATGAGTGCTACGACCAATTTCGACATCGAAGGCAATCACCACATCCGCCACGAGCAGGCTCTAGCGCCGAGTTGGTCTTGGGCATCCATCACTGCACCAGTGATATATGGACAGAATGAGATGCTAAGCCTCGATTGCGTCTGTGATGTGCAGGAAGTCAAGGTGTCTGGCAGCATCGACAAACAGGCTGGCCACGCCAGAATCCGCGGCCACGTTCGAAAAGGGTACGTTAACGTCATCTATCCATACTCCATCCGTGAAGCCGTTACGAAGTTTCCACACATGACAGCTCCTCCGCCAGCGGGCCGTCTCGGCCTAGAGCATGTGACTTTCAAGGACCGATCATTTCATCCAAATCAATACTTTCTCTTCTCAGAGAAGCACCCTGACCCAGATGATACCATCGGCAACGACGATCTCCGACGCAAAGGACCTTTTCGCTTCGTCCGTGGAACGTTCAGGCCTGACGATATCATCGATCCGATGCAAGAGATCACTTTCATCGCTATCGCCCAACGCCATCTCAGCGAGCAATTGACAACGCGTATAGATTCCATTCAAGACCATGATCCGATCAGCGTCCACACTTTAGCTCTTGTTCCAACTGGAGACGCTGATGGGGCCTATCGACGCGTCGGCATAGCGATATGGGAAGATTGTGCCTGGTATGGATATCTCTGTGGATGGAAAGATGAAGCCACTAGAAGAATTACATCGCCACGAGAGTGGGAGCAAGGATTCTTCGTTGGAGAATACTTATGGGAAACCGCTTACAGAAAGCTGTGGTGGGATGATTTGGAATATTACATGGTAAATGGAAGAGATAGGAATGGAGATGGTGTGAGATGGAAGCACAAGCATGAGTATGAGAGTGACCAGTTGCCGGATTTCATGATGTACAATGCGGGGACGCAGGTCGAGGAAAGAACGGTTGTAATTGTTTGATACACATCAAGGCTGAGCACATTCCGCCAAACAAACAGAACGACCCTCTCCTTCAATACTTCACCCGCAGATTACGACATGGACTGGCAAAGAGCAGGCGATTCTGTTGCAGCTCTCGAACGACTTGGCAAAGACGACGTTGCAGGCATAGCGCAGACTGTTGGCACCAATAGCATTCCGGAGACTCACGAGCTGCTGCTTCTGCTGAACGATGCCGCTACGAAGAAAGGCGACGTGGGTCTGACGTTGCGAGACGTGCCTGCAGCAATCGAAGTCGGCCAAGAGTGCAACGAGGAGCTCGACGTCATAGCCGAAGCTCTGGCGTGGTGTCAAGAACAGTGGGACGTGGTCGAGGAGCAGAAGCGCTACAGCGACTACTGGCTGATCACTCCTGCCATTGCTGAGGACATCGAGAATGGACATCGAGAATGCTATCAATGGTCCATCTAGAGCTCCGTCGACCCGTCTAACCACGCCTGCTGAACCTGGCACTCCACGCACAGGCCCCGGTATTGCCGGGTATGTTGAAGCGACCCAAGTGCAGCACTGTACTAATTCGTTTCCAGCTCCTGCGAGCGCTGCAAGCACCACAAAATCCGCTACGACCGAAAGGCTCCCTGCACCAACTATGCTCGCATGAAGAAGAAGGTCGTGCGCGAGTACAAGCCGTCTAAGCGGAGTTATCGCTCAGTCGACCTCATGCCGCAGTCACCCAAGGTGGAGGAAGAATATATCCAACCAGCTGTCACTACACAACCACAAATCATCCAAGCCATCCCAGAGACCAGCTTGCTCCATGCCGAAAACATGCTTTTGCTGTCCCAAGACCTCTTTATGAACCGCTCGCCTGAAATCCCCTCGCCCTGGCCACACTGGTCTGCATATGCTTCTGAGCAAGTGCCACAACCCTCGATTATACGTACCGTGTATTCAACGACTTCCACACTTGACGTCTCCGTGACCAAACGCCTGATGCAAGCAGCCATTGCGCAGGCAACCTCGCGCCTCCGTTCTCAACGCTGCCGTAATAAGAAAGGAGTCATGCCGTTTGTGAAGACAAGAGTCGTGCTGTTCGCGATCGACATACTTGGCTTGAAAAGAAACAGACGTTCACGTTGGACAGGAGTCGCGAGACGCTGCAATGTACGTGTTTTTGACGAGCAGCGGACCACACAATTCAAGATTAAGCAGCGTGAGATTTCATGGGACCAGGCGGAGCAAATCTTGGGACTGTATGACGCAGTATCTGGCCCACCGGCCGCTGATGAAGTCCTTGACGAGCATGCCGCAGATTCTGAGGGTGAAGCAGCTTTCAGGCGCAGAGTGGCCCGTCCCGGAACTCCTCTACCAATGGAGCATCTTTCTCTGTCAAACTCAGACTCGAACGTTGAGCTTGAGGATGGTGCTTCAAATTCTGCTTCCACAGTGTCTGACGACGAAGAGGGAGTGGACTCGAACACGAAGAACCAGGCTCAGAGCGGCCATCAAGCGTTGAGCCTGAGGGTATACTTCACGGCGGTGTGCGTGAGAGACAAACCCTGGAACAGTTCGATCAAGAAGACAGTAGACAAGAAGAAGAAGCGCTCTGTGGCCGCTTGGAGATGACCATCGAAGCGAAGAGAAAGTCACCCAGCATCAACGGATCTGAAGACGACGACCCACAGAGACTCTTCAACGAAGTCGATGACTGGCGCAGTTGGACGGAGTACCATGCAACATGGGAAGAGCACGAGACTCCGGTACCAGCGTCAAGATTTGTTGCTAATCAGAAGCCGCGCACGACGCCAGCTGCTCACCGTCAAGATCTTGACTCGGATGCGTCAAAAGCGTCTGGAAGCCCCCAGCAGTCTAGAAGAAAGCAACACACTGCAATCGAATTGCAAGCGCAGAACCCTCGTAGCTATGTAGCAATGCAGGGTGACGCCTACAGTCTTCGAGACGACGCTCCGAGCTCAAACGAGTCCGAATCCGACGAGGAAGCAGACGCGGATGTTCCCACGCAGTCAATTGAGGACAGCGGTCATCCGCAGAGCACCAACCCACAGGACACTATGGACTGGGAAAGATGAAAAGACATATCGATTGAAAGGTGTTTCGACCCGAGCTTCGGTCTTCTTTGCGACATTCGCCAACGTTGATGTTGACGTCGTCCCGCTATCGACCTTCCTATTCTGGCAACGACCTATCTTGTCCACATTATCAACCCACGATACAACCCGGTAGACTACAAGTGCCGAGCCGCGGGGCTCTTCTAGCGAACGAATGTCCGGATAGAATTGAGGGACGTTGGAAATATCCTTGGGTAGTCTAACTAATAGAGGAAGTTCAGTACACACATTGTCGGTGACGCACAACCGAGAGTCGAACTTCCCGTCTTAACATGCCGCTACCAGTCTCTGGGTATGTATAAAGACCTGCGAGATCAGCTTTGTGTTCTTCAAGCCAGTCAATATCCATCGAACCATGCATTTCCTTACAGCTTTGCTGGGCACCATCATCGCCACGACGTGCGCCCATGATGTGCACGAGCGTGACCTGCCACCACCAGTGGCAGTCAATGACATGAGCTACACAAGCTGCGCGAACGCAGCATGGCCTCCATCAAACGTCGGCACCGAATTGATACCGCAGAAGCCCACCGACGAGCTCAAGTCCATGCTGGACGAGCTTGATCCCAAGAACATCGAGGCCATCGTCAACAAGCTGGTTTCATTCGGCACACGCCATACACTCAGCACCCAGAACAGCACCACCCGTGGCATCGGCGCAGCACGAGACTGGATCGAATCCGAGATGCGCAGGTATGCCAACGCAAGCTCCGGCCGCATGACCGTGACTGTCCCCAGCTACACCCAAGGCGTTGCCTCACGCATCCCCTTCCCCGTCAAAATCAGCAACGTCCTCGCAACTATCAAAGGCAGCACAACCCCCGACAAAGTCTACATCATGACCGGCCACTACGACAGCCGCGTCACAGACGTCTTGAACTACGAATCCGACGCGCCCGGCGCCAACGACGACGCCAGTGGTGTCGCAATCGCTATGGAACTCGCCCGCATCCTCTCCACACGGCAGCCACGCAGCACCGTCATCCTGGGCGCCGTGGCCGGCGAAGAACAGAATCTGTACGGCAGCACATTCTTCGCGCAAACACTCCGCAACGCCTCCGTAAACGTCGAGGGCATGCTAAATTGCGACATCGTCGGCTCATCCACCGGCGACCGCGGGCAAAAAGACCCGTACACAATCCGCGCTTTTGCTCAAGGCCCGCCTGCGTCCGAGAACGCCACACAACTCGCCCGCCGTCTGCAAATTGGCGGCGAAAACGACTCTCCTGCACGCGAACTCGCAAGGTTCTCGGCGGAGGTTGCGGCGAACAGCGCCACGGGCATGAACGTCGCTATCATCTACCGCCTGGACCGCTTCTTGCGCGGGGGCGACCACAGTCCGTTTCTCACCAACGGATACCCGGCTATTCGATATACGGAGCCGAACGAGAATTTTGCGCATCAGCATCAGGACTTGCGGACTGAGAACGGCACCGTCTACGGCGATTTGATTGAGTTTGTGGATTTCGACTTCACTGCGCGTGTGGGGAAAGTCAACTTGGCTACGTTGTGGTCGATGTCTGAAGCGCCTGGCTGGCCGAGGAATGTCACGGTTGATACGACGGTGTTGGATAATGATACGAGGCTCAAGTGGATCGTGTCTGATGACCCGAATGTGACGAGCTATGAGGTTGTGTGGAGGCCAGTTATTAACCCGCTTTGGACGCATATGCTGGATGTTGGTAAGGTGGGCAGCGTCACCCTTCCTTTGTCGAAGGATAATGTTATCTTTGGTGTCAGGGCGGTGGGTAAGAACGGGTATAAGAGTCCGGCTACGTACCCTTTCCCTGGCTAGTCGACATCACATAAACAGGCCGAGCAAATAACATCAGTGAATACACTCCTCTTTTCTCATAGACTCATAAGACTGTGTCTCCTAGATTTGAGCACTGCTCTGTGATCTGCTATTGAACCACTACGGCTGAAGACAGTGAACGCCTCCTCTTTTCGATAAACTCACGCGCTCATTGACGTCACGTGTTCTTGCCATTCAACGGTAACCACGATGAAACCCAACGCTGTCAGGCACAAAACTCCCCCACAAAGACTTAGACCATTCAGACCGGCTAAACGGAATACCGGGCCTTGCTCCACTCCCCGCATCTGACATCGAACGTTCGTCTGACACGTCCGCCCTTTCTCTTTGAAATCTAGACGCCCTTGAGTTCTCGTTGTGACTTTTGAGGAGATTGCGATTCGTACATAAGCCAAGTTCACCAGACTCGCAACACAGACTTCCCGAAACTCATTCAACAACTCAAGTACAGCACGTACCAGCTTACACGTACACAAGATGGCATCGAACAATACAGAGAAACAAAAATTCACATTTCATCACCCCGAACTCGGCCCTCTAACTGGCCTTGTTCAACCAGACAACGTCGTCCAATTCCGCGCCGTACCATACGCTTCGATACCCGCCCGTTTTAAGAGATCGATTCTTCTAGAGAGCCTTTTACAAGGCGAGAACAATCACACGGAGTATGGGTAATACACAACCCCCAATATTCTCGTCTGGAGTATCGAGGCTAAGTCTCTTAGATTCGCATGCCCACAAATCTTCCCACCCCGCGAAGCAGACGGCGGACCTTTCCCCGGCGACCCAGTGGTCAACGCCTCAGACGAATTCAACTGCTTGATTCTGCAACTCAATATCCCCCTCTTTATCTTACAAGCCATTTCCACAAGCAACAGCGAAGAGAAGAAGAGTCTACCGGTGCTAGTCTACATCCACGGCGGCGGCTTCGTCCTCGGCAAAATCGACGCCCAGCACTCCACCGCCCTGATGGTTCAACAATCGATCAGCAATGGCCAACCCATCGTCTCCGCATCCATCCAGTACCGCCTCGGCGCTTTAGCTATCTGCACACTTCCTCAGCAGACTCGAACTTGGCGCTGAACGACCAGCGCAACGCACTCCTCTGGATCCAAAGATTCATTTCTGGATTCGGAGGTGATGAGAAGAGAGTGACGGTGTTCGGCGAGAGCGCGGGGAGTATAAGTATCTGTTATCATATGTTAAAGGAGCCGCCTTCTTCGGGCCCGCTGTTTGACAGGGCGGTGCTGATGAGTGGGATAATTGGGCCGAGTACTGCGCCGTGTGAGGTTGGGGATGCGGAGAAGCGGTATGATGCTTTTCTTACGAGATTGGGGATCGAGAAGAGAGGGGATGAGGGGTTGAGGAAGCTGAGGGAGGTGGATGTTGAGAGGGTTGTTGCTGCGTCTGCGGAGATGGGGGATGAGGGGGGGATGTGGTTGGCTGTGAGGGATAAGGAGTGGTTTGATGGGGATAAGGAGAGGGTGACATGGGACCGCATTCCAGAGTTAATAGGGGAATGCAAGTGGGTCAACGATATCATCTTAGGGTGCACGAGTTTCGAGGTGCGTCAACTAATCCAGATGTCGGATGAAGGAAGGACTGACGAGAGTAGGGAACGACGTTTGCGAGTCGCTACGCGGACGTCAAGCCTGATGCGTTCCTCTCGAGCATCAAAGACCAGCTTGGTGAAGAGAGCGCGCAGATCGTCGCCAAAGCGTACAACATCACATCCACCATGGATCAAAATCTCTTCCTCACTTCGCTGCTTCGCTGGGTTGGCGACGCAATCTTCGATGCCCCGAACCACATGCTCGCCACCCACCTCTCCACCGTGAGCGTAGCGAGCAGAGTAGTAGCGAGCGGAGCAAGTGAAGGCAAGAAAGCCAAGAACGTGTACAGATACATCTTCAACGTCCGCAACCCCTTCCCCAACAACGTTCTCTACCAGCAACCGCACCACTGGGTGGATATATACTTCATCTTCAAAGCGCACCAATTCCGGTTCCCCTCTGAACGCCTTAAATCCATATCAACAAAACATGCACAGCTGTGGATTGATTTTGCTAACGGCAAGAAGCCGTGGGCGGAGTATGTGTCCAGCGGGAAAGGGGATGAGGTGGCTATGTTGGCGGATGAGAGGGAGGGGTGGGTTGAGAAGAGCGTGAATGAGGTTGAGGGGGAGTTGGAGTGGGGGTATGGGAGGTGTGAAGAGCTTGTGAGGAGTTGGGAGGGGAAGAAGGGAGGGGAGTGGGCGCCGTTGGATTTGAAGTGTTTGAAGGGCGTGAAGAAGACCTGAAGAGCGTAACAACTAATTGACGATGATGCTACTAGGTTTTTCGAGCATGGATAAAATCGGAAACTTTGTTCAGGACGCTTCCACACCAGTCACATGTTGCTCCTTCCACCATTTCTCCTTCATGTCGGCCGTGCTTCCTTACATACGCCCTCAGTCGCGCTAGTCCTCTCATAGTCAACTAACTGTTGCAAACTCTTGCTACCAACGAGGATTGCGTTTCTTGTGATCTTGACTTTCGTTTCTGGCTGAGACGCTCGCTCTGTACTGAGCGACTCTCAGGTTTGAGATTCGAGAGGATGCTCTCAATTCCTCGCGTTGTCATCGTCCGCGTGCCTGACAGAACTGTTTTCATCTATGTTTTCCTCCGTAGGTCTCACTTCTGAGGCTTCTAGCTCAATCGGAGGTCCTGGAATGACTTTGATGTTTGTCGAGTCCAGTTCCTGCGGATCCGCCTATGCTTCGGCCTCGCTCCTCCAACGGCCCTTGAGAAACCACTTCCGCTTTGCCAATATTTCGTCCTGATCCTCTAGCTCGGGTGTCGTAGCTTGGTTTTCAGCTTCAAGTTCTGCTCGCTTATTCTTGAGCAGAAAAGCGATGACGACGCCTAGGATGACTGCCCCAGCAAAGACTCCCACGATGATACCGGCAATTGCTCCGGGACTTGGATCATCTGATGCAGATTTGGCAGGGGTCAGATTAGAAGAGCTTGGAGTCGGAGTTGGCGTCGTAGGTACGGATCTAGTTGGCATTCTGACTGCAACAGAGTAGGTCGTGGTGAATAATGCCGAAAGAGAACTGTGGTCCCAGCCAGCAGCCAGTGACGTTCTGATCGCGCCTCCCGCGGTGCTGAAGCAATCAGTCGTCAATATCGTCAAGAGAATGAAGCACGTACCCGCCTCCAACAACTGCAGCAATGTTATTCGGCACTCTATACTCTGAGTAGTTGCTCCTTAGATCTTGCCATGCGTCTTTGGTGCCTTTCTCGAACATCCTCTGTCCTAGATTGACACCATACTGACCGCCTTTGATTGAATCATCGCAGGATACCCGGCTCTTATTAGTCGAGTACCCACCGGTAATGAGAATTTGAGTTCGGTTGTTCACAACGTTACAAGTCGCCCATGCCTTTCCGTTCGGAAATGTCTGGATTTGCGGATCTGGGTACCACTTTGCACGTCAGCAAAGCTTGGGACATCCGAATTGTCTCGATCAACCTACAGAGATCCATCGGAATGTAGGCAGCGTCAATATGTACAAGTCGCCAAGTGCAGTCTCGTTAGCGCCAATACCACCGTATATGTAGCTACTCTCATCAGCACACGTTTGCACGTCCACGCTGTAGTGTCTCTGACATGTTGTAAGAGGAGTAATCCGCTGCCCACGCTACCCCAGCACAGAACCCACGTCTGGGCTGAGAAATGTCACCGCTGGCTGTCTGATTGTACCAAGAGTCACTTGCTATATCGAAGATATGAATGGCCTCCATGGGTGTCAGAATGGGACGAAGACGCTCTCTGGATGTACTTGCCGACATGTTGGACTGTCACAACTGGCGTGAGAAGAGAAACACAATGGCGCGATGGTAGTACGTACATACTGAATTGTACCTGCCGTAGAGGTCTCTAACCTCCCAAAATAGACCAGCATACCTCGATCAGATGCTGGAATATACTGGAGAGTTCCCTCTGCATGTGGAACAGGGTTGTAGGTGTGATTAGTGAATACTCGGTCGCTCATGTTGAAGGACACCAGGCTATTCAGCATCACTCGATTGCCCTGCCATTTCGGTTGGGTCTTGTTCCCAATATACCCGCCATAATAGTATCCAAAGCCTTCATCGGACACCGTGCCTGCACCAAAGCCGGGCCAGAAGAGATCCGTTGCGTCAAGGGCTCGGGATCAGTTGCACGTATTGTAGATGGTGTCGGCAAACTAGATAGCTGTAAATGGGTACACATCGTTGACAGTATCGTACTCGCCACCAAAGTTGTAAAACAGCTTGTTAACTGTGTCCCAACGATGCCTACTTCCAAAGACACGCATTTCCTATACAGTGACCGTGCACGGGCTGCACGCGTCCACTCGGTGCACGCGAACACCATACCATCCCAAAATCCTCAACACCATAACTTTTGCAAATCATGTCCGTTTTTGATGCCCTTGAAACTGCACGTGCAGAGAGGCCCGGC